AAATTTTTCTAGTTTGTTTTCGATCAAAATAAAAATTCCGGCAAAAACTTTTTCGCACTTAATAATACCCATTACATGATACAAGTACACGCAAATATTCGAAGATTTCTGGTTTAAATATTTAATATTCATATTTCTACATTAATCTGTCAATGGGAAAGGTATAGCTAAGCGTAATGATTACTAATGGCTGTAAACTAGACAGAAGGGTAAAGCAAATAAATACAACATTACTGGTCCGACATTGAGACCGCTTAGCTCCTCTAGTTTTTATTTTACGCACAAATAAAAGACAAACTTGTTTATCCGGTTAAGTATTAGAAATTCAACCTTTTTTGTACTTTTCAGGAGTTATGATTGAAATCATTTCAATCAATTACGTGGAATTTACTTTAGATTGATGTAAGATTTAAGATACAGGGTGTCCCAATAAACATGGGAATTCAGTGACGAATTCGATATCGTCTTTTAAGATAATTCTTTGATTTAGTATCGTGATACCTACTGATAACGCTGTAATATGTAAGAGTTTCGTCTGCTATGTTCACATTTTGTTTGTTTATGTTTTGACTGCATACGGTTGTACTAAGTAAAACAAGAAAATTACAGTATACAATCAAAGTAAATTTGTCCGTCTTCACTGTTCATCTTGCGGACACGTTATAGACACATCTTTACAGTCTTTTACCTTTTTCATAAAATAAACTCTAGCAGGCATAATAATATTATGGCTTTTGAAATTAGGTATTACAATGCTAATTCATAACAAAGACGATATCCAATTCGTCACTGAATTCCCATGTTTTTTTGGGACACCCTGTACAAAAGTTGACAGAATATTGGAATAGTATCTGGTTTAAATATTTCTAAATTCTGGAGAGCTCCAAGTTTTGTTCACTTCAGTTTGTCTGGAGGAATTCAAACGAACTAACTCTAAAGTTAAACAACTTACAATTTTAATTTACCGGAGATTGGAACCTTTGTGTGGAGTATTGTTAATTTCGAACACTTTATTTCGATATCCAATCTGGACACTCTTAAATATGAGGATACACGCTTGATCCCTCATTAAAAGTTTTGACGTTTATTGGATACAAACAAACAGACAGACAGACAAACAGACACCCAGACAAGCCAAATTTTTATATAGAAGGATATACGCTTGATCCTTCATTGAATGTTACCCCTGCAAGGCATGACCACCACGAGTTTAGTTTATGAAAAACTAAACTTATGTCGAAGCTTTCTTCGCTTATAAAAAAAATCATACAAAACATATTCATACTTTTCGATAATCCAAGATCTTTCTATATTAGGGTAATCATTTGAAATCTGCAAATGCTAATTCTATAAATATATAAAGCCGTAATATCTGTTTGCTTGTCCGTTTGTGTATCCCATCATAGCTCCTTTTGACCGATATGCCTCAAATTTTGATTGGGGAACTCGTTAGAAGTATAGAAATGTTCATAGCTCGGTTTAATATTTTTTTAAGTTGATTCGGTATAATCCAGGCAAAGTTTGATCCCCAAGCTGTAGTTTTTAAAGATAAATTTGATCTTTGAATGTATACCGCGTAAATCTAAGACGACCTCCATTTATTGGAGAATTATTGGAGTTATATATTCAGGGTTGGAGTGACGGAAAATAATGAAATTCCATTCCCTCTCTTATCAAATTCCTGAATTAAGTTTGGAGTCAAAGTTTTGGTAATTTTGCGTGCCCCTCTTTTGGCATTAAAGAAATCCATGAAAGAAATAGATATTCTTTTTATAAAGAATTTCTTTCTAATATGATATTAATTATTTTAATTTAAAAATGTGCTATTGCTTTGAAATTGATATTTTAAAGAACTTTGCGACTGCTAAAAATGTGGAGTTGGACATTTTTAGAAACTTATTTTAAATATAGGTTATAAGATCGGAAAGGCGGTATTATTGGATTTTAAATATAGGTTATAAGATAAAAAAGGCGGTATTATTGGATTTTAAATATAGGTTATAAGATAAAAAAGGCGGTATTATTGGATTTTTTGAATCTGATTCGTCTAAACTAAAGAAATATGTTTTTGTTTAAGCATTTTATTATAATTTTTTGTTTTGATATTTTCAAAACTGTTTTTTAGTATTTAAAAATTGTTTTACTCGGCCAAAGAAACTTACTCGTCAAAAACTCTACTTGTCTAAACCAAATATCTTTGGAACCTGAATTCATTTAGGTTCCAAGCATACAGGGTTTAGAAAACTAGAGTTTGTGGGGAATAATCTGTTCTTTGGCCGAGTCATAGTTTAGTTTCTTCTTCACAGGAAATGAAACTTTGATTAGAAATAATTTCTAGATTAGGTTCAGTGTGCGCTAATGGATTTTTACCACTTGATTATTCAATAAACCGCGTAATATCTAGGTATATTCAGGTTAAGGAATATGAGGATTGCTGTATTTATTACAGGAAGTGTAGTAGCGGATCTGGCGTAGGTCAGAAGTGGAGTATAGCGGATATGCTTAGGTCGAAAGATACACCAAAAAAGTTTAATTGCAAAAGTAAACGCTTTCGAAATTACTATATCTTTTAGCAAAAATCACAATTTTCACCAAAATATATTAGAAAAGTCTAATTGGTAATGAAAATATATTTTTGTGGAAGGGGTGGGGGAATATATTCCCCTGTTAGTTTGTTAAATATTTATAGAGCTAAGTGAGGGGTAGGGGAGATATACTCTATGAGGCTGAGAGCAGAAACAATATGTAACACTATAATAATATAAAGAGATAGAGAGGATATTTTTATAAATCTAACAACTGTATAATTTATCATCCAGTTTCTAAGAGGATATATTTTTAGAAATCTAACAACTGTATAGTATATCATACAGTTTCTAAGGGGATATATTTTTAGAAATCTAACAACTGTATAGTATATCATACAGTTTCTAAGGGGATATATTTTTAGAAATCTAACAACTGTATAATATAAAATACAGTTTCTAAGAGGATATATTTTTAGAAATCTAACAATTGTATAGTATATCATACAGTTTCTAAGAGATTTTTAGAAATCTATCAACCGTATAGTATATCATACAGTTTCTAAGTGAATATATTTTTAGAAATCTACAACTGTATAATATATCATACAGTTTCTAAGGGGATATATTTTTAGAAATCTAACAACTGTATAATATATCATACAGTTTCTAAGGGGATATATTTTTAGAAATCTAACAACTGCATAATATATCATACAGTTTCTAAGAAGAGGATATATATTTAGAAATCTAACAACTGTATAATATATCAAACAGTTTCTAAGGGGATATATTTTTAGAAATCTAACAACTGTATAATATATCATACAGTTTCTAAGAAGAGGATATATATTTAGAAATCTAACAACTGTATAATATATCAAACAGTTTCTAAGGGGATACATTTTTAGAAATCTAACAACTGTATAGTATATCATACAGTTTCTAAGAAGAGGATATATTTTTAGAAATCTAACAACTGTATAATATATCATACAGTTTTCAAGAAGAGGATATATTTTTAGAAATCTAACAACTGTATAATATATCATACAGTTTCTAAGGGGATATAGTTTTAGAAATCTAACAGCTGTATTTCTGAATTTCAGTTGTTAAAAAAACAACTATTTTTTTAAACCCAAAAAAATGTAGATCGCGTTGTTTTTTGGATTGTAAAATTACATACATTGTACATATGGCAATACAATTCCATTTGTTTTGCAATTTATTGAATGATTTTTTAAATTTTTTTAATAATTCTTCCCAATAAAGTTATTTATTTGCACTAGGTAGCGTGTAACATTTTAGATTGGAGAAACTTTGTATGAAAGTGTCATATTTGTTTTTGATATTTGAAAACCCTCCTTCTTGGCGCGTCAAGTCGGCGTCTCATATTTCCTAAAAAATATTATTGAAAAGTTTATTTGTGAAGATAAAAAAGTGTTTATTTAAGGACCTGGCAATCAGGCCTGTAAAGAGATATATCTCCAGTCTACACAAATAAATCATTTAGAACAGATCAATTTAAATTCGCCTTTGAAGAACAGATTTCTTTTATGGAAGATAGAGGGGTGAAACAATTTGTTAGGCTCATTAGTTTTAGAGGATTAGCAAGAAGAAAATATTAAAGGATTTTTTCCATGTTTCTATGATTTCATTTTTTTTCTTAAATGTTACCACAGAAAAGAAGATAATACAGTTTTTTTCGGATAACAAGGGCAATAGTAGTGATAAAAGCAGTAACATCTTTCATGAAAAAAAAACAAGGTGCTTAAACTAAAATTTTTAAATCTTTTTATCTTTGCCACCTGATCGTGTCAACCTTTGATAAATATGATCTGAAAAAAATAAAAGTTTAAAATATCACCGGTCCATGAAATGGGGTTGCAAAGATATAGGGATTGAAAAATCAAAGGTTGTGGCAAAAACTTAGTCGATATTTCCAAATAAATGTTTGTTTTGAACAAAGCATCATATTTGTCATTTTTGTTAAGATTCTCAATATTATCTTCTTCTCTGAATTATCGTCATAATATTAAATCATAGAAAAGAGAAAAAGTATGAATCAGAGATAATTGTATCATTCATTCTTTGAAAGTACTTGCATATTTTTTCATCTTACATTAAGTTATTAGTTTGTAAATACAATCTTTAAATAAAAAAGAAACACATGGTGATTATTACAACGCCAGTTTGCACTTTTAGCCCTGCTTTTAATCCACTTTAACCATTGGATGTACTTTTTTAAGATAAAAGTAGGAAAAGTACATTTTCGGTTTGATTTTTGTCTTTTAAAATATAAAGCCAAATTTAATATGTTTATTTAGTACAACGCGGTCATACATAGATTTCAGGGTCGTATAGAGGGGGCTATGGGGGCTAAGCCGCCACCATTGATAAAGTCAGCTTTCGTAGTTTTGTTTGAGGTGATACACAAAAAATTTATTAAAAAAATTTAAAATGTTATTTTTTCAGAATAAAAACGGAGAAAAAAAGAGGAGGAAAGAAGTGGAAAGAGGAGGAGGAAGAAGATAAAGAGGGAGAAGGTTGAAGAGCTGAAGATGAGTAAAGTTCAGAGAAAACAGGGAGTCGGGGGTCTTTTCAGGTCAGTACGTTGGTTTGAACAATCACAACGGTACCCTTGAAGACTTTGTCTGAACAAGCATTAGATATTCGTGTTTTGATTTTGGAAAAGGATAATTTTCAGGGTAGAGCTGTGAGTCGGCACTTTAATTAAAGGCTTTCTTGAAATTACAATTGGACAATCCCATTTAAGGTTGTTTACATTTACATTGTTTACATTTAGACCAGTTTCCTGGAACAAAGGTCGTCGTTTCACCAGTCCTGGACCTGAGATACAAAAACTAAATGAAAACACTGGAATTCAAAATTATGAGGTGAGTATTGTTTTTAGGAAAAAACTTTTAGATCCGTTTTTAACTTTTAAACATTTTAATAGTTCTCTCAAAGGAGTTGAGTTTTTGCCACAAACTCTGAGTTTCAAATCTCTATATCTTTGCAACCCATTGTCGTAGACCTTAGTTATTTCAAACTATGAATTCTGTTAGATGAAATGGCGTAAATTTGAAATATCAAAGGTACTATACACCATTGGATTGATAAGATATTGTGATTAGAAGATTTAAGTTATGTGGCAAAAACTCGTTTCCTTTAAAAAATATTATCTCCAAGACAAGCATGTTTTTATTACATTATGCCAGCATTTGAAAAAAAAACGCAATATATTTAATCATAATTATAACTTTGCAACATATAAATACAATTTTTAAATTTGTAAGAATTCTAACTTTAACTGAACGTTTAATGTTTAAAAACGAATAAAGAACAATGCCCAAGACTCGAAGATTTTTTGTTTTCAGTTTTTTCGTTATTTTTTCGATGCAATCGATCTCAGTTGCTTAAAAACAAGTTTAAACATCATAAAAATAGCCTAGTGTAATCTGACGCATTCTGATTTGCAGAACAGATGTGCAAATTGAAAATTCAATTTTCTAATTTTTATTTACTCCATGTAAGAAGCATATTTTCAAAATCGTTCAGAAAACTGTAAGAGAAAAATTTACAACAAAATTTTTATATTTTTATTAAAATCTATAGAAAAGTATTCCGAACATTTTTAATTCTTTAGAATTTTTTTAATTAACTTTTTATCGAAAGCAAGTTTTGATGATGAAGGTTTTCAAGAGTTTTAGATAAAAAAGTCTTAAAACCTGATGAATTATTAATAAACACACTAAAAATCACTTAAGTTGTAAAGTATCAATACCTTCATAAAAAAATAGAACAAAGTTTTTATATTTAAATTATTGCATTTCACCAAATTGGACACAAATAATAAAGGATGTTTTTTTTATAGCGGTAAATTTCTTTGATCATCCCGGAGTGCGTAGTTACAAAGATTATCATTTGAACGTTTTGAAGTGTTCTTATCTTGTTAAATGTTCAGTTAAGGTTAGAATTCATTAGAATGAAGCGAATACATATTCTCAGAGAGGTTAGACATGTTTTTTTCGAACGTATGAATTTGGAATTCTCGTCGTATTAAAAAAGGGGCAGATTGGATTCACAACGTGGTTCCCTTTAAACCTTTTCTCATCAATAATGTGAAAGACTTTTTCTTTGTTTCAACCTGAAAAAATACCTAATTCTGAAAAAGTGCCTAATTCTAAAAAAGTACCTAATTCTGAAAAAGTACCTAATTCTGAAAAAGTACCTATTCTGAAAAATTACCTAATTCTGAAAAAGTACCTAATTCTAAAAAAGTTCCAAATTCTGAAAAGTACCTAATTCTGAAAAAGTACCTAATTCTGGAAAAGTACCTAATTCTGAAAAAGTACCTAATTCTGAAAAAATACCTAAATCTGAAAAAGTACCTAATTCTGAAAAAATACCTAATTCTGAAAAAGTACCTAATTCTGAAAAAGTACCTAATTCTGAAAAAGTACCTAATTCTGAAAAAGTACCTAATTCTGAAAAAGTACCTAATTCTTAAAAAGTACCTAATTCTGAAAAAGTACCTAATTCTGAAAAAGTATCTAATTCGGCAAAAAATTCCTTTAAGTAGGAAAATTACGTCTACAGACCATTTGGAAATCTCTTGGCTGTAAAGTTTTAAATTTTTAGGGTCCCTTGATGCGGCTCCAGATTGAAGCATATTTGGACGATAACCCTGAATTTGCAGAGTCCTACGTTCTACGCAAAATCAGCAGAAAAACAATAGGTAATTAGTATTCATACAATTTGATCTTGATTCTTTGACCTAATTTTGATCTGTTTTGTTTGTTATTTTACGTAGATTTCTACAATTATAGACAATCTCAATTTGACAATATATCAGTCAATTATTAAAATAACCAATTTTCTTTTTTAATTCCATCACAAACAATTAACTTTCAATAAATCTTAGAAAAAATTATTTTAAGAAAAATGGCTTAAACTGCACTCCGTGCAAGAACAAGAGAATCCTCTACTAATAGTTCAAGAACCAACCACTCCAGGTACAGTATAGTACGGTACAGTACGGTACAGCATAGTATAGTACAGTAAAGTACAGTTCATACATTACAGTACAGTACAGTACAGTAAAGTACAGTACAGTAAAGTACAGTACAGTAAAGTAAGTACAGTACAGTACAGTACAGTACAGTACAGTACAGTACAGTACAGTACAGTACAGTACAGAACAGAACAGTACAGTACAGTACAGTACAGTACAGTACATTTTAGCATAGTGCAGTACAGTACAGTACAGTACAGCACAGTAAAGTACAGTACAGCACAGTACAGTACAGCACAGTACAGTACATTCCTGTATAGTACAGTACATTCCAGTATAGTACAGTACAGTACAGTACAGTACAGCACAGTAAAGTACAGTACAGCACAGTAAAGTAAAGTACAGTACATCAGAGCACAGTACAGTATACAGTTCATACATTATAACATGTTTTTTCACTGTTTACTGGTACAATGTATACAGTTCATACATTATAACATGTTTTTTCCCTGTTTACTAGTACAATGTATACAGTTCATACATTATAACATGTTTTATCACTGTTTACTGGTACAATGTATACAGTTCATACATTATACCATGTTTTATCACTGTTTACTGGTACAATGTATACAGTTCATACATTATAACATGTTTTTTCACTGTTTACTGGTCCAATGTATACAGTTCATACATTATACCATGTTTTTTCCCTGTTTACTAGTACAATGTATACAGTTCATACATTATAACATGTTTTCCCTGTTTACTGGTACAATGTATACAGTTCATACATTATAACATGTTTTCCCTGTTTACTGGTACAATGTATACAGTTCATACATTATAACATGTTTTTTTTCAGGAAGAAAGTTTTCCGATGAACCCAGTTATTCTTCACAAATAAGGAAAACAGTTCATTACAAACATTAGTTTTTACGCAGTTTTAGCGGGTTTTTCTATCTTTATGAATCAAAGAACAATTGCAAAAAAAATGTCAGTGTTGGGTCCTGACAAAAAAATGAGAATTTCCACAGTGATTTGATTGAATATGCTTAATAATAGAAAGCCGCGTTTATAACAGAATTTTTGGGAAAAAAATACATTTTTAAGGTTCAAAATAATTATTTGTATTTACTTTATTACTGTAACATAAATATTTTTTGTTTGTTTTCTATAAAATACGAAAAAAAATATATTGTTTAAATTTAGCTTCGAGCAGATGACTTGAATTGGTTGTTTTTCAGGAAACGATTTTCCGCCGATAATTCTCCCACGATCCACCGATCTATCTCGGTTACTCCGAACCGGAAGATTTCTGCTTCTGTGTTTGAAGCAAGCGGGCTTAGGTATAGGTTTGTGGCTTTGCTCAGTTTTTTTAGCTTTAATAATAATAATTTGATAATCGTTGGAGAGAGAACTGATTGCTCGGATCTAATTCTAATTTACTAATACCTATATCTTGGAAATTTTGAGTTAGATGCAAGTAATCAGTTTCTATATCTCTGAAAATTTTAGGTCTGCCATTTTATCAACGGCGGATGACGGCTCCGCCTCGTTCCTATCCACCAACTCCGCCGTGGACCTGTCCAGGCAAAGGTCCAAGTCCCTGATCCTGGTCGGGGAGCAGAGGTCCATCAAGGACGTGACGAACACGATCATCTCTGAGCTGGACTTGAGCGTGCTCTGTCAGAAGATTGCGCATCATCTTCTCTCAATATCCCAGGGTTCAGAGTGTACAATCGCTCTACCTACAGATGGACTTAAGCGAGGATATAGGATAGAGGCGATCAATATCAGGTAAACAGCAAGTAAGCAAGCTATAAAGCAAAAATCTGATAGGATTTTGCCAATAACTCCTTCTACATGGTTTCTAAAATCATGGAAATCGTAGTTTTTAAAATGCGGTTTTTAAATCTTAAACATATATATCTGTGACTCTATTTAAGGAAATGAAGCGAGCAAAAAACAATAATCAATTCTGAGCTGAAAATTTTAGAATTATTGATATCGAGATCAATACTTGATGTTCTCTTTTTATTAATCTGCCGATTAATTTAATCTTGCATTAATATCCAGGCAAGTGTCTAAAATTAAACCAATCAGAGAGTTGATTGAAGAAACCAAACAGACAATCAAAAAAGAGGATTAAACAGAAAATAAAAAGAGATCTGGCAATCGGGATTAAGGGTGATCTTAATTAATTTCTTTATGTTTTTAGACAGAACGGAGTGGGTGGAGTGAGACAGATATCTGCTCTACCACTTCCAGATAGTAGGGTGGAGATAGATAATTCTACAGTAAGGTAGAGTACACTTCCAGATAGTAGGGTGGAGATAGATAATTCTACAGTTAGGTAGAGTACACTTCCAGATAGTAGGGTGGAGATAGATAAGTCTACAGTTAGGTAGAGTGCACTTCCAGATAGTAGGGTACACTTCCAGATAGTAGGGTACACTTCCGGATAGTAGAGTAAACTTCCAGATAGTAGAGTAGAGATAGATAATTCTACTGTTATGTAGAGTACACTTCCAGATAGTAGGGTGGAGATAGATAATTCTACTGTTAGGTAGAGTACACTTCCAGATAGTAGAGTAAACTTCCAGATAGTAGGGTGGAGATAGATAATTCTACAGTAAGGTAGAGTACACTTCCAGATAGTAGGGTGGAGATAGATAATTCTACTGTTAGGTAGAGTACACTTCCAGATAGTAGGGTGGAGATAGATAATTCTACTGTTAGGTAGATTACACTTCCATATAGTAGTTTATCTCCCCTGCAGTGAGATTAACTATCTCCATGTTTAGTTTATTGACGGATGGAAAACTAGTCTATCTTCCCTCCTCCTCCAACCTGTTCCCTAAAACATCCCAGGTTACTCTACCCGGAGCTACTGTAGGAATCTGTCTCATCCCACTCAGAGATATTCAAGAAGGTATTAAGGTTTATCTATTTTTCTATAATTTTCTTATTATTCCAGAAAATCGTAATTTAGACCCATTGAGGATCTTATATGATTAACTATATCCATCTCACCCAAGTCCAAAGGTTACATGATCCTAGACGGTAAAACACGTATTGTATATGCATTCAGCTTCAGCCGTACTGTCCAGTCAGGCTACCCAGGGTAGAGTCAACCCAGCACGATTTATCCAAAAAATGTAGCCTGGTAAGATCACAGTGATCTATTAATCCATGTATTTAGAACTGCAAGGGTTTGCTGCTGTTAAGGGAAGAGATCTCCTGGAGCTTCAAGCTAACACAGGAATAAACTCATCAAGAACTTTTTAAAAAACATGGAAACGAGTGCTTAGGATCCGGATCTGGAGCCACAAAAATATGCAGATCCACGGATCAGGATCCAAGGGGCAAAATATCAACCAAAAAATTAATTAAAAAAAACTTTTTTACTCTCAAAACCCAAATTTGAATTGTTGAAAAAAGAGATATCATAAAAATTTTCTTATCTAAAAATGGTTCATCAAGCATAAACAGCGTTATCCTTTTTCAATCAGAATGAATTAGAGTTCCTTGTTTTTTGAGATAAAAATTGATTATTCAACTGTGCAGTTTCCTTTAAGAATGACTTTCGCATTTATGCTGCAGGAACGAAAAGAAGTTGTCAGAAATTAGCACTGTTGAAAATACAAAATCGACATAATCTTTCTCATTGCTACACCGAGAAAGGTTTAAAGAGTACCGATTACTTTCCTTTTTATTATCGTCTTCCTTCACCCCGATATGTATTTGTAAATTTAATAATGCAATGCATTATCCGTCAAATTATGATAAAAATGACTCCTTTACCCTGTGATTTATAAAAAAAATGCCTGTCTGTATTTTACATTAAAAATGGATGGAGAAGAAATTGGCTGAAATTTATTGATTAAAATGTTTGAGACGGTAGACCACATTTTGGAAATATTTTACAATTTGCTTTTATTGTAATATTTTCTCTTTAAATCTTTAAACATTTTTCACATTTTTTCAAGTATCCTGTAAAATTAGATTTCTGAACATTCTTTGTAAAACTAACTATTAAATTCTTAAAGTTTTTTTTATTAAATATTGTGTTCTTTCAACATTTAACAAGATGAGAAAATGTATTTTCTTCATACCTTCATGAATGCATCTTATATACAGATTTATCGTTAAAGCCAAATTTTGAAAAACAAGAGCTTATTATGCTTGAATCCTTGGTTTGAGTTTATATTTGTTTAGTACTGCTGGATCTAGCCAGAATATCAGGGATATGTTTAAAGAATTCAACACAGTACAATGCAGCGAGACTAGAGGTCACTAGATCACAGGTAGTCTATCGAGGTTAGAGGTCACTAGATCACAGGTAGTCCATCGAGGTTAGAGGATACTAGATCACAGGTAGTCCATCGAGGTTAGAGGATACTAGATCACAGGTAGTCCATCAAGGTTAGAGATTACTAGATAGCTGGTACAGACATTCATCGAGGTTAGATGATACTAGATAGCGTTGTTGTCGGATAGGAACAAGATTCTCAATAATGAACAGATAGACAACGGAGTAACCCTCAAATCAAAACTGATAATGCAGAAAACTCTTTATTTCCTAAAAAAATCAAATGTATAATGAAAAATAATTATTACAATGGTTTACAAATTTTATAATGAAAAGATTCTTACGATCTAATTAAGGATCTGTAGGTTAAAACCGTCGGGGAGTCCTAAGACGTTTTTTATACATTAAAACTTCTGAAAAGAATGACAATTAAATGTTAACGAAAGTCACTAATTCTTTATATGAAATATTCTTTGCTTAACTTTTGAAATGGGTTCACAATTAATAAAAGTGTTTATATTCCGTTGTCGGAGAACAAAGAGAAGCGGGGCTGAAATTGTTTGGTTTGGTGTCTCGTCTCCGAGAGTTGATTTTAGGTTGAAGACGACATTACATGGATGGGCGGGGGGGTCTTATAGTTAATGGTTGATAAGCGTGTAGTTACATTCATCGATGTTAGAGGATACTGGAGATAGCTGGTAGTTACATTAATTGAGGTTTGAGGATACTAGATAGATGGTAGTTACATTCATCGAGGTTAGAGGATACTAGATAGCTGGTAGTTACATTAATCGAGGTTTGAGGATACTAGATAGCTGGTAGTTACATTTATCGAGGTTAGAGGATACTAGATAGCTGAAAGTCATATTCATCGAGGATAAAGAATGTAAAATGCATTATTTCAGGTGTTCCTGGACCTAGCTCGAGTAATATTTGACGAGCAGACCTCCATAGAATTTACTGTTCTTAAGATACTCATCAACTTTCTCAGTTTAATAGGTAGATATCATAGATATGCAAGACTTAGTAGATATATAAATGTACGTGGGTGGGTCAAATTTTTCTAAATAATTTAACCCTGAGGCCGAATTTAATGAATTTGAGCCGAGTCTCAAATCCACCAAAAATCGATTTTAATTGAGCTCCGGCTTAAATCTTGAAACATTGAATACAATTTTAAGAAGAACCATAATTGAGCCGCGTTTCAAATTTAAATCGCGGCTCAAATACTCTAAATTCGGCCTCTGTACAATTGAATTGGATATGGGATGGGATTTTAAAAATTAAATATTCGCGTTAAACTACAGTGATAACCAGAAAACTCTGGAATAGGAGGACGACTTTTAAACTTAAATTATGACTTTAGATAGTCCAAGAAGCCCGGGAAGGAGAAATCGTTCAGTTTGAACAGACCCATTTTACATGATTTGTGATTTAATAAGTGTCTAGTAAAACTATTTGCTTTGTAACAACATCAAAAACACTTAAGTATTGCTACAACGTCGTGTTCCTATTTTGTAGTTTTCTGGTTATCACTGTATGATGACAATAATTTTTTTTTCTAAGAAATAAAAATTATTTATTAGAATGTGAGCGGGCCCAGGTTCTCCTCTCTTCTGCTGAATCTCCAACACAGTTTCATAAAGTTTTCGATCTGGAGGAAGCCGACCTTAATCGTCCAGATTTCGAGGAGTTGAAATCTCCGTTCGAAAACCGGTTTCCTATCAACAGCTCAATTTCCGGTCTGGTGGCCGCAACAGGTTACTAACGTTTTTTCTTTAAATAATCATTCTCTATTTTCAATCGGAAAGATGAAAGTTAACGAGCTGAAAACATTAGAATGAGATATCCTTAATCCCGATTAAGGATATTAAGTAAGTATCCAATGGACACACTTTTAATTTTCTACTTAAACTGTTCTTTCTTGGATATAGTAGAGAAAATTCAAAAGCAGGTTTTCTTAATTAGAGAGTTCCTCCCATTTCTGTATACACTATATAATCTTAAATGGCGCGCAAAATTTCAAATTTATCAGCTTCATATACGCGACTCTGATTGGTTGAATTTTATACACTTTTCAGGATACAAGCTTACAAGATTAAGTTAGTCTCGATATTAAGATAAAGAGAGACGCATTAATCTCAATATCCACCATTCTAAAGTTTTCAGCTCTGTTTTCACGTTAGGTTATGATTTATCAAAAGAGTTTAAAATTTTCTTTTGATATCAAGTTCTACCAATTAGTGTACAGTGCACAAAATCTTCTGAATCCAATTTTGAAATAATTTAGATTAAATTTTGAGAAATCTTAAAAATATAATTTTATCCAAGTAATCTTTAAAATTAAATTTTTCTGAACCAAATTCGTACATTTTTTACAATGTGCACAATGTTGAATGTGAGTGTAAAATAATTACATTTAACAAATTTCATATTATCAAACTTTTGAAAATCAAGACTTTATCTTTATCTTACCGGCTATGTAAGGTAGTTGAACTGAGTATGCAGTGTTGAGGAATACTTCTTTCGGATTCATTTGAGACATATTAAACTTTTTAAAGATCTGTAAATCCTGAGTTTGAGTGCAAATTTTATGTTCAAAACTCCTACTCAAAATCAGTTTTTTTTAAATTATTAAATAAATTATTTAAACACCTTTATTTTTACTTCATATATATATATATACTGAATTGAAGAAAAAATCCCTAAATGTATACCACGGTAAAAGTTCAATAAAAATTTCATCCTTCGTTCGGATTAGGAATCCGTGAGATGTTTGGTATCGGGGATTTGAGAATGGATATAGGATATTTTAAAAAATTGGATATCGTAATCGGATATATTTAAAAAAATGAACTCGGAACTTAAAAATCAGATTTCGGAGAATAAAAGATTGGATATCGTAGTAATATTAAAGATAAAATATCGAAGATTTAAAAAAATAAATTTTCGATATTAAATAAGATATTTTTAGGAGAGACGGTAAATATTGGTGATCTATCTACCGATCATAGATTTGATCCCAGGCTCAATGGTGATGTGGATGTGGAACATAGGCTAGTTATTCTTTACATACAGTGATAACCAGAAAACTCTGAAATAGGAAGACGATTTTTAGTCTCAAGTTATTACTTTAAATATGAGTCACAACAATTGTGCGGTGTAAGCAGACCCATTTTACTTAATAAGTGATTTAATAAGGATCTAGTAAAACTATTTGCTTTGTAACAGCATCAAATACTATAATGTCGTCTTCCTATTCCATTGTTTTCTAGTTCTTCCTGTTTATCACAACTTTTCATAATTTAACGATCATTTAATATTTCTCAAATTTTCTGAAAAAAATCTAGGATCTACACCCGCACTTCAATTCTAGACATATTTGATTGCACATAATCTATGTCCGTATAAAATAGTCGTAATCCCTATTTGTTTGTTGGTTTGTTTGTATGTCCGATTATAACTATGGAACCCCTTGACCGATTTCCCTAAAATTTTGATTTGGGAACTTGTTAGAACCATGGGAATGTATACTAACTGTTCTAAGTTTGGTAAAAAAATTAAAAAATCAAGTAGGTTTTAGAAAACTTTAGTTTTTTAAGCAACGCTGGGTTCCCAAAAATGAAATTTAAATATTAAATTGATAATCAATACGATTCCTTAATTTTCTTGGAAAAAAATTGACTTCCATTTTTATTTTATATTTTTGTTCTTAAAGAAAGTAGGAATAGAAAAACAATTTGACTAACTAATTGTCTGTTCAATGTTTGTAAAAGTATCTAATCAACCCCTTTTCTTCTCAATTAGATTTATTTTTTTGTCTATTTTTAACTAAAAATACAATCTTTAGCAAAAAATGTAAAGCACACTGCATGACAAAAAAAGGAGATATCATCGTTTTCCTAGCTGCAGTACCTTTAATTATTGTAAAATAATATTTCAAGTATTTAGATCCCTTCTCTGTATGCCTATACTGGATAGTGATCAGAAAATACTCGGTGTTATATCTCTTATCAATAAAAAGGTAAATATAAATATATATATATGTATATTTTATAAACTAATTTGAAAGGAGCGAACCATTTGCCATACATTTCAACTTTTTAATCAGATTATTGTGTAAATCTTTGCAACATTATTATGTAATGAAATGAAAGAAAGGTCTAGTACAGTCAGGTTATAATGATATAAGGATAAGAAAATTAGTGTTTAGTTAATTTAGTGATATCTATATATATAAAGATATCTCTCTTTGTTTGTTTGTCCGATCATAACTCGGGAATCCCTGGACCGATTTGCCTCAAATTTTGATTGGGGAACTCGGGAGGCCCACGGGAATGTTCTTAGCTTGGTTGGGTCGACTTTAACAGCGAAAATTTAGTTTTCTGTTAAAAATCGACGACGTGGGGGTAAATGGCGGGAGTAACTATGAGTGCCTTGTGCAACGCTAGGTTCCCAAGCTAGTTTTACATATTTTAGGTCTGAAACCCTATAAGGTCAATATCTTATAATTAATGAGCTTTTACTTAAAAATTTATAATAATTTATTTAAAAGTTGTCTCTAGGAGGGTCAGTTTACCTGGAACGATGAAAGATTTGTGGAAGCGTTTGGAATATTTTGCGGCATTGCGCTCAGAAACGTTTCTCAGTTTGAGATTGTTCAATCTGCCGAAGCTCGATGTCAGGTAAAGAGATGGTTTTAACCATAGTTTAATCAAAATAACAGATAGGACACTAGATGTCGTCTTTTCAAGATTCTACACTTAACTCCTTTGGGCTGCTGCCTCAGTGATATTTGAACGTAAGTTAACAAAATCTTGAAAAGTCGACATCTAATGTCCTATCTGTTATTTTAATTAATCTATGGTTTTAACGCTAGGGTTATAACTCCTTCTGGAAAAAATCTATACTGCAAAGCGTATCGGCTTTATCTGACAAAAGTTGTGAGCTTTCATTTAACGCCATCAAACAAACACTATTTTAAAGACACATTCATAAACACAAATCTCCTTTTTTAGCTTTAGTTTTTCAGAAGTAATTGGCAAAATACTCATTAAATTTTGCTTCCCACCTTTGGATCTCATATCTAAGGATTATAATTTTACCGAAAAACATTTTATTATTTATTATTGGATTACTGATTACTTGTGTTTGTTTCAAGAGTTACTTCAAATTTGGTCCACACTCCACAGTCTTTTAATTTTGTCAGGTTGCTCTGGAGATAATGTCCTACCACGCAGATTCAGATCCAAAGGAATAAATCAAATTAATGAGAAAGAAATTCATTCATTTATTGTTTAATTAATAAATTAAATTATCAAAAAATCTACTATAGATATTTAATAAAAAAAATTAATGAATTTTCAACAGTGGAAAAATGAATGCATCCATATATAAAGCAAAGCAGGTCAGTTGGTAGAAACATGGTTGGAAGAAACATGGTTGGAAGAAACATGGTTGATAGAAACATGGTTGGAAGAAACATAGTTGGTAGAAACATGGTTGGTAGAAACATGGTTGGAAGAAACATGGTTGGAAGAAACATGGTTGGTAGAAACATGGTTGGAAGAAACATGGTTGGTAGAAACATGGTTGGAAGAAACATGGTTGGTAGAAACATGGTTGGAAGAAACGTAATTAATAGAATCTGAAATCAATTAGAGTTCTCTCTGCACATTTGTTGAATTTCGCTTCATAAACAGAGATTCAACAACTAGGAAGTAATAACGCATCAAATCAAGACCTCGCCGACTTCGAATTGTCGCTGAACACGCCAAACTAAAGTAGATTACACGAAAGATTAAATTATTAAATGTTTTCAATCATAAATCTTTCAATTAAAGAGCTATTGAGAAGAACATTTTGAATTTATAATATGTAACCGGGTAAGTTTGCTTTTTTCATACTCATGCGTAAATTCAAAACTAGAGGAGCTACGAGGTCACAAAGTTGTACCAAGAGTTTGCTAAGCCTTTTAGTTTAACCTCACTTAAATTTGTTTAGTCGTGGCCAGGGGGGATGATAGTTCTCTACCTGTGTGCTCAGTTAGCTGTAATGTACACTTACAACTATTTACTAATATTGATATACTATAGGTTAGGCCAGAATCAACTGATATTAAACAAATATGCAGTACGCTCTCGGTATAGTTGATGGCCTATACAATTAGTAAAGGATTAGCGTACATCATCACTCTATACACTATAACCTCGTTAGTCGTGGGGCATAGACTTTGCTAGCCTCTAGTTGGGAAATAAAACGTGCTAGGTCGACTTTACACTGAGAAGTCTAGTCTGTGCGGTAGGAGTAGGGATGTTAACGTTTTCATTTTTTTGAAAAACTATCGTTTTTTCGTTTTCCTTTCGTTTTTTGTTTCGTTTTTCGATCGTTTTAAAAACTATCGTTTTTTAAAGTTTTTAAAACGATTGTTTTTAAAATGATCGGAAAACGAAACAAAAAACAACAGGAAAACGAAAAAAACGATCGTTTAATGATTGTTTTCAAAAACGATTAACAACCCTAGGTAGGAGTAAACGCATTTACAGGACAATAACATTAGACCGGTGAATCCTTGTGCCAGTTCGGATCTTGCAACGATTGGGTTGGGTATGCACGCGTCGAAACTGCAACGCCATTGTTTCTAGCTTTCGTTAAAAAGGAGTATTTTGCAACACCCTACTAGTTATTTGAACCGCGAGCATATTTAGGTTCACAGGGCAGTGTTTAGATTCTTACAACTGCAATTTTACCAACCATGGTTCGTTTCAACTGTATCGGATGATAAGAATGATGATAATTGATCAAGTTTGGTTTGATTAACTCCAGGAGGCCGAGGAACTAAGTAAACTACCCGTTCCTTCAGTTCTCTCTCTTCAGCTCCAGTCCCTCACATTCCTAGATACAGAACTACAGGAGAGAGATACAGTTAGAGCATGTTTACGGTAAATTATACCTTACATTACAGGTATAACATGTTTGCGGTAAATATACCATACAATATATACAGTTAGATCATGTTTACGGTAAATTATACCTTACATTACAGTTATAACATGTTCACAGTAAATATACCATACAATATATACAGTTAGAGCATGTTTAAGGTAAATATACCATACAATACATACTGCAGTTAGAGCATGATTACGGTAAATATACCATACAATATATACAGTTAGAGCATATTTACGGTAAATATGCCATACAATATATACAGTTATAGCATGTTTACGGTAAATAAACCATACAATATATTCAGTTATAACATGTTTACGGTAAATATACCATACAATATATACAGTTATAACATGTTTACGGTAAATATACCATACAATATATACAGTTATAACATGTTTACGGTAAATATACCATACAATATATACAGTTAACACATGTTTACGGTAAATAATCTATGAAATGTACTCCTATTTGAATTGTACTCTATTAACTGTTCCCTAGAATGTTCTATGAGCTGGACCTGGTCTCCAGGTTTGGGTTGGATCACAATGTTCTCTGCAGATGGTTGCTCACCACTAAGAAGAACTACAGGGTTGAAGTACTCTACCATAATTGGAACCATGCATTTAATGTTGCTCAGGTATTAGCTGCAGGGAATCTATATTGTAAGAACTAAGACTGAATAAATTCCGTACAGTCGTCTTTGAAGTCAAATCCTTTGTGGGTAACCAGCTGTAACTTGATAAAGCATCAATTTTTTTTCCAGCTTTAGTTCCAAAAAGAATGAAACACTCGTCTAAAACTTTAATTATCAAGTCCTTTCATCTTCGCAACCTTTGATATTTCAAACTTTTACGCCATCAGGTTGCAAAGATATGAAAGAATTAGAAAATGAGATTGAGGAGAGTAATCAAATTCTTTAATTTAAAAATTCACATAAAGTAATTGAGCCTTTGTCAAAATCTCTGATTTTCTAATTATTATATCTTTGCAACCCAATGCCGTAGACCATATATATTTCAAACCATGAATACTGTTTGGTCATAAAATCCATCAGGTTGCAATAATATTTGGATTAGAAAATTAGACTCAATTACACATAAGCGAAGGCGTACTCTGAAAAAATCTAGGGGGCCGAATATTCGCGAAGCGCAAAAGTTGTTTTGCCCCCCCTCTAGGAGCTCCTAGGGGGGGGGGGGGGATTTGAACTGTATAGTCCAATTACCTTACAAGTACTATTTTACCTCTCAGTCAAACATAACTAGCAGAAAAAGGGCAGCAAACTAATTTTTTTATGTTCTTCGCTCTTCAATTTCAGATCTGAAAAGTGTAATAGCTCTGAGTTTTGGGGGGCTTTATATGTCGTCTTAAAATTACAAAATTTTACGGGTTTGTACACATAGGATGAAACTGTAAAGACGACTTGAAACTTTATATTAAATTATTTTACAGTTGCGGTAAATCAATAATATGAGGAAACAGACAAAATACATTTTGTACTGTCGAACCTGAAGTCTCATTCTTTATAGGAAACCCTGTATAATATTTATATTTATGTATCTAGATGATGTTTTCCTGTTTGTTAAACTCCGGATGGTGGTCTGGGTTGGGTCCTATCTCCTGTCTAGGACTTCTCATCGCCTGTCTTTCACACGACCTGGATCATAGAGGAACCAATAACAGGTTTATACCTTCAAACCATTCTTTTATTCTGTTTAAAGGAAGTGCAAACGTAATTTTAAATTCTAGAATATAATGTTCGATTCACAACGGTACCCTTTAACTAGTTTACACTATTTCGTAAACATAAATCCGCAATTGTCACTTTTACAGAGAAAGATACGAAATTTTCAGTTTGAAAAACTATGATATTACATTCATTCTTGATCAATATATGGTTTTCAGGGTAAAGTTGTGAATTTAAAGAACGCCTGCAATCCCTTTAAATCTAAATATTTAAAGTCAAAATTCTGGACACAAAGGTTATTAAGATTTGTGTAAAGGTCAAGCAACAGCTTTTATTTATTGAATTATTATCTAGAGAAATTTATATATAATAAAAATATATAAATATGAAATATTAATATCAATCCTTGATAAAGCTTTGTTTGTTTTTATCTTCAGGTTAATTATTTTGAAGATAGTAAAAGCCGACAACTATTTCTGAAACTTTATAATCCTTGCAAGATATCATTTTTGAAATGTTTTCAAGTGGACTTTCAAACCTAAGGTCTTTTAAACAATACTTTGTTTGATAGTTTTTAAATGACTAATTAGAAGTAGAATCATGATTGGTTAAGGGATAGGTGTTTACGTGTCAGTTTTTCATCAAAAACCTATCCTCAAAGTAAACTGATTAGTCCCAACAAACGATGATTTGTCATTCCAGAGATCTTTGCAACCTGATGTTGTAACTTTAAACCTTTGATATTTCAAACTATTTGATCCAGCAGAATTCAAAGTTTAAAATATCAAGTTGAATAGGTATGGTATGGGATTATAAAATTCGGAGAGAAATATGTACTTTTAGCCTCAGATTTTTCTTAAAAATCATATTTTTATTTTTATATTTTTAATGGTTTTATTTATTTTAGTTATCAATTGTCCACAGATTCTCCTCTAGCTCGTCTCTACTCAACCAGTACCCTGGAGAGACATCATCTTAACCAAACCTTGGTTATACTTAATCTTCAAGATAATAGGTGATTATCTTAACCAAACCTTGGTTATACTTAATCTTCAAGATAATAGGTGATTATCTTAACCAAACCTTGGTTATACTTAATCTTTAAGATAATAAGTGATTATCTTAACCAAACCTTGGTTATACTTAATCTTTAAGATAATAGGTGATTATCTTAACCAAACCTTGGTGATACTTAATGTTCTAGATAATAGGTGATTATCTTAACCAATTCTTTGTCATTCTTTATCTTCAAGATAATAGGTGAAATTATCTTTTAAACCTAGATTATACTTTATCTTCAAGAGAGTACATATCTTATCCACAATTAAGAATAATAAATTTTCTTATAGAAAAATTAGGATATCATCCTTGATCAGACAAATGTTAAAATGGTATCGTTGTCAATCGGACATGTCACTCTACTTATGGAGGATTCCTTGAAATTATATCTACGGTATCTTCAGAATTTGAGATCTTGGCTAAATCTTGATTTTCCCAGAATCCTGGAGCCCTTGAATTCTTCTGAATATACTGCTGTTCTAACAATAGTAGAGGAAGCTATTATTGCCACAGACCTGGCCCTCCACTTTGCTCATTTATCTAAACTTACTGCACTATCTAGGTAAATATACCATACAATATATACAGTTATAACATATATATCTGCTCCTAAAGGAGTGAACTGGGAGGATGGAAAGGTGACCTCTATTATAAGATCAGCTCTGATGACTGCTGCAGATCTGGGAGCTTCAACTAAACCCTGGGAGATGCAGAAGGAGGTATTTATATCCCAGTTTTCTATCTGGACTCCCTTTGTTAATCTGAGATTTTTGAATTAAGTATAATTGTTTAGGTAGCTGGATTGATAGCTGAAGAGTTCTGGCAGCAAGGAGACTTGGAGAGAGTTAGATTAAACAAACCGTCCCAACCCTTGATGGATAGGAGAGTTGCAAACCAGGATTTGTTAACAGACAGAGAAAAAGTTATTCTTAAAATAATTCAAAAATTAATTTTGTCTTTCTTTTAATATACAAGCTCTACTTTTTATTATTAACAAAGAACTAATTACTCGCCTCAACTTTAATTTCCTTTCATCTCTACAGCCTAATGTCCCAGAATACTGCTAGATCAAATAGCCAACGTTTGAAATATCACAGATTTAAACTATTAGAATGCAAAGATATTGAGATTAAAGAGTTTGAGTTTGTAGCAAGTAATTAACTACATTTTTCTTCTTTTCAACCCGGATAAAAGTTTATAGTTTGCAACCGTATTTAGAGATTTGAGGGATTCCTTCCCCCAGCTCCAGGTTGGGTTCTGTCAGGATGTGTGTCTACCCGTCTACAAGTCACTGACCAACCTCTGCCCCGCCCTACATCCACTGCAGGACGGAGTAGAGGACAACAGGGACAGATGGTTGGAGATCGCCAGGAACCAGGACAGGGATGAGGAGGAGGGCGATGAGGAGGACGAGGAGGAGGAAGAAAGAGAAATTGAAGAGAGAAGTTCGGACGAGGAGAAGACGATCGGAACAGATAATCAGAAAGTTACGCGGAATCTTTAGCATTAGGTCACGGAACCTTCTTAGATCCGGTCACATTTTTATAAGATACAGTCACTGGATCTAGGGTGTTCCAAAGTACGATCACGGAGCCTAGAATATTCTATGATCCGGTCACGGGTGTTCCAAGATATGGGTACTGGATCTATGGTGTTCCGAGATAAGGTTACTAGATCTATGGTGTTCCAAGATATGGTTACTGAATCTATGGTGTTCCAAGATAAGGTTACTTGATCTATGGTGTTCCAAGATAAGGTTAATGGATCTATAGCATTCCAAGATATGGTTACTGGATCTGGGGTGTTTCAAGATATGGTCACGAGATCTATGGTGTTCCAAGATACGGTTACTGGATCTAGGGTGTTCCAAGATTCGGTTACGGGATCCAGGGTGTTCCAAGATACGGTTACTGGATCTATGGTGTTCCAAGATACGGTTACTGGATCTAGGGTGTTCCAAGATATTGTCACGAGATCTAGGGTTTTCCAAGATACGGTTACTGGATCTTGGGTGTTCCAAGATATGGTCACGAGATCTAGGGTGTTCCAAGATACGGTTACTGGATCTGGGGTGTTCCAAGATATTGTCACGAGATCTAGGGTGTTCCAAGATACGGTTACTGGATCTAGGGTGTACCAAGATACGGTTACTGGATCTATGGTGTTCCAAGATATGGTCACGAGATATATGGTGTTCCAAGATATGGTCACGAGATCTATGGTGTTCCAAGAAATGGTTACTGGATCTGGGGTGGTCCAAGATATGGTCACGAGATCTAGAATGTTCGTAGATTGGGTAAGAGAATCTTTTTAGATCCGGTCATGGTAATTAGATCCGGTCAAGATACGGTCACCATGGATCAAGACTCGGTCATGGAATGGATAATGGTCCAAGATTCCAATTCTTCATAATACTCCGCAATATACTCTCAAGCCAACTAAAAGTGATAAAATCAAGAATTTTACATATTTCCATTTTTGGTAATTTTTACTTTTTTTACTTTTTGAGTTAAATTTATTATATTTTTTTTTTGAAAAAAAATGATTTATATTATTTATCCAATGTTTTTTGTAGCATATTCGCGGGCGAATATAAAAATCTTCTGTATTTTGTTATTCATTTTATTTTTTTATTCCATTTCATAAATATTGTGATATATATAATCTATTGTTACATTTCTTTCTTTCTTTTTATACATATTACAAATATATATATTAGATATACTTTTATAATCATAAACAATAAATAAAAATAAATTTGAAAACAAGAATTTTTTAATTCAAATCTTGTCTCAACAAAAATTCAAAAATTCTGGTCAAGCATGATAAAAGAACCTGTCAAATCATTCGTTGGGATGTTTAGAAAGATGAAAATTTCCCTGTATGATAATTGAAGGACTGCAATGAATCATCAGCTGTTTAGTTTTAAACCATCAACGGAACCTCTTTCATACTGTTATACACAAATGAAAATAATGCAAAACTAGAGTAAAGTGAAACCCAGAAAAGCTTCTATATTATAAGTTCTAAATATTTTTGTTCAAAATAAAAATTCTGTTTGGTTTGGCAACTTTTTTCTGCAGAATCTTTCCTATTTTCTGAAAGGTTTCACATCGATATGTATAAGGATATCTACTCGATATAAAGCAATATTTATTAATACTTATTTTAACTCAAACTCTTAACTAAATGAATATAGAAAAAATATGCCGGTTTAAGAAAGTTTTAGATAGATATTTGCAATCATCCAGAACAAAAAGTTTTATCAAAATTAAAATTTTTTAGGTTTATTGGACGTTTTCAAAAAACTGCAAAAAAAATCATTTCTGACGCCCCTAGGCTTAGTACGTCAATATAATTCACCAAAACCATACTGCAGTCCTTCAATTATCATACAGAGAAATTTTTATCTTTCTAAACATCCCAACGAATGATTTGACAGGTTCTTTCTTTAGCCTTTGAATTGAGAATATATTTCCTTCTTTTAGTTTTTAGACATTAAATGTTAATTTATAATAATTACTTTCCATGATTAATCAGTGGAAAGAAGGATATATCAACGCAAACCATCTTAGTTTTCGACAACACCATTTTAAGGAAATTGGTCAAATTCTTTTTTGATTCAATCTAAACATTATTTTAAATTTCATATAATTCCATTTCTGATCCTAACCAAATGGAATCGGGATAAAACCCTGAAATCGGGGTAAAATCGGTTGAAAGTAAATTTAGGGGCAGGAAAATACACTTTCTGTGTCATTGTGAACTTTGGTAAGTTTTTTGTGAGCGTGTATACTACACTTCAGAAATGTGTACTGTACATAGATAAATAAACATAGATAGCTTATGTACGCAAAATCACCAAGAATTGTACAGTCCGCGAACTCATATTTCTAGGGGTCAAAGTGTACTTCAATGATAAGCGGGGTGGTTTGGTGTTTTAATGGATTTCATAATTATTAAACCACTCAGGAGTGAATTTTATTTTGAGAATATCAAATTATTTCACTGAGCAATATATCATATTGACGAGAACTGAAGAAGGACATGAGAACATAATAAGGACTAATCTAACTTAAATTTCTCTCTACAGAACTCATGTACACAATACTCAATGACATAAGAACAGCCAATGTTCAAAACCGACCTAGTTAATCTATATAATAGGAATATCTTTAAAACATCTCTGTACATTTTTATCTTTCAAGATGAAAAATGTCGTCTTATGCGCAATCTATCTTTATCTATGGTACTGCATTTGGGGATATTACTTTTAGGATCTCAATCTGCATAAAACATTTTATGAATATGTTCTGATAAATGTAATGTAGGAAAGAATTCATAAATGGTTTCATTATGAGAAGCCTGGAAGATTACAGTTTAAATTAAGGTACAGTGGTAGGCAATTATATCAATACAATAAAGACGACTTTCTTACTTAAGTTTTGATTGTTAATTGTTAATAAGCTTTTTTCGAATTACAAGTTTAAAAGTAATCAAAGAGAAGCTTTTTTAATTGACAGCTTCACATGACTTCTGTCTATGTGTATCCATGCTGTTCAACAGCTTGATATAAATCAAAATTTAAATCGAAAGTAGTCTTCATTGTAATGATATAATCGCCTACCAGAGTATGATAATATATAAAGGGTTACCCGTAAAAAAGATGATACACAATGACGTCATAAACATCAGATAAAATGCATTTTATATACTCAAAATTGACGTCGAAAAGAATATAAAGCTACAGCATTTTAGAAATAATGAATTGAGCCGTTGCCACAAACTCAAATTTTCTAATCCTGATATATTTGCAAACTGATGATGTAAACCTTTGATATTTCAAACTTAGATTATTCGATTTAACAGAATTCATTGATTGAAATATATCATGCAGCTGACATTAGTTGCAAAGATAAATGATATTCAAAAATCAGAGTTTGGGGCAAAAACTCAATTCCTTCCTGAAATTTAGAGGGTTGGCTAACTGCTTAAAAGTAAAAAAAAATCAAATACTTTTGTAAGTATTATTGAAATTGAAATAGAACTAAACAATAAATATTTTTTGCTACCGAAAATATTTATTTAGAAAAATGGTTAAAACTTTATAAATGCGTTTTTATTTTGCGACATTTTTTTATTCAGGGTGTCATTTTATTATTCATCTACAGGGTGTCCTTTTATTATTCATCTACAGGGTGTCCTTTTATTATTCATCTACAGGGTGTCCTTTTATTATTCATCTACAGGCTGTCCTTTTATTATTCATCTACAGGGTGTCCTTTCATCTTGCCAATTTTCAAATTATTGTAACTTTGATATTGTTTAGAATTTTTTCCAATCTGTAAAAAATGTGAACGTTTTGTTTTATAGAAGGAAAATTCACAATTCTAATACCAAAATATGCGCAAATTCAATTATTTCATTTGAGCCATATTCCTATATGCTGTTTTCTAAAGAAGCCAGAACCATTGTTCTGACAAAGGATTACCTTCTCTGGGATTACATTGTTAACTTTACCAGCACAAACATGAACACTGTTCCTGTTGTGAAAGCCTTCAAGTGAGTGATTGATGAGAAGTTTGCCAATGGAATCTCACGAGATACTCTGTTAAGGGTTGCTGATAACTTTTGTACCAGAGCCAAACTATGCATGCAAGAGGAAGACGTGGCAATTTTGAATATCTGCTAAAGAAAAAGAAGTAAACCAATTGATATAACAAAATGTTCATATTTGTAGATTAAAATGTCACTGAATAAATGTAACCAGAAGGTTTCAAAATTTGCACAATAAAAAGGACACCCTGTAAGAATAATTAAAGTACGAATATTATTCCCACTAAGGAATGGGGCGCACTACATTTACTGCATTTACCACGAACGGAGAAAAAATTGAGCCAGGTAATTTTTCAAGTAAAAAAAAATATATAAATTGTCGAAAGTTTGGAGCATTTTTTAAACATCTTAATAGCATTCTTATGCATGCTGTCAGATATTTTTTAAGTACTACAGTTGTCGTCGTAGATATCAATAGAATAAAGACGACTTTCGAGTTCAATTTAGATTTTTACCAAGCTATTAAACAGATTTGTAATTTGGAAACACATAAACATAGAAACATAAACATAGAAACATAAACAAGCTGTCAATTAACAACAGCTTTTTTATTTTACTTTTAAACTTGCAAATTGAAAAATGCCTAAATCACAAGTTAAATAAAAGAGTTGACTTAAAGGGAGTGTTCGCGAAAAATGAAAGGGGGTGTAGGCTTACTACGAAAAATAAGCTCTTTTGATCGCTTTTAATCTTACTTCTATATGTTGAGTCTATAAGGAAAAAATTGTTAAAAAATTACTGCTGACAATTTTCATAAAGGTTAAAATGATTTTGTATTAAATTGTTTAAATATAGAAACAAAAGCTAAGAATAAAGATAGATAATCATAAATTTTATGTTTTTAATGGAATCGAAAAAATGACTTCAGAAGTTCAGTATCACAAAACCTTTCTCTTCATTCCCTCAATTTCTCACTCCTCTCTTACTTCCCCCTCACTATACCTTTCATTCTCCTCTAACACCAGCTTATCATCCTCTACCTCAAATCTCCCCTCTCCTCCTCCCCCTTCACACTCTAAACTCTGGTAAAAAGTTGTATTCTCCTTTAATTTATGTTAAACCAGTTTAAACAGTTTAAACCAGTTTGTCTGTTTTCATTAAAACTGGGTTTTGAGGATTCCCAGGAGGGAGCCAGCAACTAAACAATAAACTATCCCTCAGGAAGAATTTTTTGCTACAAGTTGAAAAAAATGTTTTCCAAGACTTAAATGAAGGAAGCTGAAGTACCCAGTGGTTGCCCATGCCCCATAGACTTCAATTTGTAAGGTTTTCTGTGCTTTACATTTGTTCTCTCTTAGCGAAAGACGACCTTTTGTGTCTAAATGGTTAGTCCGGTGTATAAGGAAAAAAATTCATACCGAGGGATTGTCTAAATTCCACTCTAATAAATATTCTCTATATCTATTTTATCCTAAATTATAATGGGGGNTGAACGGAACTACTTAAAAGTTACATTATTTTTAGCGTAGTTTTTCGAGATAGTGTTCATGTCTGACAATTTTCTCCATGTTTCTTCAATATAAATCGGCAAGCCACTGCATACAGCTAGAAACTTGAAAAAATCGTCAATTCGTCAAATAGTCAAAAATAGTAAATTCAGAAATAGCTTTATGGATACATATTGTAATTTGTAAATCCGACTTGTAAATCTACAAATGGAAGGGCATACGAAATAACGACAACAGTCCCTTCAAACAGGAAAATCGCAGGGTGTCCCGATAAACATGGGAATTAAGTGACGTCTTTTAAATCGTCTTCGATCATTGTTCGGAAGACGTATACAGCCTCGTTTTTATACTTTCATTGCCATGCATTATAAATATCATAAATCAAAGACGACTTTCAAATCGTGTCTCAATTCCCATGTTTATTGGGACACCCTGTAGTAAAGTGTTCAATAAACGAAAGAAAATAAAAATAAAATATGAAACTTCATTTTGTAAAATAGAGGAATTAACTAAAAGAAAAAGTGAAAAATATAATAATCAATAAAAAGGCAATAAGCAATAAGAGCACTCAGAAATAAACATAAAGAAGAAACGAAGACCTGAAAATTGAGAAAATGTATGAAGATAAAATAAAATTGTGTGATTTGATTTTGCAAGATAAATCCAAGAATCGATGTACTATATCTTCTGTATTCCCTGTATATCCTGTATCCCCTGTATCTCCTGTAACCCCTGTATATCCTGTATCCCCTGTATCTCCTGCAGTATCCTCTGTATATCCTTTATCCCCTGTATCTCCTGTAACCCCTATATATCCTGTATCCCCTGTATCTCCTGCAGTATCCTCTGTATATCCTTTATCCCCTGTATATCCTGTATCCCCTGTATATCCTGTATCCCCTGTACATCCTTTATCCCCTGTATATCCTGTATCCCCTGTATATCCTTTATCCCCCGTATATTCTGTATCCCCTGTATATCCTTTATCCCCTGTATATCCTGTATCTCCTGTATATCCTGTATCCCCTCTATAACCTGTAACCCCTGTATATCCTATATCCCCTGTATATCCCTTATCCCATGTATATCCTGTATCCGCTGTATATCCTGTATCCCCTGTATATCCTGTATCTCCTGTATATCCTTTATCCCCTGTATCTCCTGTAACCCCTGTATCTCCTGTATATCCTTTATCCCCTGTGTCTCCTGTAACCCCTGTTTCTCCTGTATTCCCTGTATATCCTGTATCCCCTGTATATCCTGTAACCCCTGTATATCCTATATCCCCTGTATATCCTTTATCCCTTGTATATCCTGTATCCGCTGTATATCCTGTATCCCCTGTATCTCCTGTATCTCCTGCATCCTCTGTATATCCTGTATCCCCTGTATCCCCTGTATATCCTTTATCCCCTGTATCTCCTGTAATCCCAGTTTCTCCTGTATTCCCTGTATATCCTGTATCCCCTGTATATCCTGTATCCCCTGTATCTCCTGTATATCCTGTATCCCCTGTATAACCTGTAACCCCTGTATATCCTATATCCCCTGTATATCCTTTATCCCATGTATATCCTGTATCCGCTGTATATCCTGTATCCCCTGTATCTCCTGTATCCCCTGTATACCCTGTATCCCCTGTATCTCCTGTATCCCCTGTATATCCTGTATCCGCTGTATATCCTGTATCCCCTGTATCTCCTGTATCTCCTGCATCCTCTGTATGTCCTCTATCCCCTGTATCCCCTGTATATCCTTTATCCCCTGTATCTCCTGTAACCCCAGTTTCTCCTGTATTCCCTGTATATCCTGTATCCCCTGTATATCCTGTATCCCCTGTATCTCCTGTATCCCCTGTATATCCTGTATCCCCTGTATTTCCTGTATATCCTGTATCCCCTGTATATCCTGTAACCCCTGTATATCCTATATCCCCTGTATATCCTTTATTCCCTGTATATCCTGTATCCCCTGTATCTCCTGTATCTCCTGCAGTATCCTCTGTATATCCTGTATCCCCTGTATATTCTTTATACCCTGTAGCTCCTGTAACCCCTGTTTCTCCTGTATTCCCTGTATATCCTGTATCTCCTGCAGTATCCTCTGTATATCCTGTATCCTCTGTATATCCTGTATCCCCTGTTTATCTTGTATCCCCTGTATATCCTATATCCCCTGTATATCCTGTATCCCCTGTATATCCTTTATCCCCTGTATCTCCTGTATCTCCTGCAGTATCCTCTGTATATCCTGTATCTCCTGTATATCCTGTATCCTCTGTATATCCTGTATCCCCTGTATATCCTGTATCTCCTGCAGTATCCCCTGTATCTCCTGTATATCCTTTATCCCCTGTGTCTCCTGTAACCCCTGTTTCTCCTGTATTCCCTGTATATCCTGTATCCCCTGTATATCCTGTATCCCCTGTATCTCCTGTATTCCCTTTATATCCTGTATCCCCTGTATCTCCTATATCTCCTGCAGTATCCTCTGTATATCCTGTATCCCCTGTATATCCTGTATCCCCTGTATATCCTGTATCCCCTGTATATTCTGTATCCCTTGTATATCCTGTATCCCCTGTATATCCTGTATCTCCTGTATATCCTTTATCCCCTGTATCTCCTGTAACCCCTGTATCTCCTGTAACCCCTGTATCTCCTGTATTTCCTGTATATCCTGTATCCCCTGTATCTCCTGTATCCCCTGTATATCCTGTATCCCCTGTATCTCCTGTATCCCCAGTATCTCCTGTATCCCCTGTATACCCTGTATCCCCTGTATCTCCTGTATCCCCTGTACATCCTGTATCCCCTGTATATCCTTTATCCCCTGTATCTCCTGTATCTCCTGCAGTATCCTCTGTATATCCTGTATCCCCTATATATCCTGTATCCCTTGTATATCCTGTATCCCCTGTATATCCTGCATCCCCTGTACATCCTTTATCCCCTGTATCTCCTGTAACCCCTGTATCTCCTGTATATCCTTTATCCCCTGTGTCTCCTGTAACCCCTGTTTCTCCTGTATTCCCTGTATATCCTGTATCCCCTGTATATCCTGTGTCCCCTGTATCTCCTGTATCCCCTGTATATCCTGTATCCCCTGTATCTCCTATATCTTCTGCAGTAGCCTCTGTATATCCTGTATCCCCTGTATATCCTGTATCCCCTGTATATCCTGTATATCCTGTATCCCCTTTATATCCTGTATCCCCTGTATATCCTTTATCCCCTGTATGTCCTGTAACCCCTGTATCTCCTGTAACCCCTGTATCTCCTGTAATTCCTGTATATCCTGTTTCCCCTGTATCCCCTGTATTTCCTTTATCCCCTGTATACCCTGTATCCCCTGTATCTCCTATATCTCCTGCAGTATCCTCTGTATATCCTGTATCCCCTGTATAACCTGTATCCCCTGTATCTCCTGTATCCCCTGTATATTCTTTATCCCCTGTTTCTCCTGTATCCCCTGTATTCCCTGTATCTCCTGCAGTATCCTCTGTATATCCTGTATCCCCTGTATATCCTGTATTCCCTGTGTATCCTGTATCCCCAGTATATCCTATATCCCCTGTATCTCTAGTATTAGACGGATAATGATAATTGTCAAATTCATATATTTCACGTAAAAGATACATATGATTTCAAATTATATTGATATGGTGATAAACAATTATATCAGAACAGTGGAAGCTGTACTAGAAACAGTGCAGTGTGTTTAACCATTGAATAGAAAATAAAAATGTCCTGAATTAAAACATTTCATCCAAGCAGCATAATACAATATTATATCAAATATTCAAAACAGGGAACTCTGGGGTTGCTAAAATAAAATGTAAATAAAAAGTATTCAAATAATAAGTTAAAAAAAGGGAATTCTAACCTCCCTCTCTTACTCCAGATTATTCTTTCATCCGGATATTTGCTCCAGGGGGACCTGGAGTCAGAGAGACAGTAGTAGGATGGTTAGATCAAACTATTTATATACAAATCAAGGTTTTTAACATTTAAATTAATCCAAGCGGTTTTGAAACAGTAATAAATTTTTAAGATAAATTTTTTTTAATCACACCAAAATTGAATTATCAATGATTGCATAGAAAATGGAAGACTTGTTTTCACTTATTTCAATATCCAATAGTGGACTTGGATATTCTTTATATCGATATCCTTCAGAGGACATGGATATTTTCCATATCCATATCCTACAGTGGAATTGGATATTATCCATATCCTTCAGAGGACTTTGATATTCTTCATATCCATATCAAATAGTGGACTTTGATATTCTTAATATCCATATCCTACAGTGGAATTGGATATTCTTGAGATCCATATCCTACAGAGGACTTGGATACTATCCATATTCGTCAGAGGACTTGGATATTATCCATATCCTACATAGGGCTTGGATATTATCCATATCCTACAGAGGACATGGTTATACTTTATATCCAATATCCTACACAGGATATTCAACCGTTCATTATATACTACATATATGGTACATCAGTGTACTACATGTGCATGGTCCAATTAACTAAAGGTGCAATGTGCAATATTTTGGAATAAATATGCATTTAATACACACCACAAGATCTACAGATTCTAGCTTAAACAAGACTGTACAATACAATGGTAGCAAGTACAGTGCACATTGTTGTACTTTGTACTACATTGTAATACATACGATACATTATCTAAATGTGACAAGTTCAATTTAGAAATGGATTTCAAGGTTAACCAATAAGCATAGGACTACTTAGGCAAGATATGGTAAGTTAATACCTTCTATAGAATAGTCCTAATTTTATTGACTGACCCTGTCTCGTGAACTAGAACCTTTTTACAGCGAGTAAATTGTTATTCTTAATTGTGCATAGCACAGAGTAAAGGGTACAAGCATATAATGATTAGTAAGCTGGAAAATTAACAAAAAACTTTTCTAAAAAAATTTAAGAAATAAACTATTAAACTATATTAAGGAAGCTTGTAGTTTAGTGAACGAGTAAATTAGTTAGATGTTTTAACAAGAAACCTCAGGTAAATTATTAAACAGCCGATTTACTGCTAGTTTGCTAATTACGTCAATACTAAAGCTTGTAACCTAATTTACAAGTAAAGGTGTAAAAACGTGTAAACAAGTTTACTTGCATGTAAGTCAGTTGAGAAGCTAGTTGACACTCAAATCACTTAAAATACAGAACTAGCAACTAGCAAACAAGTAAAAAGTTCAAGCATAATTTAGGAAGTAAGTAAACTGCAATTCTAATTAACTAGAAAACTAAAAAAGTAACTAAGAGAAGAATACAATAGTAAACTAACTAGTATAAAAAGTAAATCTAGTAAAACAAACAGCTATTAAATAAGTTTACTAACTAACTAGTTCACTAAAAGTACTTACTAAAAACAAGTTTACTATTAAACAATTTCACTATTTCCCAAGCATACTTATTCACAAAGCTTGACAATCATTTTATATAATTGATTAGAAAGTGGCCTAGTAGTAGTAGTAGTAGTAGTTATTGTTCAAGAAACAGTATAAAAAATCTCGAAATCCATTTGACTGGATGAGTTTTTGAAACCTGTTGAACTCACGGTGCTATAAAATAACCTGTTGAGTTCCTATTGTTTTGAGGGTTCGAAGGGTCGGATTTAGATAATCACTGATATATAGTTTCACGACTCACCCTTGAAATTTACACCCTGTAATAACAGGGATTGAGCAAGGGAAACCCAATCCTGAGAATTAAATCCTGGGCAAATATCCGTGCAGGGATATTCAGAATCCTTACTCCGAAGGTTTAGGGAGGGAGGAAGGGGGTTAGATTGGATTACATCTGTTAATAATATCTACTCTGATATTGTTAACTCTAAGATCTGAATTGTGGACTGTAGATCTTCATTTCAGGAGTATAAAGAGGAATGTGTAGAGTGTGTAGAGTGTAGAGTGAGCAGTGGGTTTCACAATAACTCTCTCTCCGGTAGTATACATGGTAGAAGTATCCAGGAATCCAGGTATACATGTACACAGGTACAGGTACAATCGGAGAGAAGTCACAAACTAAAAAAAAATTAAGAAATTTAATTTTTCAACAATTAACCAAAAGATTGAATTGAAAGAAAATCACCTTAATTTTGAATAATTGGTACATTTAAGTATCACTGTACATAGAGTACATAGACCTGTGTACACAGTATACAAACAGGCACAAGTAGTAGAAAACTAACAGCCTAAAATAAAAGAATAGATATTCTAGCACCAAGAAGAAAATAGTGCAAAGGATTCATGTAAGTACACAGGTTTAGGTTTAGTATAGAGTAGAGTAGGATCAGTGTTGTGAGAAGGAAGGATGAAGAGCATATATTACCTATTAATAATGATGTCAGTGGTTTAGTATAGAGTAGAGTAGGATCANTGTAACAGTATCTAAATGATGACAAAGTTCAGTAAACATGAAACATGAAACAGTATCTAAATTATGACAAATTCCAGTAAACATGAAACAGTATCTAAATGATGACAGAGTCCATGAGTAAACATGAAACAGTATCTAAATTATGACAAAGTCCAGTAAACATGAAACAGTATCTAAATGATGACAAAGTCCATGAGTAAACATGAAACAGTATCTAAATGATGACAAAGTCCAGTAAACATGAAACAGTATCTAAATGATGACAAAGTCCTGTAAACATGAAATAGTATCTAAATGATGACAAAGTCCAGTAAATATGAAGCAGTATCTAAATGATGACAAAGTCCAGTAAATATGAAGCAGTATCTAAATGATGAAAAAGTCCCGTAAACATGAAACAGTATCTAAATGATGACAAAGTCCTGTAAACATAAAACTGTATCTAAATGATGACAAAGTCCCGTAAACATGAAACAGTATCTAAATGATGACAAAGTCCTGTAAACATAAAACTGTATCTAAATGATGACAAAGTCCTGTAAACATGAAACAGTATCTAAATGATGACAAAGTCCAGTAAACATGAAATAGTATCTAAATGATGACAAAGTCCAGTAAACATGAAACAGTATCTAAATGATGACAAAGTCCTGTAAACATGAAACAGTATCTAAATTATGACAAAGTCCAGTAAACATAAAACAGTATCTAAATGATGACAAAGTCCTGTAAATATGAAACAGTATCTTAATGATGACAATGTCCAGTAAACATGTAACAGTATCTAAATGATGACAAAGTTCAGTAAACATGAAACATGAAACAGTATCTAAAATATGACAAAGTCCAGTAAACATGAAACAGTATCTAAATGATGACAAAGTCCTGTAAGAATGAAATAGTATCTAAATGATGACAAAGTCCAGTAAACATGAAACAGTATCTAAATGATGACAAAGTCCAGTAAATATGAAGCAGTATCTAAATGATGAAAAAGTCCAGTAAACATGAAACAGTATCTGAATGATGACAAAGTCCCGTAAACATGAAACAGTATCTGAATGATGACAAAGTCCCGTAAACATAAAACAGTATCTAAATGATGACAAAGTCCCGTAAACATAAGACAATATCTAAATAATGACAAAGTCCAGTAAACATGAAACAGTATCTGAATGATGACAAAGTCCCGTAAACATAAAACAGTATCTAAATGATGACAAAGTCCCGTAAACATAAGACAATATCTAAATAATGACAAAGTCCAGTAAACATAAAACAGTATCTGAATGATGACAAAGTCCCGTAAACATAAAACAGTATATAAAAGATGAATATTCAGTTCACCTGTGCATGATATGGCACACAATGATGAGGACGCTTCCTATAGAGATTGGTTTTCAGCTTCTCACAGTACATTGTCTCATTCACTGGACCATAATCAACCTACACAAAACATCAATGTGTACACAATTGCAGAACAAATATTTTTCTTAAAATACGGGACGAGACTGAACCCGTTCCGATCTCTTCCGTGGATCTTACTATTCTTGGGAAACACAATTAATCGAAGAAATGGAATTTTTGAAGTTTCATTTTTTGGGGTATTAATTTAACAAAATGTTCAAGTTTTTTAAGGGATTCTCGACGTTATTCCATGTGAACCCTCAGTTTTAGAGTTACGTGCTAGATCCACAATGGTGCCCTTCAAAACTTCATCGGAGCATCCAATAAGCCAATTTTCTACTTTGTCTTTGATGCATAAAACCGGAACTAAAAAGGGGAACTATCAACTTGTTTTGGTAAAAAAGCGGATATCTTCGTAAGTTTTTTTCAGAAAACAGATTTTAAGGGCACCGTTGAAATTACGTTGATAGCCCCTTTGCAGAAAGAATAAAATACGGCATATTATTATTTTTTCTTCAGTAAAATCCATTTATCTCCAAAATAGAATTTCTATGCAAAAGTTTTAGCGAGATATAATTTTCTCTCCTTTAACTTTAATGCTTTTCGTGCTTGGCTTAAACAAATTAGAATTTTAAATGAAAATTATGAAATTCGCCATTTTTTATAGTTTATGCGTTATAACACACCCGCATTTGATAATAAAAGGGAAGGTTGCGAGAAAGGGTAATATTCCAATAAAACTTCAAATACATTTTGGATTAATTTTTCCGATATATTTGTATTCGTCGCTTGTTTTGAACAGTAAGATATACATATAAGCGTTGCCTGCCCGATTTATGACTTTTTTCGATTAACCCTATCCTTTGGGCGGAGGGGGGGGGGAAGGATTCCACCGACCCCCCTTGTGATGTTTACTCCATTACTTGAAAACAGCTGACACTTTATAGAACGCGTGATATTCCACGATAAAAGGGATCATTCTAAATCAGACATAAAGTTTTTTTTGTAGGAAGGATATCATGAAATTACGTCTATGGTTCCTGTTAAAAAAGCAAAACCTGAATAAATACCTTGGTTGGAGAAACTGTAATTCTAGCAGAGTAGCAGGGACATGTTGTATCCGCTGCAACCAGGATCAGGTTCGTGTTTGGGATTAGGGTTACAGTAAACGGTCTAAATATATATATATATATAGGGATTAGGGTTACAGTAAACGGTCTAAATATATAGATGTAGGGATCAGGATTACAGTAAACAGTCTAAATATATAGATATAGAGATCAGGTTTACAGCTTAAACGGTCTAAATATATAGATATAGGGATCAGGGGTACAGTAAACGGTCTAAATATATAGTTATAGGGATTAGGGTTATAGCTTAAACGGTCTAAATATATAGATATAGGGATCAGGAATACAGTAAACAGTCTAAATATATAGATAAAGGGATCAGGAATACAGTAAACGGTCTAAATATATAGACAAAGGGATCAGAGATATAGAGACCTGTCTAAATATCAAAAAAAAACTTTCATTTAACATATATGTATATATAACTTGTTTAAGAATTTTAAAAAATTATAATAAAAGTGAAGTTAAGAATGAAAGGAATATTCACCTCTCACACTTGCTGTCATGACAGTTTCTAAGAATACCCTGAAGAGGTCTACCCATCTTCTCTAGAACTGTTTCCTGGAGTTCATACAGATACACCTCCTTGTCACATGGTTTAGGTTGGGTCTTGTTTATATACGTCATCTCCAGGATTGGTATTGGACCTCCATCCTTCATCATGTATTCATTCACAAGCTCGTCATCATGGGAGTTGTAGGGATCATGTAACCTTAACATCATGGGAGTTGTAGGGATCATGTAACCTTAACATTATGGGAGTTGTACGGATCATGTAACCTTAACATTATGGGAGTTGTACGGATCATGTAACCTTAACATGATGGGAGTTTTACGGATCATGTAACCTTAACATGATGGGAGTTGTACGGATCATTTAACATTAACATTATGGGAGTTGTACGGATCATGTAACCTTAACATGATGGGAGTTGTACGGATCATGTAACCTTAACATCATGGGAGTTATACGGATCATGTAACCTTAACATCATGGGAGTTATACGGATCATGTAACCTTAACAATGAAGAAAATTAGGGTATGATAGGAAGTAACGAATATTTAGTATTTTAAATCTATGCTTTCAACGCTCCGGCCAGTGCCACCCTCCTTAGACCTTAGGCGTTAAATACCCTTCTAAATACTTTTTTAATTATCTGTTGGTAAATTTGCAGTAAAACCCTGGAATCAAACTTTATTTTTTTTAATTTAAAAGTTTACACTTTTGGTTTCGAGTTCAGTAGCCAAAGCTATGCGTTATAAAAAAAATTTTTCCTCTGAATTCTGATCGCAAAAATTAATTTGATCGCCGCTGAGCTAAAAGAAAGTTAATTTGATCGCCACTGAGCTGAAAGAAAGTTAATTTGATCGCGACTGAGATAAACAAAAATGAATTTTATCGCCAAGGAGTTTAACGAAAATTAATGCGATTGCGACTAAGTTAAAAGAAAATGAATTTTATCGCCACTGAACTTGAAAAAGTGAATTTGATCGCCACTGAGTTCAAATAATAGTAAATAATCGTGCTTCAAATTTAGAACAGTTTTTTACGTATAATTGAATACAAAATGTGTAGGTTTAATTTTGAAACTTACTCTTCCTCCTCCAAGCTAGAATCCTCCGAAGTCGGACCCTCAGCTGCAGCCTCGTTAGGAGTATATTCATCGTAAGCGTAATAATCTCCATCAAAGACAACATTTGGATCATTAGACTGAGGGAAGGAATAGGTCCAGTCAGGGTTCCATAGATGATGCAGCTCCAACCTTATCATTTAATAATGATAGATATCATAATGATGATCATAACAATAATAGTAATAATAATAATAATAATAATAATAATAATAATAATAATAATAATAATAATAATAATAATAATAAAAATAGTAATAATAATAAACCTGATGATGGTGAAGGCTATGTGTCCAATTATCCAGTTAAATAAAGAACTAAGAAGTCTGAATGGAGTTAACATCATGGAGGCCGGGGATCCATCATCAGCTGACTCAAGACAGATCGCCTTAACAAATAAAAAAATATTTGCTTGTATATTTGACATCTTAATACATAAAGTTCCATGTAATATTGGATGACTCATAGATACTTGTATTTCTGCAAGAAAATTGTGAAATGAGTTGTATCAATAAATTTTTTTAAATGATTGAATTTAATTAAAATCCAATATGATGTAAGACCCGAACCCCCTCCACCCATTTTAACAGTGTATGTCTTCAGGAATAGAATTGAACCTCCCGGCGCCACTCTAAGAAAAGCGTTGACATTTATCATAATATTTTAAAATTATGGTTTTACCTGATAATCGTAAACTTTGATCTTCTTGAACACATTATTCTGAACTAAACTGTTGAGAACGGTTCCATCAATCTCTCCGAAGAACTTGCCAGTGTTGAGCTTGTCCTCGGAGATAACAACGAACCCGTTGTTATCCAGGACGTAGCACTCGATCGTGTTGTCGTTGCAGGACAGGGCATTGTCCTGGAGACAAAATTAATTAGGTTTCAAGAATATCTTGTTTTAGTATTTTAATTTGAAGTTTTTTTCCTTTAACAAAAATATAAATTAGAATATTTTACATTGGGAGCAATTGTGAATACCCTTTTTCAAAGTGCATCTTACATGTAATCCACTGCACACTGTACAGGTGAAAATGTACAGTTTATATATATATATATATATATATAGATAGACACTGTACATTGTATAAACTGAAAACACAAGACACACTGTACATTGTATGAACTGAATACACTGTACACTGTACAGGTGACAATGTACAGTTTATATATATAGACACTGTACATTGTATGAACTGGATACACTGTAAACTGTACAGGTGACAATGTACAGTTTATATTTATAGACACTGTACATTGTATGAACTGATTACACTGTAAACTGTACAGGTGAAAATGTACAGTTTATATATATATAGACACTGTACATTGTATAAACTGAATACACTACACACACTGTACATTGTATGAACTGAATACACTGTAAACTGTACAGGTGAAAATGTACAGTTTATATATATATATATAGACACTGTACATTGTTTAAACTGAATACACTACACACACTGTACATTGTATGAACTGAATACACTGTACACTGTACAGGTGATAATGTACAGTTTATATATGGACACTGTACATTGTATGAACTGAATACACTGTACACTGTACAGGTGAAAATGTACAGTTTATATATATAGACACTGTACATTGCATGAACTGAATACACTGTTCAGCTGATCCTACCTTGTTAGCTACAAGCATGAACGTATTTCTAAACTGAATACACTGTACACTGTACAGGTGACAATGAACAGTTTATATATATAGGCACTGTACATTGCATAAACAGAATACACTGCTCAGCTGATCCTACCTTGTTAGCTACAAGCATGAACGTATCTCTAAACTTCTCGTAATCTATTTGAACTCCAACCACAGCAGCCGGAGCCTTCCTTGAACCCTTCCCCTTGAAGATGGCGTGGGTTGCGGTTACTTGGGTCGGACGTTTATCTCCGATATCAAATGGAACTGAGAAAACAAAACTCTGAGGATTGTTGTAATGATATTCTACAGCTCTCTTATACCAAACCTCATCTGTAGCCTCATTATTGACCTCACTGAAGTGCCTAAACAATATATTTTAAAATACATGTTACTCCGTACGATAACAACATGTTTTAATTATTTATAATTTAACGCAAGTGTGCACGCAAGTTAATGTCCATCTATAAAGGGGGGCATGCCCGATGTGCCCGATTAACAACGTTACCCCTATATAAACCTTTGCGTGATCAAAGTTGACTAAATATCCTTGTTTTCTAACCTAAATTTGATTATTTTAAATCGCGGGTTCTATCTGAAAACAATTTGCAGGTTTTTGCAACCGAAACCATGATATCTTTCACATTTAAAAAGGTCCTTTGTGATTCGGACATACCTCTTTACAAATGAAGGGTAACTTGAATTACGCCTAGATGCCCTGTGATGCGGATTGCCCCAATTAAGGCAAAAAATAAATATGTGTCAATTACAGCAAAAAGTAAATATGTGGCAATTACGGCAAAAAGTAAATATGTGGCAATTACGGCAAAAAGTACATATGTGTCAATTACGGCAAAAAGTAAGTATGTGTCAATTACGACAAAAAGTAAATATGTGCCAATTACGACAAAAAGTAAATATGTGTGAATTACGGCAAAAAGTAAATATATGTCAATTACGGCAAAAAGTAATATATGTCAATTACGGCAAAAAGTAAATATGTGTCAACTACGGCAAAAAGTAAATATGTGTCAATTACGGTAAAAAGTAAATATGTGTCAATTACGGTAAAAAGTAAAGATCTTACGGTTCTTTTGGATTATCCGGGTCATACGGTGTTTCTTCTTCATATCCAGGATCATTGGGAGATGGCGGGGGCTTATGTTCTTCCCATCTAGATAAATACTATTTAGGGGCAAAAACTTACAGAAAAACTTTATAAAATATAAAACTATAAAAACTATCAAACTTGTAAACAGGGTGTCCCAAAGAAGTGTCAATCAATAAAGAAGGAAATAACGGGATGACTTTTAACCAATTTTTTAAACCATCTTTTCACAGTATTTTCTATCATATTTTAATCAAATGTTAAAAAGTGTATGAATAACGAGTCATTTGATTTAGGAGCTATTCAAAATTCGATGCAAAAATTGACAATTTGAGATTATTTCTTTATCAAATAGATAAGATATCTGGACAAAAGAAACTGAGTTTTGTCACAAAATCTGATTTTTGATCCCTGCATTTTTGCTACCAGATATAGACCTAAAGGTGTGTCAGTTTATGAGTTTTGTTAGATCATAATAGTCAAAGTTTGAAAAATGAAGGGTTCGCACCACCATGCTGAAAAGTTAAAAGATCAGAAATTTTGAGTTTGTGGCAAGAAGTCAGTTCCTTTCTTAATATCTTTCTAAAAAAGATGCAAAAATGACAGACCACATTTTGGAAATTCCTAGGCCAAAGTTATTGTAGGTAATTACTTATTAACCGGAATAATGCTGGAATACGCAGGATGGAAAAAATATGTTTTTAAATCTCAATTTTTATGTTTTTCGGGACGCTCTTGGATACCTGGTGAGTCCACTTCTAGTCGCCACAAAGGAGAGTTTAATCCCGAAAATGTTGAAAAGGTTGTCCCTGGAACATTTAGTTTTGTAAACAAACTTTTTAATGTTATTCATCCGATGTCCTAATCAGCTCCAACCTCGCCTAAACCCTAATTATTCAAAAATATTATTATTATCCAAACAATTTAGAAAATAAATCCTTGACTGCTAAAATAAAAAAAATGTTAGTCCTTGATTGCATGAAAAAAAATTTTAATTTTTTCTCATTTTTCTGACAAATCACCTGAAAATACTAAATAAAAAATTACCTGGGTGTGCTAGAAAAAATATGATTAGAATACAAACCCTGTCCTCGGCTTGGAAGAGAAACCATTATAAAAAGGATTAATTTCTGCAAAGCTTACCTTGGCATCATTGCAAAGAATTCGCCAATCCCAGGGATACTGATTGCAAATAGTTTATAGTGCATGTGCAAAAAATAAGTATAATTTTCGTTCAACAGTTTTAGTATTAGTTAGTGTGCAAAAATTGAATTTTCAGCTATAGTGCATGTGCAAAAAATAAGTATAATTTTCGTTCAACAGTTTTATTATTAGTTAGTGTGCAAAAATTGAATTTTCAGCGTTGACATTTTCTATTTCTATTATTTTAAATAAAGGAAAAGGACGAAAGTAAAATATTGATTTAACTTTTTCAAATGTTTTCTCTCAAAAAAATAAACTAAAAAGTGCAAAAAGTGTAAATGCAAAAATGTAAAGGAAGAAAAGGAAGTAAACTTACGAATCTCGTCTTGATGTTTTCTCCTCAAAAACCTTTGTAATCTGTGCATCAAGGATTAGAGCTTGTACCAACTCCTTGTCACCTGGACAATTGTCATTTTTTACATTACTTTCCATATCTTTGTAAAATCTACGAAAAAGAAGAAAACTTTGTACTCCTCAAATCGAAGAAAATTTAGCAAATGAGATGTTTGTTTTTGTTGTAAAAACATATTCAACGTTTTTTAAGGACATTTAGGCACATTTTGGTAAACAAAATTGGCCCAACATTTGGTATTTATGTTTAGATTCCGTGCAAAAAAAGAACTTTTCTAAATCAGATATTTCTAACTTTTAATCTGAATGTATTTTGCTTTAAAGTTGAAATCAATATGTTGCACTGAATCTAGATTGATGAGCAAACTTACAAACACAAAAAACGGGAGACACATAAGAAAGGTAAAGTAAAATAAAAACAAATATTTTGTTCATAGCGTAGATCAAGATTTTAAAATGGCGGAAAAAATAAGGTTTTCAACAATAAATCTGTAAACGTGAAAATGATATTTTGTATAAAAATATAATTTAAAAATGTCTTGATCTATGTAATAATTTGGTGGTGAATATTAGTAAGGATAAACACAGAATTAGCATTTTTTAAATTAGTTTTCCACAAAATTAACAAGATTAACGGCAGGTTCTAGAACAATATTAACGGCAGGTTCTAGAACAAAATTAACGGCAGGTTCTAGAACAAAATTAACGGCAGGTTGTAGAACAAAATTAACGGCATGTTCTAGAACAAAATTTACGACAAGTTCAAGAACAAGATTAACGGCAGGTTCTAGAACAAGATTAACGGCAGGTTCTAGAACAATATTAACGGCAGGTTCTAGAACAAGATTATAAACGGCAGGTTCTATAACAAGATTAACGGCAGGTTCTAGAACAAGATTAACGGCAGGTTCTAGAACAAGATTAACGGAAGGTTCTAGAACAAGATTAACGGCAGGTTCTAGAACAAGTTTGAAAGAAATAAAACGGATAAACTTAACGATAATAACAGCAACGTCGTCGTCATTTTTTGTGTTGCAAATTTGAAAGTTTTTGCTTGAACAAAAATATGTAAATTGTATGTGTCGCATTTGAACGAAACATAAAGTTTACTTACAGAAATGTGAATCCTTCCCAGCAGTTGGGATACCAGCAGCTTTAATATAAATTAGTTAGTTTACACACACTATCTATACATTAGTATATCGATGGATAAACACTATCTAGATACATTGGTATATCGATGTTTAAAAACTCTATTTATACATTAGTTTATCGATTACCGATGGTTAAACACTATCTATACATTAGTATAACGATGGTTAAACATTATCTATACATTAGTATATCTATAGTTAAACACTATCTGTACATTAGCGTATCAATGGTAACACACTTTTTACATAAGTATATCTATGGTTAAATACTGTATATACATTATCAATGGTTACAAACTCTATACATAAGTATATCCATGGTTATCAGTTAAAGGGAGTGCTTGTAAAATATAGAAGAGGGTATATAAGAAGAACCGAAATGTTAGGGATACAATAATATACGGCAAATCTGATTAAAATGAAAGTGTTACTGATTGAACTATAAATAAATTGATTTTAATTCAGACTTATCCATTTTTTATTTACAAACACTCCCTTTATATTATTCTACACACATTTTCTATTCACTAAATATTTTTAAAAACTTGCCATAAACTATAATAATTCTGATCCTTATTTCTTTGAAACCTGATTGATATTTCAAACTATGATTTCTGCTTGATAAATTAGTCAATTTCTGAAATATCATTGCATAGAAATTGGGATTTGAAAATTAGAATTTGAGGCGAGTGGTAAATTTCTGTTTGTACACACCCTATATACGTCTTTTTATATCTTTGCTTACAGCTTAAATCTTTAAACAAATTCTATACAATATAGCATTGTTGATTTTCATTCAAATGTTGTGTATTTATTGTAGGTTTCTATACTTTCTACTGAGCTAAATAAAAATCAAGAAAAAGAATGTTTTACTTTTTCTTTTTCCACGCAAACTTTCGATTGGTTAGATTAATTTATACTAATGGAAGAATTGGTTAGGGAACAAAACTATTGGAAATCACAAAAATACTTTTCACAAGAAAAAATATTCGCGAGTTTTCAGGGATCTGTGATGGAGTTGATGGGTTGTAATGAAGATGAAGGACTTTATACTCTTTTTTTATTCTCATATCTATGCAACTTGACTGGTCGCAAACTATGACTCCAGGTTCCACAGTTTAAAATATCAGTGGTCTACGACATTAAGTTGCAGAAATGTAGGGATTAGAAAATTATATTTTTATCAGATAAATCATTTTTGTTTGGAATTTAAAGGGACCGTTCACTTTTTTGGGTAATTTCAGGGTAATTCTGAACGAAAAATCGGCTTTTTCTCCGGCCACAGATGTCTTTGAAAAGTAAGACTATCACCGATGAATAGCTGATAGGCTGTTTAGTTTACCCTGAAATTACCCAAAAAAGTGAACGGTCCCTTTAATGACACAACTTTTGTATATCACTACTATTATTAAACAAATTAAAGTGTTCAGAAAAAAAGTTAGGGTTCGTCCGGGCAATGCACATGCAGAAGTTATGGTATCAAAATTGAGTAGCAAAAGTCGCCGAAAATATTTTTTCTAGTTCTATACCCCTTTTCAACAAATTTCATCCCACCCCCCAGCACACATTTTTTTGTTGCCAAACTCTAGTTTCAATCACTATAAACTAGTTTAATTAAATTAACTTACATTTAGTACAATCCGGAGTGTAAGCACCATTTCCTTGACATTTAGGCAATGGACGAACTCTAGACTGCCCCCAGTCAAACTGATTCTTCTCCTAAAACAATAGAATAAAATAGAATAGAAAAGAAAAGAAAAGAAAAGAAAAGAATAGAATAGAATAGAATAGAATAGAATAAAATAGAATAGAAAAGAAAAGAATAGAATAGAATAGAATAGAATAGAATAGAATAGAATAGAATAGTATAGAATAGAAAAGAATAGAATAGAATATAACAAAATATAAATGATAAAATGTGTGGCTCAAAAATTTCGCATCCGCTTGTGTAAAGATCTCAGCAAAGATATCAGATCTCTTGTTTCGAGGAGTAATATGCATTTGCCACAAACTTTGATTTTCTAATCATTTCTTTACGATCCAGTTAGATATTTCAACTTCTTTTAAATTCTGTTAGATCAAATAATTAGTCTAAGTTTGAAAGATTTACAGAATCAGGTTGCAAAGATATGTGACCAAGTAAAGTTGAGTTTGTGCCAAAGACTCAATTCAGTTCTTAATATTCCAGATATCACAGTTATAGATAACTGTATTCTTCTGAACTTAACCCTTCCGCTGCCCCCCCCCCCTCTCCTATATCCTATGAATACCCTCTAGGTTTTACCTCCTCGAGCCGGTTAAGAAAATGAACCATGTTGGTTTCCGGATTATCGAACATTTTGCCAGATTGTCCTCCGTAATTGTACTCACAGTAAACCCAATCTGGATGCAGCTTCCATCTATCTCCAGCCAGGTTGGCAGCAGCTGAAAATATGTATTTATATATTTGACATAATAATAATTATATATATATATACTTCATTCTAATTTCGTTTTTTCTCATTTTTCCTTTCATTTAGGTTTTTGGATCGCAAACAAATATGAAGCTGAATATATAAACCTGGTGGTGTAAACCTTTGATATTTTAAACTTAGATAACATGAGTTAGCAGAATTCATAGTTTGAAATATAAAAGGTCAACAATTATGTGCATTATAGAAAATCAGAGTTTGTGGCAAAGACCACATTCCTTTAAATTCTAATTTGTTTTTTTTCTCTTCTATTTTTTTACTTTTAGAGTTTATGGAAATCTCAAAAATTGTTCTAAAGGAACTGAGTTTTTGCCACAAATTATGATTTTACAATCGCCATATTATTTCAACCTGTTGGTGTAAACCTTTGATATTTCAAACTATCATTATTTGATCTAAAATGATTCATAGTTTGAAATATCTAAGGTCTCCGACAATCAAATGCAAAGATATAGGGATAAGAAAATCAGAGTTTGTGACAAAAACTCAATTTCTTTACAATTTTTTTCCTTTCTTAACATATGCAAAAACATCTTTGACGATAAAAATAACATTAGCAAAATTTTTAAAATAGATGATATTCAAATAATTCAAGCTTTTCATATTTTTTTGGAGCCGTCTAAAATTTATTGAAACGAAGGAAATGTCTGAAGGAAAGGGGCGACTTAAAGTCAAATATATAAGTAAAAATTACAAAAAAGCAATCTCAATCGAAAATTCGAACATCAAGAAAAAATGATAAAATAATTCTGATCTTATTTTTTAGCTGACCGTTTGTACATCATCATGAGGCGGGGTTCGGAAAAGTATGTTTGTGTTTTCAAATTTCTGAATTTTATTAAACTTTCAAAATTAAATTCTCAGAATTTTACAAAAATATTTAAATAAAATCATATCTGCAGTATATGTTCACGTATACAGTTATATCCTTGTCAATTAAATTCTGAAATACTAGACTGAGTACTTATGTAATATGTATTATATATATATCCCTTCTTTTAATAACATCAAATCATAAAAAGAAATCCAAAATGCCTTGAATGTTCAAGAATTGATTTGCAGCATGATATAGAATCTATTTGTCAGAGTTATTAAAAGCCTCTATCGATAAAACGCTACCCTACTAAAACGCTAAAACAAAAAAAACGCTACCTTAAAAAAACGCTACACTACAAAAACGCTACCAAGGCTAAATATCTTTAGCACATATTTTTATGACTTTGAAGATGCAAAATATTATTTCAATCAGGGCTCAGTCGCCCATCCCTTTCCATACCAAGTTAACACTTCTTACAAATTCTAAATAAACATTGAAAATATTTTTAATGACAATTTCAAATCGAGGAGAAAACTTTATTAACAAATTATCGTCCCATCAGTTAACTATATCTTCCTTTTCTAAACTACTTGAACAAATTGTCTATCAGCAAATATTTATTTTCCTCAACCTTCTAAAACAAATTGAAACAGAGAGAATAATCTGGATAAATAAAGATGAAATTATAAATAGAATGCGTAAAACTGGTGAATTCGGAGACGCTACTGTCTGCATGCTTTTTCAAACTTAATTGGACGATATATTTGTATATCCTCGTTTTTGAAATCTCTGCAATAGATTTAATAATTTGTGATACACTATGTTATTTTATAATGTACAACTAGAATTTTTCGATATAAAAATTATTCAAATCGCTTTATTTCTAAAACATTATAAATTTTGAAATAAACTTTAAATCTCAGACAAAAACAGAAGAAGTCAATAAATGTGTAGCAAATTATTGCCTAGATTATAGCGTTTTTATACTGTAGCGTTTTTATACTGTAGCGTTTTTATAATATGATCATAGTATAATAGTATTATAGTATGCAATTAATACAAGTGACCCTTTCTTTATAGAGTGGCATGACTGATTCACAACAATACCGTTAAAAACTTTCTTAGATAAATGAATAATGAGATATACTTACATTCATGGTTGAAAATTGATTATTTTAAATTTTGGTTTTCACTTACAGAATTATTTTTGAGAAACAATGAAGAAAAATCATATTTCAACAATTTTAGAAAGAAAATTGACAATATCTTATTCATCGTTTCTTCTTAAAACTGCGTATATAATGCTACTTTGTAGTTTGAAATTAAACTGTAGAATTATTTATAGAAAACTTACGTCCATTTCCTGGTTGTCTGTTCTGAGGGTCATTGACCTCTAGTCCTCCGACCACCCTGTACTTCCCGTACTTGTTGGGGAACACGATACCGAGGGTGAACGGGGTATTGGAGATATTATGGTAGAAGTAGTCCTACAACAACACACGTTTTTAATTTATTAACGATTAATGATATAATAATCATTTTCAGTGTTTGCACATTGGAAGTAAAAAAATTATCACATCGCAAATACTCTTATTTGCTAATCCCCGTGCAATTATGAATTCTCCTTAATCAAATATAGTCAAAGTTTAAAATATCAAAAGTTTATACACTTATGCATTAGATCAAAAGTTTAGATTCTTTATATATTATTCTATATGAATTATTGTAAATTTCGCAACGCCCTGGACATGTCTATACCCCTTCCCCAACTGAAAATGACACATTTCATACAACCCACTCTGTACAGTGTAATTAAGTGCCTTTCAGTTTAAAAATGCGCACTGTAAATATTGAGAACTCAAACCTGTTCTCTGATAGTAACCCTCTTCATATCATCCATGTGGACCTTGACGGTCAACCTTGAGATGCCGTCCTTCTGATCAACCATCTCTCTCCTCATCTAGATCATTACGTCATTCATTTTAATCCTTCTGCGGATGTCTTCAGATTATTTACGCATTTTTACAATATGTTTCAGGTTCTTTTGGAGTTATCGTTTTTGTTCTAGGAATTTTTTTAAATGAAAATTGTAAACTAGATCTGATTAAAATTATAGTTTTCCCTGTTATTTATTTTAATCTATGTAAGTTTATATTATCATATGTAGAGTTAAATGAAAGGAAATCAATCATTAATACCTGCATTAATATCATTAATATCATTAATATCATCGATGACATAAATATAATCATTATCATTAATATTATTTATATCATTTTATCATCTATATACTAGTAATATCGTTAGAAACGTGTTAGAAAAAGTTTAAGTGTTAGCTTTGCAACCAATGTCCCCTGTTTTAAAATCATTAATTTTACATTATTTAAATTTTTATTATTAATATTTGACCCCTCTCTACCTGGTAGAGTGTTGAATCATTAAGTCTTGGCTCATCAACTCTAAAAATAATTTATAATTAAAAATTCAAAATCCCATTTTTATTCTTTTTTGTTCAATTTAATAACTGATTATTTTGTTAAAATATAAAAATATAAAAATATAAAAATATAAAAATATAAAAATATAAAAATATAAAGATGATGTTTACCCGACCCAAACCTACAATCCTCATTTTTCTAGTCAAATATTTAGTAATAACATTTTTAGAATTTTCAATATTTTTCAAGGTTTTATCGAAATTTGCCTCTCCACATCCCTGAATCTTCAATATACAAAATGAAAATAAGGAATAAAATGTAAAATCTAACCTCTGATTATAAACTAGCTCAACCTCGGACAAATCTACACTGTTGTAGTTAGGTTTCAGGATCTCTTGAAACTAAACAACATTGTTCAAAAGTTTAAACATAAATTACGGAATATGTATGTCGTGGATTTTAAGCAGGTTAACATGTTTAACAAACTAGTAGGAAATCACTTTCTAAACTTTATCGTTTCCTAAAATGTAAAGTGATTTCCTCAATTTATGGTTTGTGTGAAGACTAACAAAATATTTTCAGTTGATATTAGGATTGAATTATTTGGAAATATGGAAATATTTTGATAGTTTTGTATTGTTCAGGTTTAGGGTTCTATTATTCTATACTAGAGTTGACTCAGGGTAGGGGTTTAATCACGGGGGATCTATTCCAAGTTCTAGAGTCATAAAATCGAACTTAGTACAGACAAGGGTCATCACAAAACAGGGTTGCAGTAGAGCGTTCCTTTTTTATCATTTAATACCATTTTTAAAGGATTCTTCAGAAATAGTGTGAACAGATGTTGCAACAATCACTAGAAGATTAATGAGAGGAAAAAAGTCAAAATGCATCAAATGTTGTTTGATATCTTTGAAATAAAATATCTGAACGATCCTTTTCAGCTCTGGTTTCGTTGCATCTTTTAATTTTACAAATTAAACAATTGTTTGGAAAGCTCACTTCATAAATTTAACACGTTACGTTTTATTTTTAGTTTTACTTTCATACGTTTAGTTTCTTTTTTAATGGTGTTGCAAGTTTTGGTTAAATATCATTTACATATTTTTTTATAATTGTTGTGTTGCAAGGTTTACTACTAATGTATGTACTGTGTATATATTTAGCAGTGGTTGATGATGAACCCCGAATGCCATAAATGTAAGATATATTGAGACACCCTGTATCGTTTATGTTATAGTAAAAAATGAAAATCCTAGTGGGGGGGGTGGAATAGTAGAATATAAAGTGTTTAAATATATGTATACATCCCTGTTCTACACTTTTATGTATCCATGTATAAAAACACTAAGAAAAATTGCAAAAATTCCAAGTAAGTACACACCCCCCCCCCTCCCCCTTAGTAGTTTTCTATAGTTTTGTAATATCTACTCTACTATATCTATTTCTATGTATAATGACAACCTAGAGGATCGAGTATTTGCAATAAAAACGTAATTGTTCAGAATATTCAAAATCTGTCTTAGCGAGTTCAAAAATGGAAGAATAGTTTATTTTTTGGTGGCTTTCTTTTTTCTAACATCGATAAAAGTTATTAAAATCTTCATTTACATATAATATATCTTGGCTCCACCCGCTTTATTTTTTTTTGTAGAAAACCCGCGAAAATTTTCTAAAAAACAATTTTTGCTTAACCGTTTTTTCCTTTGTACGAATTTCAGCTAAAATCAAGTTCTACAACGGAATAAAATCAAGTTCTACAATGGAATAAACTTTTCTACGAAAGAAACTAAACACTTTCCTCAAATTATAATTTTCATATTCTTATATTTTTGCAACCTGATGGTGTAAACCTGATGGTGTAAACTATGCATGAATTCTGTTAAGTCAAATAGTCAAGTTTGAAATATCAAAGGTTTACTCCCTCTGGTTACAAAGATATAGAGATTAGAAAATTAGGGGGAGCGTTAAGTTCCTTATTTGTTTTGTTTTGAGGGAAAGGTGACAACAACACAAGCTCCCAGCCAGGATTAGTTTAAATCTACAAATTTAAGAGGCATAACCAAATACAGAAATTAGAATTTAAAATTTATTTTAAACATTTTCTCATTTTTAAATAAACAAAGAAAACGAAAGAGGAAATTTGTTTTTTTTTCAATTAAATTTAGATTTTCTTTTAACATTGAGAAAATATTGTTCCACTAATGATTATGCTTCTGAAAATAAGTTGCTAAGAGGTTAAAGGATATTTGAATACCTATACTAACTATAAACTATAAATTTGTATGTATATATATAGAAGATCAAAATAACCAGGACTTTTTTGAAAATCTAAATTTATATTTCTAGATTATGTCTTTGCAAACATTTTGTTTTCTGTTTACTCTGATCTATCTTGTTCTATTCTATATAATTTTGATCCAGTATCCCCCAGTATCAGAGCGGAGCTGGCGGAGTATGGTTATCATCAGCTAACCCTGCTCATATTTAGATCTATTATGTATATCTATATATATATATATATATTTACCGTTCCGTATCTTGAAATCTAAACAGCAAACTTTATAAATTACACCCAGCAAACATTTTACATTCACACAATGACACGCGGCACACTGAGCATTCAATGCTTGCTGGATGCAGAGGACATTAATATATTATACAGGGCAGGCAGCAGAAGAAAACTTTTATCTTGATCTTCACGACTAGCATAGGGCTTCGTTTATATATATATATCAAGCTTTCTTGGGGGGTTTAGAGACTTTTAAGGGACTGTAAACATAATTTCAAGTGACCCTCCGTGCAAAGATGGCAATGCTTGATGTTAACGGTACCCTTTGTCTGATCAACTATGCATTATAAATGTATGCTTTTGTTTCTTTAAACTGTTTATATTCATTTACGATTTCTCTGCAAAAATTACTTGCACATTTCTTGCTTATAAGAAGCAATTGAAAATTTTTTAGAATTAAACACTTTTCGAGGTATCTTCCATAGTTTTGATCAAATTAAAGTTTCAAGGGTACCGATATAAATTGTTTTCTGTCTTTGAAATTTATATCTTTGGTTTAAGTAAAATTTGAAAAAAATGAACTCGTTTTTCACTTCTGAACGCTGTTCAGACTTCACAAACATCTTACTTAGACTTTTTTGTAGCCTCTGTAAATGTTTTAAAAATGAAAAAACGACACTAATGCTTAGTCACGCCTGGTTTTGTGAAATACAAGGTAATAGGAATTGAGTGGCTCAAAACTTGCCCGCTTTTTAAATAACATTTCACGTACACAAATATGAAAAATAGTTTGATCCCTAGTTTTAGTTGTTATTTGATATTTTATTTACGATTTCTACTTTCTAGGGTTCAGTGTTTCTTATACCTTGATTTCACAGTCAACCTGGCCGGTAAAGATTAAAGAGATGAAAACTTTTGAATGAACGGGAATTATTTAAATCGATTTTAAATCCTTCTCTTCTTACCGGGAGTTTATTTCGAACATTTCGACTGAATTTTTAAAAGTTATACATTCAAAAGATTCGGTTAAAGTCAGGACACTTTGTCCCATCGCATTTAAAAGTTCCCAGCTCAGATTTTCTTCTAGTTCCTGGGATGATATTTGAAAATGACAAGTGAAGTATATAAACCCAGTTGACCGGGGGGGAAAGGGGTGTTGGGTATATTAGTAAGGGGAACACCACATATAAAATTAAATTCACCATTTGACCTTTACCCATTACATTTCTTTATAAAATAAGATAAAGTTATGAATAAATAAATGCTTTGAACATAGATTAACAATCAAACATGAAAACATAAATACCGATATATTCAATATTATACAAAATCGACTTTTATCTTAATTCTTCAAATAACAATTAATAATCTTGACGCAAATGTAAATTAAGAAATCTTTCTTTTAACCCTTTCGAGACGAGATCACAATATTTGAAATTTTATCTAATTTTATCAATTAATAATTTTCAATGGTTCTTTAGCTCCTTGATTTGCAAATTATGTGAGAAAATGAGCTTAAAAATGCTTTTTCGTAAAGAATTCCTAAAAAAAAATAGTATTAGCCAAACGCTCAAATTTTCTAATCCCTCTATCTTTGCAACCCAAAGGCCTTAGATATTTCAAATTCTAAGGATCAAATAATCTAATTTTGAAATATCAAATCAGATTGGCTGGAAAGATACAGGGTTTAGAACATTTGAGTTCGGAGCAAAGACTCGATTCAATTGTGTGAGCATCAAAGTCTCGGACCGAAAGGGTTAAACCAATTAAATCCTTAATCTTTGAAACTCTTGGATGAACCCAACACATAAACAAGAGAGATAAGTATATTACCATTGGTCTCAGGTCTGGATGGTAGAGAATATAACCATTGTTATTCACAGCAAACGAATATCCGTTTACACCAAGCTAAATAAATGGATTATTTGACGCACAATTTTAAAAGAAATATTTTAACCCCATAATTTAAGAAATAAAACATCGATTTTTCAAATTGTTCTGAAAACAGTGAATAATACTTTCAAAGTTATTTTTATTACGCGTTTCCTTTAGATAGTGCGAAAATTGTAGTTTGATCATATTTGATCTGGTAGTAGCGAAAGTAGTTGAACTACGTAGACTAAGTTCAACCATTACTCTTCAATTTGAGTCGGCGCACAAGAGAAGTGGTTCACCTTTGTCAAAATAGTTCAACTACTTCTTAAGCTATTCATTAAATCTGGTCCTGATCGATCACAAGGACTGAATCTAATGATTTTGAGCTATGTCTCTGAACTGGCTACTGCCGATTAAAATTTGAACCACAGATTCAAAGTTAAAGATTAAGGATTTGAATCGGTGATTCAAGTTTGAACCGGCGGTGTTCAGTTCCAATTCATTATAATTGGTCCCAGATCAACATTTACCTTATATGGTGGGATCAGTTTCTCTATTTGAGCAATAGGAACATCAGTCCCTGCTACACCGAGTAATTCTGCTATGCGAACCTGAAGATTAAGTTTAAGATTAAACTAGATATAAACAAGGAAATATAATCCCAAATATCTAGATTAAACTAAATATAAACAAGGAAATATAATCCCAAATATCTAGATTAAACTAAATATAAACAAGGAAATATAATCCCAAATATCTAGATTAAACTAGATATAAAAAAGGATATATAATCCCAGATATCTACCAAAATGCACTCAATGAGACTATTTTCATTGCTATTTATTTTTCTATTGATGAAAATACTCCCATATCTAACTATAGTAAACTATATAACTATAAGACTATGTATATATAACTATAAGCTTGAGGGATAGTTTCTAAGCTCATGGGACAATCAGGGCAATTTCACACCACGGAGATCCATAGGTTTATCAAGGGAGGAGAAGGAATGAAACCTATGGATTCCTGTGTTTTCAAAAATTATTTCTTGCCGAGATTGTTTCAATAATAAATCTATATAGGGTCTAGGTCTATTGTCTGAAGGGGGGAGGGGGGGCATCCAGAATAGGTAATTTAATCTTCTAATCAGTTCTTGCTAAAAATAAAAAGTTAACCAACGAAGACGACATATCTATCATCGGTAGAATCTACAGTAAAATAATATTCTAAACCATCGCTGACTAAAAGAACCGAGAGTTTCTAATTTTCTATTTGAAAAATTACATGGATGGTTTTGTCACCTTTTTAACTTTATCAACCTTCTTTTTATCCGACACTCGTATACTCTCAGTATAGTTCTATAGGCCGGGAAAATATAAGAGTTAGACCCTTTACACTAAATTCATAACAGTGCAAACAAATACAAAAAAGATATAATTTTGAAATTGTTATTTTTAAAGATTTGAGTTTGTAAATGTTGTTTGCACTGTGGTTGGATAAAACTATATGTTAGATGCAAAGGGGAATATAATCTTTGTACAAAATATTTACAATATGTTCAGATATAGGGGCCAGGGTTCAGAATATCCATTCTCAGTCTAGTTGCAATATCGGAGGAATCTAGAAACCATCGGGTTAACTTCTATTTACAATAGAGAAATAAATCTTAACCCCCTCTCTCTTCCCCCCCCTTTTCTCCCCCTCCCTTCCTTCGTTCTGAATGAGCTATTGCTATTGCTATTGCTCACTCTATTAGTCTAGATTAGTCTGCACCAAAATCAAATCAAAGCCATCCTTTCTAAAACTAATCAAACCAGATTTAATTTATCCTGAAACTTCGATAAAAAAATTATAAATATTGTAGAAAAAAACCAATAAATTGATTTTTTTTAAATTATTAGACTTCTAGATGGAATATTGAAGAAAAAACATTGTTTAATACTGAAGGCCTTTTTACATTTAATGACTTTAAAAAAAACAAAATGTAGTTAAGCTTTTTTTCTTCCCTTTGGCGTCTTGACGAAGTTTTTTTTTTGTACCAGGAACTGAAGAGGTAACTAAAGTGTCATTATGGCATGTCCGTTACACAACAGTACCCGCAAAATGAGATGTCCATGTTTTTAACTTTGAAAAAAGAACTTTTCGAGATAAAAGACGGCGATATTCTCCACAATAATAATCAGATAAATGTTTTAAGAATATCCTTGTGAATCGGACAAGCTTTAATTGCAGGGTCATTACAATTTACCGTGACACTCCCTTTAAGTGAAAACTTGTCTATATCTATCTTGTATATCTTTGAGAGAAACGCGGGAAAACTTGTCTATATCTATCTTGTATATCTGTGAAAGAAATGCGGGAAAACTTGTCTATGTCTATCTTGTATATCTGTGAAAGAAACGCGTGAAAACTTGTCTATGTCTATCTTGTATATCTGTGAAAGAAACGCGTGAAAACTTGTCTATATCTATCTTGTATATCTGTGAGAGAAACGCGGGAAAACTGCGTCGAATCCAGTTACCAAGCTCTCCTACTGGTGTACAGTACGGCACGTGTGTGCAGCCTCTGGGCGAGGGTGTGCACAATACAAGGTTTACCTCAACTAGTTCAGGTTTAGGTTCAGGTTTGTTAAAAAGGATGTTATCAAGTTTACTGTAATCATTTGGTAATGGCAACTTCACAATCTAGGATCAGGATTGGTTAATAATAGTTTTCAGATGTTTTTGAGTGACTTAACACTTCACTAAAAAAAATGTTCCTTAAAGATTAAAATAACAGAATTTATAATTTGTTTTTATCCTAGAAGAATTTAAAAAGTCAAATAACTTTTTAAGACCAACCCTATTTGAAAAAGAAGATATAAGACAGCTAGTAAAGGGGGTTTTATTCATATGAAAGACCGTATCTGGCCTAAACTGTTTTAGGTCAAGGAACAATTTTATTTTCAAACCAGATAGAGGCTCAGGTTTTACAAAAAAAAAACATATGTTGTGCATATTTATTATAGAGTGTGCGGAAACATCAAAAAAATGAATTAATCAATGCAAACAATGCAAATGCAGTACACAAACAAACAAATAAAATAGTGTTAGAATTACGGATACATTCATAATTGAAATATTTAGTAGAAGAAGAGGGAGAAGTGAAACACAGGTTAACGTAAGGATCAGGAGATTAAGATTACAAAAAGGAAAAGTATGGGGTTGCCAAGGGTTCGATGAAACCAAATATCTCCGGGTAGGACTCGGAGCATAAGGGTTTCCCAAACTATATCCGGACTATACGCTGAACTGCGGTTAATCTTGAATAATCTGGGAGACACTTGATTTTGTCGGCAAGGAAAAATCTGCAGTGCGGATTTAAATAATGAACAATCGTGATATTTACAATTTTTCCAAAAATATTTACACTATACAAGTTACTAAACATTCGCCAAATACCCCATTTAGCATTCCCGATATACATATGTACAAACAGAAAGGATAAAAACCCCAAAACTGTACAGAGCAAGGCAACTGCACTGTGTACAAAGTTCGTTATTTATGTACTTGAGTACATATTTTAGTAGGTAAATAATGCATGAACATCTTTGAAGAACCTTTTAATCTAAAATGTACAATTTCAATGAACCAGTACACAGTACACTGTACAGTTTATATTTGCTATTACTCTGTACAGACGGAAGGGAGAATGCAGAAAACCTGCCGACACAGCTCAAAGGGTTTAAATGTCGAACCTTTCCGAACGGATTGGAAATTTCATTTGGTTTTAGTCCGAGAACCTCCAGAGTCTAAACCAAATATAAATCTGAGATCAGTCTCTTTATTCTTCTATCATCAGCATTTATATAAATATATATATACAGGAGATTATTGAATTGTTTAAACTTATCTGTTCCTCTGAATTTATATTCCAACAAAGTGTCCCCGCTCTCACGGGGATTAAGAAAGAAATAAAGCTGAAATTTCGTCATAATTTCGTTATGCTCGTGCTGGAGAACAAATATTCAGGTGCAAGATGTGCAACATACAAAGAGAGAAAAATATTGTTTTTTTTTGTCAAGAAAAAACTTTTAAAATGTTTAAAACTGATCTTGAGAGAACAACTTAAAGAGAGAGAGAGTTGGGTTTAAAATATTCAAAATCATCAATATTCTCAACATTATCATCAATAATACCGTCAACTAAAATCCTAAAGTTATAAGTAATCGTATCAATTAATCAACCAATCAATCAATCAATCCATCGATCAAATAAACAGTCTAAAGTATAGATTTAGTTACACTATTGATGGTTCAATGGTTTAAAATTTTATTCTTTAAAATGTTTTTTTACATGTCTAAATTTTTACTTTATTCTGTTTATTTGGCAAGAGGGGCTAAAAGGGACATTTTTGAGAAAGTATAAAGGCCAAGGGGGTATAAAAATTGATCAAAAAATAGCTTACCGTATGGTTTTTCTTATTATAGACTGGTATTGACACTGAGGTCATTAGTTTGTATCCTTTAAAGGATCCATCTTTACCCTGCGCCTCCTGAAATAGAAAAAAAATAAGAAACAAATTTTTTGCCAAAATTCTTAAACATTTATTTTTAATCTTGAGTGATTTTTTTAAACATTTAAAAGGAATTTAGTCTTTTTCTCAAACTCTGATATTCCGATTCTATAATCCCTACATCTTTGTAGTAGGTTGAGAGTATGTATTTCAAACTATGAATCCTAATCTAAGTTTGAATTATCTATGGTTTACATCATCAGGTTCTAAAGATACAGGGATTAGAAAACTTGAGTTTGTGGCAAAGGCTAATTTCCTTTGTACTTTTTAATCTTGAGTGAGATTTTTTAAAAAAGTATTTGGAAAATAAACACAGAAATAGTTAAACTATGTTTAAGTAAATTTCTTTTAGAATACAGCTGTGTTTATCTTTCATTTATCTTTCAAACATCAGTCATTTTAAATTAGTGATGTTAAAAATATGCAATATCATGCGATTAAAAATAGTTCATGCAAAAATTGAAACAAACCAAAAATTAGCACAAAATACATTGATGCGGGAAAAACTGAAATTTATCTTTCGACACATGAAAAAAAGAGATTTTTGGCCTGCTGACTTCTTCTCCTCCTTTTTTATATTTTGTTTTAAGATTGATTAATTAAAAAAATTTTATTTGCAAAAATAGAAAAGTTTGTTGAACAAACCACTTCTCGCCAAAATCTGTAGAGTGGAAAATGCACTTTTTTGTGCAATTCCGGAGTGCAGTTGAGTTAAACAATTTATACATTGTTATTTTTAACCAATTTCTGTATTTTGATAATTTAAAGAATAACTCGACATAGATTTATTTAAATATATCGTGGATATACCAAGCCGTTGGTGCATAAAGCTTCTACTTAATCTGCATGATGGCATGATGCTTAGAAAATTCAGATTTCCATGGAGTGTTATGGAAAGAAATGGTTAAGAGGGGTTGGGGGGATAGTTTTGATTGGGTCTCCCAATAAATATGAGAAGTATTTGGAGAATTAACATCGTCTTTGATTAAATTTTTTTAATTGGAATGGTGATAAGTTTTATGATTTCTAAGTAGTAGTTTAAGATTTTTTTTTGTACTTTCAAATTCAGATCTTAATCCAATATCTCCGGCAATTCCTAAAAGGTAGACCATATTTTAAAAAGCTGATAACAATTAACCTAGATTGAGCTGATCTGTAGAATTTTAAAATTTGAAATTGATTTGCAAAACAAGGTTCTTATCGAACATTAATCATATACAATTATAGGTCTTCCATGATAAGTATCATTAGAGCTTGTGGAGGTTTAGGATTAAATTTCAATTTTCAACTTAGAATTTTTCAAAGACGTCATTGAATTCAGAGTTAGGAGTTTATGCAGCTAGTTTAAACTTAAGCTCAGGTTTCAAAGAAATTGAGTCTTTTTTACCACAAACTCTGATTTTCTAATTCCTATATCTTTACAACCCAATGTCGTAGGACCTTAGATGTTTCAAACTTTGAATTCAAATTTGAAATATCAAAGGATTACACCATCAAGTTGCAATGATATAGGAATAAGACAAGTAAAGTTTGTGTCAAAGACTCAATTCCTTTATTAATAAATTATAGTTTTTTTTAAATAGGTACATTATCTAGTCCACTTACGTACAGTTATAATTCCTCAAGCACTGAAGTGTTTGAACTTAAACTCAGTTTTATCTGCATAAAGTCCAATATCTAGTTGTTATGTGAATTAAATTGTATTTATATACAGTAGGAACCATAAAATTGTGGAATAGAAAGAAGACAAAGGACTAAAATTATGATTATAAATTGTGTAATGCACACAACAACCCATTTCATTTCATAAGTTTAATTTCATGGCTACTGGTAAAACAATTTGCTTAAAAATAACATCAAAATATACAAGAGATGCTGAAAATTCTCTTCCTATAGTCCACAGTTTTATGGGTCTCACTGTCACAGTAGCATAAAGTATAAGCTGATGGAACTGAAGCAATTAATCTACAGGATTAGAGTGCTCCGGGTTCAGACCAATCGTTTAATCAGATGTAGCAGTCGAACACGAGGTATATGACTCTTCTCCCTGTTCTGCAGTACATGAGCTGGTCCGCCTGTACTCAACAGTTTAGATAGATCTTCTATCCGTCGTACATTCATCAGCTGATAAACATTTAGTTTATATATATATATGTACAATTCTTCTTTCCTAAACTATACTACCAAATAATAAACATAAGATTGAGGAGAAATAGAAAATTAAAAACATGCGTCGATCCATAAGTCATCTGACTGGACCTCAACTTTTAATTTGATCTTTAAAAAAATATCATAGAAATAAACATTTAATACATAAATTTCCCTTTAAACATAAAACATAGAAACATGCTGTAAACCATGGAGATGCTGTAACCCATGCAGGAGGAATCCGAACCAAAGAAAAACTTACGCGGAACGCGAGAGATAACTGTTTGGGAGGAATTGACCATTTTTCCACCTTAGCATCTATTATCTCACGAACCAGCTGGAAATGAAATATGTCGTCATTGTTTTATTACTATAACCTTTTTACACAAAAAAAACTTGAAAGTGTACAGTTTTGCGTCACTATTTTTGATATTATTAATCCTTTTCATTAAGTTTACCATGAAAAGAAACCAATGATCTTAGAGAATAGGATGAGATGATAGGAAACCAATGATATTAAAGAAAAGGATGAGATGATAGGAAACCAATTATACTAGAGAATAGGATGAGATGATAGGAAATCAATGATATTAAAGAAAAGGATGAGATGATAGGAAACCAATGATATTAGAGAAAAGGATGAGATGATAGGAAACCAATGATATTCGAGAAATGGATGAGATGATAGGAAACCAATTATATTAGAGAAGAAGACGAGATGATAGGAAACCCATGATATTAGAGAAGAAAATGAGATGATAGGAAACCAATGTCGATTCAGGAGAGGATTAGATGACAGGAAACTAATGATATTGGAAGAAAGAATGAGATGAAACCAATGAGATTATAAAAAAAGAATGAGATGATATGAAAGCAATGATAATAGAGAAAAGGATGATACATAATAAACTGATAAAGATAAAAGAAATTTAAGCCCCACCCCCACCCCCCACCCCTTCTGTAAACGCCCCTGTATGCAGCTTTCTAGATTAAAAAGTTTATAACAGCCCCTGAAATATCAGAGAAAGGGTTATATTGAATAAAGTTTGATTTGCATTTAATCTCCTGGATAATCTAAACGGGATGAACAAAAGTCCGATTATTACGCTTAATTTTACAGGATTTAAACGGACTGTTATTCTTGTTTAAACATTGGATCTTGAAGAAAACATTGCTTCAAACAATGCACCCAGCACAATAGCGCCCTGTGAACCTTTGCAGCCTCTTGGAGCTAACTTTGCAAAAAGTCAATGGTCATTTTTGAAATAAGTAGATTTTACATTTAAAATTAAGTAATTATTCTTATCATATCCTTTTGATTTCCATAGTTGCTTGTGATCACTGGCCATTTTGTGATCACAGGATACCTTGTGATCACTGGCTACCTTGTGATCACTGGCCACCTTGTGATCACTGGCCACCTTGTGATCACTGGCTACCTTGTGATCACTGGCTACCTTGTGATCATTGGTCACCTTGTGATCACTGGCTACCTTGTGATCACTGGTAACCTTGCGATCACTGGATACCTTGTGATCATTGGTCACCTTGTGATCACTGGTCGCCTTGTGATCACTGGTCACCTTATGATGTCTGGTAACCTTTTGAACCCTGGATACCTTGTGAACACTGGATACCTTGTGATCACTGGATACCTTGTGATCACTATATACCTTAATAAATCTGGTAACCTTGTGAACACTAGTTACTCTATAATAACTGGTTACCTAAAATCTGCCTGTAATCTATATATATCATATACCCTGTCACTCGATTTTATGATTCTTTCAATTTTAATATTGAAGATGAATATTAAAAAATGAGATTAATGTGCGAATAAAATATCCTACCCGTTCTTTCCTCTCTTCCTCTTTATTAAGTTTCTCTATATCTGCGTCCTTCAGATCCCATTTCCCATACGTCAGAAAGTTTTCCATCTGTTTCTTATCATGCAGACGGGTTAGTTTCTCCAGAGCTGCAATCTGCTGGCCTGATTCTCCTTCCTCCGTAGGTTGTAGATCTTTATCTCGTTGCATAGCAATAATCTTCCGATAGTTCTCCGTCCTTCTCTTCTGTCGAGCCCGTTCTCTGATATTCCAGAGCCAACGGGAGGTTTTAGGATCCTAATTAGGATATCAGGGGGTTAGTAATATTAGTAAAACAATTCAAATATTAAGTGTTAGGAAAATGAAAACCAGTTCTGTTAGTTCAAAGTTAGGTTCAAACCATCTTACGTGAATATGTCTCCTACTAGTAGGTTTTTGTAAACCTATTACCCACAAACTTCTACCATTAGGCACCTGTTTGTTACAAATTTTATACTATTTTCTTATCCAATTTTTTAGAATTATTTATTTTTGTTATTATTTTTTTTTCAAATTTATTTTTTAACCTTAAAATTTTTTATTTTATCTATTAGACCTCAATATCCGCATAAACTCCTGTCCAGCGTACTGGATGTTGCTCCCTGAGAAGAACCAGGGGTCTGGCCATTACAGGAATATACTTCAGAACCTGGAGAAAATATATCTTAGAAACATTACATGGATATTCTTCAGAACCTGGAGAAAATATCTTTCTTAGAAACATTAAAGGGATATACTTCAGAACCTGGAGAAAATATCTATCTTAGAAACATTACAGGAATATACTTCAGAACCTGGAGAAAATATATCGTAGAAACATTACAGGGATATACTTCAGAACCTGGAGAAAATATATCTTAGAAACATTACTAGGATATACTTCAGAAACTGGAGAAAATATCTATCTTGAAACATTACAGGAATATACTTCAGAACCTGGAGAAAATATCTTTCTTAGAAACATTACAGGGATATCAGGGACTTCAGAACCTGGAGAAAATATCTATCTTTAGAAACATTACAGGAATATACTTCAGAACCTGGAGAAAATATCTATCTTAGAAACATTACAGGGATATACTTCAGAACCTGGAGAAAATATCTTTCTTAGAAACATTACAGGGATATACTTCAGAACCTGGAGAAAATATATCTTAGAAACATTACAGGGATATACTTCAGAACCTGGAGAAAATATCTTTTTTAGAAACATTACTGGGATATACTTCAGAACCCGGAGAAAATATCTATCTTGAAACATTACAGGAATATACTTCAGTACCTGGAGAAAACATCTATTTTTGAAAACTTGAAAAAAACTGATTGCTGGATTGGTACTTAAATTTTCTAATCAGTTTATCTTTGCTTCTTTATATATGAATTTTGTTGGATCAAATAGTCAAAGTTTTAAATGCCAAAGGTTTTAAAGAACCCAAAATTAAAAATGATAGTTAGTTCCTTTTACAATTATAGAAGAAAATGATTATTTCATAAACAGACAAGAAAAAAGATTCAAGTAAGACATTTGTAATATCATTGTTTCTAAAAATTATTTTTTGTTAAATTCCATTTTAAAGACCAACCAGATAATTTTGATTATAAATAAAGTTTTAATGAAGAGTTAAAATACTTTTAAAAATCATGTTTTTGTAAACAGTTTCAATATGTCCAAACTAAAAAACCTTTAAATTTTCATGTTCAGTGGGAAACACTGTCTATTAAAATATTTGATATGAAAAATGTTGTTTTTATCCCTGAGCATGTTTCTCACCTGTTCCTTGACTTCAGCCAGTGTTGTTACATGAGTAAAATATCCCTTGTTGGTGCAGGCCATCCATTTAGCAGCTTCGAGATCAGAGATCTCTCGTCCTATCAGGTACGTGAACATTCGAACCTTCTTCTCAGGCTCATTAAACTCCTAAACAGAATAGTAAATTAAAATTATTACTTGCATCAAACTTGAATTATCTAAAACCTTTCTTCAATTTGAACCGTACACAATGAATCAGTGAAATCTTTGGTTTCCAGTTTCTTTTTGGGCCGCACTGGGTGCTGAGCTTTCCCCTGGACAAATACCTGTGTACGCCCTGAAGGTTTAAACCTTTGGCTTAATGATCATAATTTCAGATATCAAAGACCCACGACATTAGTTTGCAAAAAGTGGAAGTTAGAAGAGTGATCAGTTGTTAAAAAACGCGAATATTTATAACAAAATAATTTTTACTTGTTAAAACGGCCATTTTCTTCATCATTTAAATAATTTTAAGACAGAATCTGCAATTTACGAGAATAACTTCTTTTAATTTTTAGAATTTGCTTTGAATATATGTCTGATATATTTGCAGGCTGTAAGTAGGTAAATGCATTACTGGTTTTTAATCTGTTTTAATACATTAGGAAAGCTATGAAAAATTTTTCACATGACAAATAACAGGAAAACAGGGACTATTAGCATAATTTGAAACCTCCATGCAAGATTGCAATGTCAGATTTAAAACGGTCCCCTAGAAGGCTTTGTCTTATCAAGTATGAAATTAAAGGGACTGATGCCGTACTTTTACGCGTCCAATTTACAGCTTTAATCTTGGAACCTTGATCTGAGTAACAATGAGAAAGATATTGTCATTATTCAATCCTAGAAAAGATCAATTCTAACAATTTCCTCCCTTGTCTCTCCAATAAACCTTTAAAGAAATGAAAACAAGAATATCTCCATCTTTCTCGAGTTTTAAGAGTAACGTTGTGAATCTGGAAAGTAACAAGATCGTTAAGTCTGCTCTCGTCATAGTACATTTTCTGTTTGAAAATAAATACTTAACTATTTAAATGGCGATCACTTAAAAATACGTTGATATAACCCTTAATAGAAGCCATCTTGTTGTGACAGGGAGGGTGGTTAATGAGAACGCTCTAGGGATATAAGAAAAAGTATAAGCGAGTAAGTTTGGAAAATCAAAAAGGCGTTGCGACGGTTCAAAGTCGACCTGGTCTTGAAAATTGATGCGTATTTGTCTTAATCTGCAGTGTTGTATGGTGTACCTGGAATATAGTTTGGAACTTGTATGGAACTCCGTCTGTCACCAACATAATTGCTCGGTTGCAGTTTGCTCCAAGCTTTCCAGATCGCGACTTCAAACTGAAATATTCACAGAATCAATTCTTAAATTCAAATAAATTAGGATTCAATTTGAAATATGAATATTTGTCCAGATTTAACTTTCTCAAATAGTCCTGGAATTAACTAATGTATTTTGGACTTATAACTGAAAATATTTCCGGAATAGAAATTCGGATTTTTCTAATTAAACTGAAATATTCACAAGGTAAGAAATTTTATAAACTCAATCTGAAACATGCAAATTCGGATTACGAACTTTGATTTGATTTTAAGCTTATTATTTTTGGATTTACATGCTTTACTAATTCGAACAAAATCATTAAAACTTTTATCTCGGCTAAAATGAATGAAATACTAATATTCTTAAAGTCGGAGACCGCATCTAGATTTTATCTGTAAGTATAATAATAATATCCCGGTTAGAGTTTTACCTGTATTTCTCCAGTAAGGAGAAAGCACTGGTGAGTGCAGCTGTAAAGTTTGCAATCTCCTCGGTTTCAATATTATTCACAGCTTCCGTAAACTCCGCAATATTCTCTGTAGTTGCTTGAACCAGCTCTGGTTCTCCGTCAGCATCTGTAAAGCAGGGAACTAGAGGACGGGTCTCGTCGGAGAAGGTTAGAATCGTTAGGAAATCATCTTCTCCGAGGGTCTCCATGATATTGAGAACAACATGCTTTGCAATCTCCTTCCTAAGTCCTGTCATGGATCCTGATGTGTCGAGAAGAATAACTAAATCTTTGGAGCTTGCTGCTGATTTGATATACCAATCTCTCATCCTTGCATCATACATATCTGGGTCGTCCTCATAGGTCAACCATTTGATTGCTGGATACTGTCGGAGAAACCCAGTGCTGGATCCAAAATATTGCCAGGAGAGGGACGGATCTCTCTCATAGTTATCCCTAAACGTATCGTCCAGCTTCTTACTCCAGTCTATAGCATTGATCACCTTCGGTTCACCGTCAAACACGTTGGTTGGGACGTGGACAGAGCTCCGGGATGTATTAACGGGGATACCGGAGAAATGTGGGTTTGCATTTAGGTTGAGACGAGAGTATCCTGGAGCATAGTATTCATCCTCCGGGGATCTGTACTGAGACAAATACCTGAAAAAAACGTTTTATAGTAATCATTAGATCCAAACCAACATAACATCGCACCCTATTTATAGATGATCATAATTTGTTGCTAGTTCTAAAGGCGATCCACAAGAACTTAAGATCCATGCCATATTATCCTAAAATTACCTATCCTAAAATTACCTAATCCTAAAATTACCTATCCTAAAATTACCTATCCTAAAATTACCTATCCTAAAATTACCTATTCTGAAATTACCTATCCTGAAATTACCTATCCTAAAATTACCTATTCTGAAATTACCTATCTGAAATTACCTATCCTGAAATTACCTATCCTAAAATTACCTATTCTGAAATTACCTATCCTGAAATTACTTATCCTGAAATTGCCTATCTTGAAATTACCTATCCTGAAATTACCTATCCTGAAATTACCTATCCTGAAATTACCTATCCTAAAATTACCTATTCTGAAATTACCTATCCTGGAATTTCCTATCCTGAAATTACCTATCCTGAAATTTCTAATCCTAAAATTACCTATCTTGAAATTACCTTTCCTAAAATTACCTATCCTAAAATTACCGATCCTAAAATTACCTATCCTGAATTTACCTATTCTAAAATTACCTATCTTAAAATTACCTATTCTGAAATTACCTATCCTAAAATTACCTATCCTAAAATTACCAATCCTAAAATTACCTATTCTAAAATTACCTATCCTGAAATTACCTATCCTAAAATTACCTATCTTTAAATTACATATCCTAAAATTACCTATCGAATTCCCCAGAGCCTCCGGCATCTCCTTCTGGGAGAACATTAAGCTTCTTAGCATTCACATAATGATATCTTCCTTCTGCTAGTCGGGCTCCACGTTCCTAAATTAAACAATTCCAATTCTTAACCCTAAACAGGCTGGGGGGGGGGGGGGTTTGGCACCCCCCGGTGTTCTTTTTTTGTCCTAGCACTCTCATTTTTGACACTATCACGGTGAAATTCTGTGTCTTTCAATGAAAAGAAATTTAAAGGTTTTTTTTAGTAAATTATTTTTTTAAATTTATAGGTTAGGGTAAAGGGCGGAAAAAAAGTCCGGTTTGTGAAAAAAAATACAAAATAGGCCATAACTTTTTTTGTGACTAAAACCACAGATATAAAAACTATATTTTTGAAAAGCCCTTGAAAAATGCATGTAGAAACATGTAGAAACTTTAAGATTTGTTTAAAACGATCAAGCAGTTTTGGTTACCTTGTCATATTTATGATCCAGGGCAATATTTTCAGCTAACTCCATAATCCTCTTGATAGCATCAATCTTGTGCTGCATCATGATCTGAACCTCAGCAGCCATTGCTCGGACCAATACAAACCCATCAACCTCATCAACCTGAACAATAAACTTATCAACCTAAACAATAAACTTATCAACATAAACAATAAACTTATCAACATAAACAATAAACTTATCAGCCTGAACAATAAACTTATCAACCTGGACAATAAACTTATCAACCTGAACAATAAACTTATCAACCTGAACAATAAACTTATCAACATAAATAAATAAACTTATCAATCTGAACAATAAACTTATCAACATAAACAATAAACTTATCAACATAAACAATAACCTTATCAACCTGAACAATAAGCTTATCAACATAAACAATAAACTTATCAACATAAAAAATAAACTTATCAACATAAACAATAAACTTATCAACATAAACAATAAACTTATCAACCTAAACATTTAACTTATCAACCTGAAAAATAAGCTTATCAACATAAACAATAAACTTATCAACCTGAACNTATATTGAATTCACCCCCCCTGTCATTCGTGTTATAGTGTCTAGCACATATTTGAAGATATATTGCAAACCCTTGTATAGAGGTGAACCCTTAACAAGATTGAATTGAGTTTAGTTTAGCTCCAAGATATTCAATATTTCGTCCTTCTCAATATTTTCCTGTTGCAATATTCAAACATAAATCTTATGTCGAAACCTTAACCTATATACATATTTATATACATATATTTATATTTTCAAAAATATATTTGCTTTAGCTTTGCATAGAAGTACACTACAGTTTGTCTGAAAAATATTGAGGTATCAAAAATAATCTTTGCCAAGAAGAGTTAGACAGCATAAGCGCGAATTCAAAATATTATAATACTATATATGTATATATATATACTTGTTATTCTTTATCTAGGGCAAGGGTAGGCCATAAGAGAATTTTTTAACAGTACAAAAGTACAAAAAAATAAATCTTGAATACACAATGAACTCGGTTTCGGTGGCTAAAAACTGGTGCAGAACCTGGTGGGAGGCAAGGCACTAATGCAAGATAAGTTAATTCCTATGACCAGAATATTTCATAGATTATTTTTGTAAAAAAGGATTCCATGTCAGGCTGTGACATACGTCTTGTGTTTACTTTTCTGCCCAGAGACAGTACACTGCAGTACAAAAAATGCGTACACCTCTGAAATAACTTTCCTTGCATTACAACCTTGGTGGGAGTGGAAGGGAACAGGCCATGCAAAGAAGGCCGTTAGAGGGGGGGGGGGTTTCGATTATTTTTAACACAGACCAATTTAAATATATTTCCCTTGTCTGTCTGTTTGTTTGTCCTTGTATTCCCTATCTTAAAATGCTGGGTTTGATTTCGTGTTTCGGTTCAAGTCCTGTTTCGAATGTTTTTGTTGACAAACAACCAATATAAATAGTACAGTTACCGAAACTGAGTTCATTTTGAATTAAAGAATTTGGTGTTCTCTGAGTACAAAATTCTCTTATGGCCTTACCCTAGCCTTGATCTAGGGTTTGTTCCCAAAAAGAGGTTAAACGGCTGAACCAATTGAGCCAAAATTTGTTATTCTACGGCCAATCAGATTGAAACTAAGCTTTTAAAGAATTTTCTCCCAAAATGTTTGAAAATTCAACGAAAAGACAAAAAAATTGTATTTTGTGAAACTGTAAATGTATATAAAATATATATAAAATATATACAAAATATAAAGTATACAGCTGAATCAGAAACAGATGTTATCAATCAAAGGTTTGCTTCTTTTTTTATTCAATATTTTTTCTTTCCCAGTAATCCTTTCATTCTAATACTTCTGATAATCTGATTAAAGAGACTGTTTACGTAAATTCTAGTGACCCTCTCTATCAGGGATTCTTGCCACCGATTCACAATGCTAGCCTGTAAATCTGTGTCCCAGCAAAAGTGACGACGATAATCTTGTTTTTATACCTGAAAATTGTTCATTTTCAATTCATACCCCACCGGTGTACATTTGAATATCCGAGCTTTGCAATCCTTCTTTAGACTGTACCGCCAATTTAAAATTACAAAAGCGGCAGAGGAGTGTGAATTGCGGGTTTTCTTTCAAAGTGAATTGCAGATTTATGCAACCTAGCAGAGGGAAAGAATGAAAATGAAAGAAGGTTAAAGGTATAAATGTTTAGTTAGAGGTCACATGAAACAATACTGACGGGAGTGATGGTCCCTTTAGTTGGGGGTCACATGAAACAATACTGACGTGAGTGACAGTCCCTTTAGTTGGAGGTCACATGAACCAATACTGACAGGAGTAATGGTCCTCTTAGTTATGGTCCCTTTAGTTGGGGGTCACATGAAACAATATTGACAGGAGTGATGGTCCCTTTAGTTAGGGGTCACATGAAACAATACTGACGTGAGTGACGGTCCCTTTAGTTGGGGGTCACATGAACCAATACTGACGAGAGTGACGGTGTCCCTTTCAAATTGTAAGATTTGACGACGTTTTTTTTGCGGCTAAGTGTTTAGCTCATCAGTCACTTTATTTTTTTGGGTTTCAAAATCAATTCAAATGTTTTTCTTAAATGAACAGAAATATGAATTTTCAATAGATATTAAACTTTGTTGAAACTTATTTAAAGTTTTACAAGGATACATATTTTGTTGGTTTAGTTTCTAATTAAGAATTTAAATAAACTAATCTGGAGAGAACCTTTATACTCATGTATCTTGTTTTAAAGTGTCTGAATATATACGAGTCTTTGCCACAAACTTAATTTTTTAATCCTCATATCTTTTCAACCTGATGGTTTTAATCTTTGATATTTCAAGCTTAGGTTATTTGACCTTACAGAGTATATATAGTTTGGATTATATACGGTCTACGACATTAGGTTGCAAAGATTTGAAATTTAATGTTTGTGAAAAAGAATCAATTCCTTTAGTTTTAAATCCAATAGTATCTTTCTTTCATCTAAATTTGCATTGTCTTTTAATAGAATTATAACTTAGTAAGCTAGCAATATTTTGAAAATTGGTTATGTTCATATTTTTTCTCCAAAAGTATAATTTTTATTTATTGCAAACTTACGTTGAGGTTAGGATTGGTTTCATACTGTTGTTGAATGCTCTCTCGCCTTGTTGCCTAAATTAGGATTTATCAGTCACTCAGATAATTACCAAATATTTTACCCTCAGGATAAATAGGAAATTGAATCCGAGGCGAAAACATTTGAATTTGAGTTAAATATTTTGAAAATGAGTTCAAGTGATCTAAATCAATACCTTGCGTTACCCCTCTCAGTATTTGCGAAAATAAATAAATAGCCATGAATATTAAAAAACTAAATATCTGCAACATTCCATTATTAGAAAGTGAAGAATACGACATTTGATGAATTATTTCGATGTATGACTTATTTCCTGGTTTAACTGTACATAACACTATTTACCTGGCTAAGAGATTGTACATAAGACTATTTACCTGACCTAGATATCGTACATATCACTATTTACCTGACTAAGAGATTGTACATAACACTAATTACCTAACTAAGAGATAGTACATAGCACTATTTACCTGACCTTGATATCGTACATAACACTATTTACCTGACTAAGAGATTGTACATAACACTATTTACCTGACTAAGAGATTGTACATAACACTATTTACCTGACTAAGAGATCTTGATATCGTACATAACACTATTTACCTGACTAAGAGATTGTACATAACACTATTTACCTGACTAAGAGATTGTACATAACACTATTTACCTGACTAAGAGATTGTACATAACACTATTTACCTGACTAAGAGAATGCCAAAGATCTGTTCCGAACTTTTGTCCCCATCTACTCACACTGAAAAATAGATATATACAGTGGGACTCATAAAACTCTGAAATAAGAAGACGACAACGTAACTTAAAGGGTCTGTAGACGATATTTAAAGTGACAATTCATGCATAGAGGTAAAACCAATTTACATCTGTGCATCTTAACAGCTGTGTCTGATTAAAAACTAATGATTTTAAATACAAAATAAAAGCAACTAGCGCAATTTCTGCTTACGGAAACAACGAAGAATCCTTTTATTATAAAATAGAAGAAGTAGAAAAACGACAATATAATCCACATTTTTAATTAGATACAGGTGTCAAGGGTATCGTTGTTAAAAGAGCATGCTCCTCTAGAAACTACGACGACATTACAGTTTCTCTTCAAGTTATTATTTTAATTAAATAGTCCAATAAACATATAACACAGCAATTATGCAGTAAACCACAGCTCCCCATATCACTTTAATAGTTTATTTTTTCACTACTGGTAAACTATTGTCTGTATTGTATATGTCTCTGAACAGTTTTATGATAAATACTTTCTTCCATTTCAAAACGGAGACTCTAATGCCTCAATAAAGATTTTAGTTAAAATATTGCTGTATAACATTATGATATTATCCTATTTTGTATTTACGATATTTTAGCATTGTACTTTCTCCATGTTTAGGGAATACAAGTGCTTTTTTGATCTACAGAGCGTCCCATATCATATTTGACTATCTCCAAAATTTAACACTAAAACACGAACATAATACACAAAAAACCTAGTATTTTCTCCAGCAAATCTTTATGTTAGCAATATACAATTTTTTAATGATTCGTTCTCTTAAAAAGTTGCAAATAAAAGTTATAACACGATCCAATATGATGTTAGACACCTTTACAACAGTAGCACGGCTAAAGGAAATAATAATTTTTACTTCGAAAATAAGTACCCTCCCCCCCCCTCCCCCCAACACTAAGCCTAAACCTCCGTTTTCAAGTTCTGTTCTTGTGTTTAAAACTTTTAATTGCTTAAAGATGGAAAATAATGTCGGATAATTAAAAGTTTTTTTCTGTTTATTGTATTGTATTGTATTGTATTGTATTGTATTGTATTGTATTGTATTGTATTGTATTGTACACCGTATATATCTACACAGCCTACAGTCTACACTGTACATTTCAAATTGTGCATGTAATAAAATTTCTATTTCAAAGACTTAAAATTTAATGAATTTTTTTGTTTTCCGATTGGGTTTCTTATTGGAGTCCTTTTTTTAGATATTATCCCTTGAAAATCATATTTATCTCCATGGGGGGCTTACCCCCAACAGCCCCCCCCCTGTAAGCACATCTGAACATGTTTAATCTTTATAAAACTTTTAAATGAGATGGTGATAATCTAAAACTTTTAATTTGAAGTAATTAAGTGTCTACTTCATGAAAACCATCTGATCTAAATTTTCAAAAAATTTAGATCAACTAAGCTCACAACTTTAGAATGAGATATCCTTAATCCCGTTTACTTAATCTGAGTATCCAATGGAAACACTTTTGATTTTCTTCTTAAACCATTCTTTCTTGTATATAGTAGAGAAAAATCAATTACCGGTTTTAAAAAATAATTCTGTTTCGTATATTAATCTTAAATGGCGCGTAAAATTTTAAATTTATTGACTTCATGTACGCGACTCTGATTGGTTGAATTTTATACACTTTTCAGGATACAAGTACATGATTAGGTTAGTCTCGATATTAAGAAAAAGAGAGGATAAAGCATTAATCTCGATATCCAGCATTCTAAAGTTTTCAGCTCTGTTCATCTAAAATGTTTGTAATGTTTGTAATGTTTGTAATGTTTGAAATGTTTGTAATGTTTGTAATGTTTGTAATGTTTGAAATGTTTGTAATGTTTGTATTGCAAAAAGTTTGAATACAAATGGAATAAAAAATGTTTTAACTGTGATATACAATATTGCAGATTGTGGTCTGTAGTTAAAGAAGGCAACAGAAGGAACCAAATCAATCCAAAATGTAAAAAATTATAATATTACAATTTTCAGGAAGAAAATTGATTGTCGTCTTCCTTCTTTCTTGTAACTATGAAATTATAATAATTATCTTATTTTATGAGATATGGCAGTAGAATGAAGTACATATTATATTGAATATCAAGGTATAGACGAATATAGAACCGACTATACAGCTGAAGTATTAGACCGGTCAAATAAGTCAAAAATACTTACGTTTCTGCATCAATAGGATTAGAGTTCTTGGGAGGGAAGTTTTGTCCCACTGAGAGCGCAACCACTAGAAGAACAATTACGGAGCAGGCTTTATACCCACACCCCATTATTCTATATAAACCTTCAGCTTAGTGGGTCAACTTAACATGACAGTATGAATGAGTGTGGAGTACTGGCCACTAGTCTCTCCACCTATGTGCTCGGATAGGAAAGCTCTCTATCTCTTGTTCCCTTTATCCGGATATAAGTTGTTCGGGAAACTATAAACTCTGATAATTGAATAAGAAACGTTGATATAATCTGTATATCTACACTTTATTTACTTGTCGACGTATTGTCTGTTTTGTGTCGAGGTTGGTATATACTGGTGTGTAGAGGCCAGATATACAGTATACATCCACCTCGAGGATACAGAGGATATATCGACCTACAAGCTTTCTCGGCCTCTCAGGGTCAGGAGAACCCAGGAAACCAGAACCAGTCCGCTGCACTGCAAAACAACATTAATTCTCTTATTTAAAATAAACTCCAACCCCGCCCTCTTGCCCCCCCCCCTCTACCATCCAACCCTCCGGGTAAGACAGCAGTAAATGCTGAATACATTTAACCCGGAGAAAACCATCCCTGCTTATATGTGTAGTGGGCGAGGGTACCCGGAGCTAAGATCGTGTCACGAGATAATAAATCCAATGTTCCGATATATTGCAGATTCAACCATCTCTACCCAATATATTTTATCAGAAATGAATATGACTTGTATCTCTTCATTTTCTCTTCATCCTAAGATATAGGAGGAGAAAGTGGGATGGGGGGAGGGAGGGGGGGGGGATATCTAGGGGAAAAAGAGAATTAATTTCTAAACCTACTCACCAAGCACTACAACAACTACATCCTAACGAGACAATAATACCTTGCTTGATATTTTCTTAACCTTTCTTCGAATCCTTAAATCTCAATTTAGTTTTTAGGAATGATAAATTTCATGATGTCAAAAGGTATCAAATATATATATTTATATATACGTATCCTGAAGATTGCCGAACATGAAACATAACGTTGAATGATACAATACAATTTATTATTTGTGTTGAATACTTCTACTCATTCATTTCTCATTATAGGTGGCAAAGATATAGGGATTAGAAATCTAGTATTTGTTACGAATGGCTAGTCTTTGTGGTAAATGTTAATCTCTTTCAATGCAGTTATTATAAAACTAAATTTCTATTTTTTTCAAAATAAAATAGATATCTGCATTGGGACACTGCAGACACAACTGTGGAATAGGAAGACGACATTTAACCAATTTTATGTGGATTCGATGTTTAGTTATATTGTGAGGCAGTTCTGTAAATATCTCAAAATTTGTTTATAAAAAATATTTTTTATTGTTAGCTATATATATTTGATTTTTATATTCTTTTACTTAACGTAAATCTAGACAAATGTTAAGGTTCCAAAAGGGAAACTCGGGAGTTTCGTTAAACTATTCTATTTAAAATTTCTGCTGAACACTTTACAATATTTGTTGGGACTTTTTATAATCATAACTTCAAATTAATTGTCGTCTTCTTAAACTATAGTTTAATGGGTTCCACTGTATCCAAAGAGTGCCGTAAACGATTTAGAGTGGTAACTCTTAAGCTTTGCAAGGTTTGCAACAGGTTTTATTTGAATTTGTTAGACTTTGGACTACAAAGTTTTGCACTTTCAGATTGCAAAGATAAAAAAATTCGAGCAAGAGGCAAGTGTTAAATTTTTCAAAAGTAAACTTTACAGCTGATTGGTTAAGAGAACAGAAGAGACCTAGGGATTCAACCATGGAGAAATACAAGAATCATAAGAAGTCGTTGCATAATGCATAAAACGGCCAAATTTCTTCAACAAAATCTTGTAATTTAAACCATTTACTCCAATTTTTTACCTAAAAATTTCCCCTTTTTTATCTCCATAGAAGGGGGGGGGCTAGCCTTATCTAGATCATCACAATAAGAACATGTTTCAATAAATATGTGAATAGTTTACTCTGAAGACGTGAATATTTATTTAATATTCGGCTGATGAACCGCATACAAGATTTGTTTACATATGTCTAAATCTGTATCCGTTGTAATGCTCTAGGAGATATTCAAACTAATTTTACCGCAAAATAAACATCAAAACAAAACTAAGCTACCACTCAGAGATAAAAGAGTTACAGAGATCGATTATCAGGGATATTTAAAGATCCTTTGGATATGAAACACAAAATCTTCAAAAAAAGACTAAATCCATAAATGTTATGTTTCATGTTTAAAATTGGAGTATTTCTTTAAAAGTTGTAAAACTTAACCCCTGATTGGGTATTATGTTCAACAAGTGGCCATGAGATGGCACTCTAAAAACCTATCGTAAAAACGTAGCATGTCGTGCCGGGTCAACTTAGGCCTACGTAGCCCACCCTGTGAAATTGAGATAAGCAGTCTGCGTAGTCTGTGCTACATCTTGTAGATCTGATAAGGATATGTACCTTCGTTGCAAAAGGAATTGAGTTTTAGTCAGAAACTCAAATTTTCTAATCCCTTTATTTTTACAAACTTTGACTATTATATCTAACAGAATTCATGGTTTCAAATATTATTGGTCCACAACATCAGGTTGAACTATCGTAGGTATTAAAAAATAGGGTTGTGGCAAAAAACTTGGTTCTTTTACATATTCATGCTAGGATCCAAGAACACACCGTTTAAAATATGAAATGGAACTCTTGCATTGTGGATATCAAGCTCAATGTTTGATCTTGATCTTTGTTAATCTGCAGATCTTTGTTCGTTCTTTATTGGATTCGACCTGAAATGAAGAGATTAGGCATGAACTCCTCAAATTAATAGTTCCCACGGTAGATTTTGAGATCAATCGATCGCGATTATGAGTATCAAACACGGAAGTTTATAGCTCTGTTCACCAAAACACAACTGCAGTTTCTTCGCTCACATGCCGGAATTAGTGATTAGCGACAGTAGTTTAACTTACCATGGATAGTTGAACTATGGGAAATAAACCCTCAGTCACATATACTTGCCTTTCCCCGCCTTCAAGACAAGGGAACCATGTTAACATGATCGCGCTGGACTAGCTACAGCTGGTTACTAACAAACGATGAGACTTCAGAGACGTTTGTACGAAATTATCTTATGTGAACTGCAACTGTAAAATTGTTTGTTCTTCCTCTCAAAATCATTAATTCTGTCATTAAAAGACTATATTCAAGACAAAAGTGTCTAAATAACCTTGAGATCATCATATTGTAAGAGTTTAGGTCGTCTTTACAGTTTCATCCTTTCTCTCTGTTCAATGATCAACGTATAAGTAGCATTTGCATTGTATAAGACGTTTTTTACCTGTATCTATTAAATCTACGACAGCTTTTAAACATTTCTGTAAAAATCTTGCAGAGACCACATTTTAAGATGACAATTCAAATAATTCTATTCTAATTCATGCATCTTTCTAGAGGATTTTTCTGATTCTCATGTTTTGTATGTGCTACGCAATACGTATATATATTCTAATAAATACTACGTAAAAATAGATCTATGAAAGAAATTATAACTTATAAGTAAGTATAAATGTGGAAATTAAATATCGTCTTTGTTTGCCCTTCATTTAGACTTTTCCCACATTTTACATAAAATGTTGCATTCGTCAATATTACAGTATTTCCAATAAAAAGTGGGACGGGAAAGGGTAAATCCCATTTCGGAAAAATTTGGAAGTTTTGGCCTTCCTTAAAAAATAATCTTCTACTTTGCTTCTTATCCTCTAAACTAGAGTCCCTTTAATCCTAATCTACTTTGCTTCTTATCCTATAAACTAGAGTCCCTTTAATCCTAATCTTCTTTGCTTCTTATCCTACTCCTAGAGTCCATTTAATCCAATAAACTAGAGTTAAGCTGTTTTTATGTTATTTAGAAAAAACCACAGAGAGGGGGGATTAAAGCCACCCCCCCCCCACCATGATAGGGTTTACATAAATGTTCAAGGATTCCTGTAGTCCCTGTACTTACAGCGATATAGTTAAAAATCTTATCATGGCGCTTTTCTAAAGATAAAGTAACTTTATGAAACAGATTTGATAAATAAACAATTTAGTTTCCAGAGTTTGAAATAGAGAGAAGTGGTGTTGACATATACATACACATTATACTCAAACTATAATTTAATGTTTTTACATTATCTAAAACAGAATTAATGTTTTAATTTATATAATAAAGCTTTTCGCTCATATATATATATATATATATATATATATATGTTAGCAATAGCTGGCCAAACGGCTGGACCGAATTGGCTAAAATTTTTGGAGGAGTAAAATAGGCTAAACAAATTAGATTTGTTTTTCAATAATCGATTTTTTTTCTTCAAAAGTCATTTTTTTTCTTTCAAAATTCGAATTTTTAATAATTCCCCGGTCACCGGAACTTCAGCCAATCGACAACAAAATAAATACTTAAAGCATTTTAAACATGTTTTACAACGCAATTCATTCATCTAGTATATTTCTTATGAGAACTTGCAAAAAGTACATATTGAGGCGGATAAACCTGTAAAACAAGAAGACGACATTTACGCAATCTAACAATGTTGTCGATATTGTTGTTTAAAAGTAGATTTACCCATAGCTTCAAAATCAACTTGTAAAGTGAAATAGGACTGTGTACACTTCACAATTGCTGGGTTTCGTGTTTATTGAGTCCAAAGTTTTAATGCAAGGAAAGTTAATTGCAGTTGCGTACACTCTGCGTTCATATTGAAACCAGTTCTCTTTGGGCGGAATTTGTAAACAAGAATAGATGCATCAGTGTTCGTTTAGTTTCCGAGGGGGTTAAAAGCATTAAATTTTGATAATTTTGATAATTTTGATATTTCACATAATATTTTCCTATGGCCAGAATATTTCATTGATTTTATTATGTGAAAGATGGATCCCATGTCAGGCTTCGACATCCGTCTTGTGTTTACATTACCGCCCAGAGACAGTACACTGCAGTACAAAAGATGCGTACACCTCTGAAATAACTTTCCTTGCATTAAAACCTTGATTGAGTCTAAGAGGGTCTTTTTCAGCTTATCCACAGTTATATGGTGCCTCTAAAGTAAACTAACTAGAGCGCATCCTGGCTGGTTAAACTGAGTTTTCATCTCTATTTCAAATCCATTAAAAATAGCAGGTAAGGTTCGATATGCATAATGCAACATTAACATTTAGATATGTATTCATTTTTAAGGTAATAATTACGAAAAGTGAACAATTAAAGATTGAAGATTGGTTCTGAAGCATATTTTAATTGACTATTTAAACAGAAAAGACGTGACCTTGACTTTTTTGGCCTTTTTTTTGGTAACAGTCATTTTTGTACGATTCTTTAGTTTGAATTTTGCAGTCGTATCTTTAAGTTAGAGTATTCATATAGGCCTGGAGCCTAGCAGTGCTTCAAAAATGCCTAGGCTCAGGCATAATATTTTTTGGCTTGAATCCCAGCTTTCAAGCTAGACAGGCATTTTCTGTTTGACCGTCACCTCGTACGCTAGTACGAAGGTAAATATTTGTAACACAGTTTATTTTATGCGTAAATATTTGTAACACAGTTTATTTTATGCGTAAATATTTGTAACACAGTTTATTTTATGCGTAAATATTTGTAACACAGTCTATTTTATGCGTATTAACAAGTTTAAAAAGTATTGTGTATTAGCAAAAAAACAATTCCTGTAATGTGAGAATTTATTTCAACAAAATTAGATTAAAGTTTTCTGAAAAGTTGTAGAAGAATCTGTTATCTTATATTGTTATTATTATTGCAGTCAAAATATAACTTCCTCAGAACGTTTATTATTTATTTGTTGTTGTTAAAATTTACATTTTCATAGATTGGTTATTTAGATTTTAAAGGGACTGTAAGAGTAATTTCAAGCGACCCTCCATGAAAAATGGCAATACCTGATTTACAACGGTACCATTTAAAGCTTTGTCTGATCAAGTATGAATTAGATATCAATGTTTTGTTTCTTTAAACTGTTTATTTTCATTTGGAGTTTCTCTGAGAAAATGACTTGCGCACTCCTTGTTTTGAAGAAGCAACTGAGAAATTCACAGAAATGAACACTTCTCTTCTACATTTTTGATCAGATTAAGGTTTCAACGGTACCGTTGTAAATCGGACATTACCATCTTTGTATGGAGGGGATCACTTGAAATTACAGTCCACTTAGACACATTTTTTCCTAAGTTCTAATGAAAATCTTATTTATTTTACTAATATTATTAATATGAGTGTTTTTTAAATAAGTTTTCATACCGTAAAAAAACTTTTTCGAAAATAAACTTTGTATTTCAACTTTTAATAGCTAATTAGCCTTTTTTATAACCGGTTATGGTAGTTTGCTTCAAATTATTGAAATATTCTTTTTGAAAGGATTTCAATTGGCATGTCAGATTGACATTGGAACCCTTGGAGCAAAAGTTGTGGAACTAACCCTGTTTTTCATAAAAAAAGTTTAAGAAAATTTCGCAACATTTTACCTGACATAAAACGACGATATCTTCCTTCTTGCTAACCGATAAAGGTCTAAAAAAGGGGAATGCTTTAAATTAAGATTTTCCGAAAATTACGCAGACAGTCCCTTTAAACAATCAGAAATAAAACATTTTTGAGATGAAATCATGAAACCTATTCGTTGGAGGCTTTACATAATTTTTGTAATAACTAATCAAACGTCTTTGGGGTTTAACGAGCAGGGTTCGTGTTTTAAATATACGCTCGTGTAAATAATCCTAGCTTAAAATGAATACAGTCTCAACTTCTGTGTTTTATTTAAAGGATTATTTACAACAACATAAGACTCCTTTTGAAAAAAATACGTTTCTTGTTACCAGGGAAAGTTGGCGGTATATGATTTCATAAAAATATTCAAAACTAGAAAAACTTTAGATTTTCAATAACAAGTTAATTTCCTCAATTTCTGAATATGACAGAAATAAAACGAAACTCAAACTTTTGCACAACTTTTAATGATTTTAATGGAAGAATTCTGAATACTATGATATTGAAAAACTAAAGGTTTCAGCCTTCATATTGGTATTTTAACAAGAATGATACAAATGCAACTTGTAAAGAAGTCTTTAAGCGACATTTTCTAACTATTGACAGATAATTCGTCCTGTTGAGTAAGCATTTATAAATAACTCGTCTTATAGAGTAAATATTACCAGATAATTCGCCCTGTACAGAAAACATTCATAAGTAAATTTTTATAGGTGGTAAGTCCTACAGAAAGAACGTCCTGTTGAATAAATGTTGGCAGATAATTCGTCTTGTAGAGTAAATACTGACAGAGTGTCTTTCCTATTGAGTAAATATTGACAGACAATTCGTCCTATCTAGTAGATGTTGACAGATAATTCGTCTTGTAGAGTAAATTGGCATATAATTCGTCCTATTTAGAAAATGTTGACGGATGATTCGTCATGTAGAGTAAATAAAGACAAAGAGTTTGTACTATTGAGTAAATGTTGATAGATAATTCGTCCTATTTAGTAAATGTTGACAGATAATTCGTCCTATTTAGTAGATGTTGACAGATAATTCGTCTTGTAGAGTAAATTGGCAGATAATTCGTCCTATTTAGTAAATGTTGACAGATGATTCGTCTTGTAGAGTAAATATTGACAAAGAGTTTGTACTATTGAGTAAATATTGACAGAGAGTTCGTCCTGTTGAGTAAATGTTGACAGACAATTCGTCCTTTTGAGTAAATATTGACAGAGACATAGAGTTTGTCTTGTAGAGTACATTATTATTATTACTATTAACTTAAGCTTAACTTTTCAGATTTTCATGAACCCGATCGGTTCAGCCGTTTAACGTTTATTAATGTAAACTATAACCAATTTCATGTAAAACAAAATACCGTGATTTACGAAAATATGTTAACAGTTTTGTAGTATGCCCAACTTTTAATTTACAATACTTACAGCATTGACACTTTAGGAGCTACTGACGATCTTTATGGAGCAACTACTGAAGGAAAACAATATCACAAACAATTAATAACCCTACAAAGCTTTGATATTGAATTGCATTTTATAGCTGTAAAAGTTCAAAAATACATATTTGTTTTTTAATGTCCTGTAAATTTTACAATGAGTGAAGAAAAATTTTTTGCAACTAAAGGTATACAAACCTGATAATTATATTTTAGTAAGAGGTAATTTTGGTTGAGGTATCATCTCTACTTGCAATGATATTAGGGTTGAAAGATTGCTATAACCAAATTCAGCAATTTATTAACTATAACCTAATATCACACTTATTTATTTTTAACAAAAGGACTCCTTGAAATACGGTTGCAAAACCATATTTGATCCTCTTTATATAAAACATGAAAATGGTAAATATAAAATAAATTGCACAATGTTGAATCTCTGGAGAGTACTTTACAAAAGTTTGGAAACTGACCTAAATAAAGGTTAAACAGAGGCTTTAAAAGTTTACAAGTTATAAAACTTTTATCTTAAGGAGTTTTTAGATTGATACTTTAATAATTGATTATTTGTTTATCAAATCATATATCAAATATTTATATCATAAAGATGTTATTATTATTAACAATATAAATATCACAAAATACGACAAATCCTTAAGAGGGAAAAAAATCTGGTAGTAAAGGTTTTCATCAAATTCCTTGTAAATGATAAATGATGAGGAAAAACAAATAATATTTTTAAAATCTATATAGATAGTTTTCTTGTCTGTCTGTTTGTTTGTATCCAATAAACGTCAAAACGGCAAACCCGTTCTGGCTCAAGTTTTGTGTGGTATAGATGCTCAGAAATACACAAAAGTTGTGATTTTCGTAAAATTTTGTAAATCCAGAAAAAAAAAATTGTTACGTTATCGTAAAGAAAATGCTGAAAGATTGAGCAACAATTAAAATTTAAAATACAAGATGGGCGCAAAGCGCCCTGATAGCCTAGCATTTTATTTTAACAAATTATTAACTGAAAATTTCATACCAATGTAAGGTTTAGTAAGTTTACTAAAATACACTTTAATCCTTTTTTTAAGAAACCAAATTAGGAATATTTACAGTTTATATAAATTATATATATGTTCTTTTATTTGAAATTATCCTGAATTTTATATTTTGTTGAATTTAGCTGAAATCTTTAAAGATTGTTTAAACATCTTCCATATGACCAGAAGACACAATAAAAACTGTTTTCGGCCATATATTCTAAATGCCTTCAAAGATGGTTTAAACATATAACATATGACCAGAGCTGGGAACTTTAGAATGGTGGATATCGGAATTAATGCTTAATCCACTCTTTTTCTTTTTCTTTTTCTTTTTCTTAATTAAATATTGCTTGTTCTCCTCATGACTTTAATCTCCAGATTAATTAACAGATCGGGATTAAGGATATCACATTCTAAAGTTTTCAGCTCAGAAAACACAATGAAAACTGTTTTCGGCCATATATTCTTAATACCTTTAAAGATGGTTTAAACATCAAACATATGACCAGAAGACACAATAAAAACTGTTTTCGGCCATATATTCTAAATGCCTTCAAATATGGTTTAAACATATAACATATGACCAAGAGGACACAATAAAAACTGTTTTTAGTAATATATTCTAAATACCTTCAAAGATGGTTTAAACATATAACATATGACCAGAGCTGAAAACTTTAGAATGGTGGATATCAGGATTAAGGCTTAATCCACTCTTTTTCTTAATCTCCAGATTAAATATTTCTTGTTTTTCACATGACTTTAATCTTCAGATTAATCATCCGACAGGATATCTGGATATTTCATTCTAAAGTTTTCAGCTCAGAAGACACAATAAGAACTGTTTTCGGTCATATATTCTAAATACCTTCAAAGATGGTTTAAACATATAACATATGACCAGAAGACACAATAAAAACTTTTTTCGGTCATATATTCTAAATACCTTCAAAGATGTTTTAAACATATAACATATGACCAGAAGACACATTGAAAACTGTTTTCGGTCATATATTCTAAATACCTTCAAAGATGGTTTAAACATATAACATATGACCAGAAGACACAATGAAAACTGTTTTCGGCCATATATTCTTAATACCTTTAAAGATGGTTTAAACAACAAACATATGACCAGAGCTGAAAACTTAAGAATGAAATATCCTTAATCCCGATCGGTTAATTAATCTGGAGATTAATAACAAGAGGATAACAAGAATTATTTAATCTGGAGATTTAAAAAAAGAGGAGATCAAGCATTAATCTCGTTATCCACCATTCTAAAGTTTTCAGCTCAGAAGAGACACAATAATAATTGCTTTCATCCAACACAAGGAAACGCAAAATTTTAGTAAGCTGTTTGGGTTGTATAATTTTTGCTGTTGATATCTACTTTAGGCATTGTAGATCAGCGCTTGTTTTACCAGAGTTGGGACCTTTTGAATTCGCTTGATCTCGATATCGACACTGGTCACTTTTAAATGAAACGGAGAATGTGCTTATAACTTGATTATGAATATCTCTGTTATCTCATTGTTTGAACGCCAAATGCTCTCGTTTATGATTGGCTGTTTGTTTTGACACTTCAAGGGAAATCAAATAAAAATTTAATTAATCTGTATATTAACGAAATATCGAGATCAAATCATAGATCTTGACATCCACAATTCTAGAGTTCCCAGCTCAGATTTTTCTTTTCTAAATTTTTCTATTTTCAGATCTACAGGCTGGGTTGGAAACAAGGAGAAAATGTATTCCAGGATTGTGAACCCTGGATATCTATCCTCAGCCAAGACCAGAGAAGTCTAAGATGTGAGGTTTGTTAATCCCTTTTCTCACAGGATTAATTTCAAATCTTCTATCTTGAGAATATATTGCAGGATTTATATATTCATACTTTATATTATCTTTTTATCTATTTAGATAAATTTCGATATCTCAGTTTTCATTTTTTATGCATTTCAAGAATACTTTTCAGTGAAAAAGTGAAAAAAATAAAAAATAAAATTAGGCTAATTTATGTGAGCTCTTTAAATAGAATTAGAGAGAAATTTGCAAGGATTTATAAAGTGCTTTTTCTTTTCTCTTTTTCTTAAACAAAATTATTTATATATTGTGCATGGAAATATAGTTCCATCCGTTGGAACTATATAGTTTTTTCTATTAGAACTACATACAGTTTTATCTGTTGAAATTACAGTTGTATCTGTTGGAAGTCCCAGTTCGTTCTGACTATTGAACGTTTGGAGTCTCAGTTCGTTCATTCTATTAGACGTTTGGAGTCCCAGTTCTGACTATTGAACGTTTGGAGTCCCAGTTCTGACAACTGAACGTTTGGAGTCACAGTTCTATTGGACCAATAGTTCCAACAGATAGATAGTTCCAACAGATAGAACTATAGTACCAACAGATAGAACTACAGTTACAACAGATAGAGCTATAGTTCCAACAGATAGAGCTATAGTTCCAACAGATAGAACTATAGTTGCAACAGATAGAGCTATAGGTCCAACAGATAGAATTATAGTTCCAACAGATAGAGCTATAGTTCAAAACAGATAGAGCTTTAGTTCCAACACAGGGAATTATAAAGGGTGTTGAAAAAACCCAAACACTTCACACTTTTTTTTCTCTTACAGGCTTAATTATCATCCGATCATAATAAAATTATCTGATTTGGTCAACCCTGCTCTGAATAAATACTTTTTATCTCTTGGGAAAGGATTTGATCAGCCTACCCAGCTGGGATGTCCTATTCTACCCACACTGGTTTAGATGATAGAGGTTTTCACATATCCTCCCTTGATGTAAACCTTATATTTTGCCATAGTCCAAATATTCTCAATTATAGGCTGGACATTATTTAAATTCTTGGTTATTGTCAGGTGTAAAGCAAACTTTAATTTAATCTATTGCTGACAGCATAAGAGGCTGGTTGTGTGGTGGCTGTTTACAAGAATCCCCCAGCCAGCAAGCGGCAAGACCTCATGGACCATGAAGAGTTGATTTACACAAGGAAAGGCTTTATGATTATAAGGTATATTCCTTTTTGCAATAAAATATGGTTCCATCAGCTTATAGTACTTGGTCCCCGGCAGCTGTTCTCCTTGTTAAAGGAGAAGTGAAGGAACTGGTTCTGCATTTACCTGTAAATGGTGGGTTAGAGTGTCATACAAACTGGTGTTTGGTCATATTAGCTCCACCCTAAACTTGTATACTGAATACCTTAAAACAGATTCTTGTCATTATCAAGCAGGTTTTTGACCTACTCTAGCTTTATAAATGTTTTTTTTTGCAGGTAGGCAGGCTCATCAGTTCCATCCCATTAAGATAAAGAGCATTTATTCATATTTCAAACAGATGGAATTTTACCTCCAACAGATAGAATTGTAGTTCCAACAGAAAGAACTATAGTTTTATCTGTTGGAACTATAGTTCTATCTGTTGGAACCATTTTTCTATCTGTTGAAAATAAAGTGTTATCTGTTGAAACTATAGTTCTATCTGTTGGAACTATCTATCTGTTGGAGTTATTTTTCTATCTGTTGAAAATATAGTTCTATCTGTTGAAACTAAAGTTCTATCTGTTGAAACTATAGTTTTATCTGTTGGAATTTTAGATCTTTCTGTTGAAACTATAGTTATATCAGTTGAAACTATATAGTTATATCTGTTGAAACTATAGTTCTATCAGTTTGAACTGTAGTTCTATCTGTTGGAACTATAGTTATATCTGCTATAACTTTAGTTCTATCTGTTGGAACCATAGATCTATTTCTTGAAACTATAGTTCTATCTGTTAAAAATATTGTTATATCTACTGGAACTATAGTTATATCTGTTGTAAATATTGTTATATCTGTTGGAACTATAGTTCTATCTTTTGCAAATATTGTTATATCTGCTGGAACTATAGTTCTATATGTTGTAAATATTATTATATCTGTTGGAACTATAGTTCTATCTGTTGGAACTATAGTTCTATCTGTTGTAAATATTGTTATATCTGTTGGAACTATAGTTCTATCTGTTGGAACTATAGTTCTATCTGTAGTAAATAATATAATATCTGCTGGAACTATAGTTCTATCTGTTGTAAATATTGTTATATCTGCTGGAACTATAGTTCTATATGTTATAAATATTGTTATATCTGTTGGAACTATAGTTCTATCTATTGGAACTATAATTCTATCTGTTGTAAATTTTGTTATATCTGCTGAAACTATAGTTCTATCTGTTATAAATATTGTTATATCTGTTGGAACTATAGTTCTATCTGTTGTAAATATTGTTATATCTGCTGGAACTATAGTTCTATCTGTTGTAAATATTGTTATATCTGTTGTAAATATTGTTATTTTTGCTGGAACTATAGTTCTATCCGTTGTAAATATTGTTATATCTGTTGGAACTATAGTTCTATCTGTTGTAAATATTGTTATATCTGTTGTAAATATTGTTATTTTTGCTGGAACTATAGTTGTAAATATTGTTATATCTGTTGGAACTATAGTTCTATCTGTTGGAATTATAGTTCTATCTGTTGTAAATATTGTTATATCTGCTGGAACTATAGTTCTATTTGTTGGAACTATAGTTCTATCTGTTGTAAATATTGTTATATCTGCTGGAACTATAGTTCTATCTGTTGTAAATATTGTTATATCTGCTGGAACTACAGTTCTATCTGCTGGAACTATAGATCTATCTGTCCTAGGGTTGTTATATGACTGGTCATCTCCCTGATCCTGATATCCAGTGTGGTGGATGTGGTGTCCAGGTATACTGTAGTTGGGCCTGCAGAGCTAATGACCGCCAGCATGACCTGGAATGCCCGTTCATTGCAAACAAAGGAGTTCTTCCACTCAGGTTTAAATTTCTCTTATATTAAAGGGACTGTATGTGTAATTTTAAGTGACACTTGATGCGAAGAGGGCAATGCCCGATTTACAACGGTACTCTTGAAACCGTTGCCTGATCAAGTATGAATTTTATATCAATATAAATAATTGTGGTTCATCAACAAAAACTTCTTGCGCATTTCTTAAATGCAGTAAAACAAATAGGAATTATCAGAAAGAAACACTTTTAAACCTGGAAAACCCACAATATTTTCCACATCATTGATCAGATAGGTTTCAAGGCTACCGTGATGAATCGAGCATTGACATCTTTTTATAAAGTGTCACTTATAAATACGCTTAAACAATCCCATTAAGATTAAAGATTGATAAAATATAATTTGTAAAGAGACGAGGTGCGTGTCATGATCAGAGCAATACTAAAGCTTCAGAAAGAACAGTGCTCGAACGTAAGTGTCTTATTGATAAATACATCAATATATTTTAACTTAACCATCGGGTAGTGTCTATTTTACCATTCGGCAGTTTCCACTTTGCCATCGGGTAGTTTCCACTTTATTATCGGGTAATTTATACTTTTATTGGGTAATTTCACTTTATTAAAGGATGGTTTCCTTTTATCATCGGGTAGTTTACACTTTATATCGGGTAGTTTACACGTTATCATCAGGTAGTTTACACGTTATCATCAGGTAGTTTACACGTTATATTGGGTAGTTTCCGCTTTATCATCGGGTAGTTAACACTTTATATCGGGTAGTTTCAGCTTTAACATCGGGTAGTTTTCACTTTATATCGGGTAGTTTCTGCTTTATCATCGGGTAGTTTTCACTTTATAACAGGTTTAAAGTTCAGTTTGTCATACAGTATTTATACCTACAAAGAATGGGATGATATTTGACCCAAACTCTTTCAATATAACGACCTGAATATTCAATCTTGGATGTATGTCTTTAATTTAATCTTTAAATTAAAAATTAAATGGTTGTGCAAAGAAAGAAAACAAGTTTACAGCAGTAAGGAACCTTTGATCTAAAAACAAAGACAATATAAATTACGTAGAGTCGTCTCCATCAAGTCTCATCCTTTACAAAAAAAAGATAATTTAAAACTAAAAATATGCTTCAAACTATACCAGGATCCGCTGTAGGTATCCCTGCTAAAAGGAGGACCTGGAGATGAGGTGCCGACCCAACCTAACAGGAGAAAATTCAGTGACCTACTTAGCCACAAGGAGAACTTCCTGGAAAATGAGGAGAGGAGGCAGGACATCATCCTGGTCTACAACGAGGTTGAAGACTTCCTTGGATCCCTTGTTCCTAGCTTCGACGAGTTCGTTGAGATTCTCGGCAGGCTTTATATTAACGGTTTCGAGATTTGTACAGACAAGATGGAAACCTATGGTTGGGGGGTGTATCTAGGTCCTAGGTGAGAATATATATGGAAACCTATTGTAATGAGGTGTCTTTCGTTCCTAAGTGAGAATATGAAAGCCTATGGTTGGGGGGTTTATCTGTAGGTCCTAGGTGAGAATATGGAAACCTATCAGCAAGCNTATTTTACTGTTCCTTTAGCTAGGTTGTTCATGATGTTTGAATTGGTATTATTTTAGTATAATGGATCACTCATGTCAGCCCTCTGCCTGCGTCAGTTTCTCTGGCTATAGATTGACCGTAACCTGCCTACGTCATGTGACCAGCCTGACCGACCTATTCATCAGCTACTGTGATACCAGCCTACCAACAAAACTACGCAGAGAAAAATTAAAAAGAAACTACTTTTTCAGGCAAGAGAGGAAAAATGAAAAATACCAGGGCTCTTTATTTTCAATACCCCCCCCCCCAGGGAATTTTTTAAATGCTCTAGGGGGAAAATTAGAATTGGACATCAACAGTCCACAGCCAAGTTTTAAAGTCTTTTTGTTACTTTTTATAACCCAAAAATCCTTTCTATTTTCCCAATCCAGCAACTAAAATATTTTTCAAGAAATATTAACCCCTGAAAAATACTGAATTACAACTTGAAATTGGTTTTTAATTGACATTTCTGTAAGCCTAGTGTTTAGCAGGAGATTATACAGTACACAGTAGACAAATATCCTCTCACAACAGGGAATTCTTTCCATTTAAAATTGTTATATAAGTACACTACACTTTCGTGAGAAGCATCGTTAATTTTCATCATAAGATCTCGATATCTAAATTAAAACTTTTAAACTTGAGAATAACTGCTTCATCAGTAAATTAAAGATATCCTAACAGGACATCGAAGAGGAATCAAGTAATCCGTAATTCTGCATAAGCTAGATGGAGTTCAGTGCATACGCTGGATGGATTTCAATGCATAAGCTAGATGGAGTTCAATGCATAAGCTAGATGGAGTTCAATGCAAAGCTAGATGGAGTTCAACGCGTAAGCTAGATGGAGTTCAATGCTAAGCTAGATGGAGTTCAATCTATAAGCTAGATGGAGTTCAATGTATAAGCTAGATGGAGTTCAATGCATGACAAGACAATCTCTGATTTCTCGCCGAAATTACTAATTTTATAATGCTTTATATTTGCTAAGGAATTGAGTCTTTGCCACAAACTCGGATTTTTAAAACACAATTTCTTTAAAACAAAATGTCGTAGACCGTAGATATTTCAAACTATGAACTCTGGTGGATCAAACAATGTAAGTTTGAAATATGAAAGGTATGCATGATCTGGTTGTTGAGATATAGGTATTATAAAATTGGGATTTGTGGCAAAAACTCAATTCCTTGGTGGTATAAACCTTTAATATTGATATTTTTTCAGTTGTATTTGCTGTAAGTGTTCGCATACGTCTAGAGGGGTTTCTATTCAGTACAAAAACAGAAGCAGAGGCAAAAAATGATTTTTAGAAAATTTATTGAAATAAATACAAATATTTTTAAGAACTTGAGTTTGTGTATGATGTAGTTTAATTAATTAGTGGCAAATTTAAAACAATGTTAAAATATGATTTTATGTGATTTTCAATTCTGCCATATGTTTGATGCTTACCACATCAACATGTACGGTATATTCATTCGTACTGTCCAGTCTGGACTTCCCAGTGTAAAGTCAACCAAGCACGTTTATGAAACAAATAGTGACGAAGAAATATTTCAGTAACTTAAAATTTTATTCAGAATTAAAGAAGCTGGGCTCCATGTAAATGGAGCACAGCTTCTCAAAAGTTTGGTACCCAGCGCGCGCCAACATTTATTTTAGTTAATTTAATCCTTTGCTTTAATCATATGTGATATATACAAAGAGAATAGAATATATATTAGAGGGGAATTTACTAGAAAAAAGTGTAAAACGGCCATTTTGTTGTACTGTTTCCATACTGCAGGTGTACTTCACATATTTATGCTATATAACCTTTTGGGCCCTGGAATATCATTTTTATAGAAAATCTAAAATTAATGTTAAAAGAAAACCAAATTATGAAATAGGCTGGTTTCATAATTGACCAATGAACATTTCACTTAGACTCTAAGCCTTTCACTTTACAAACGATGATATTCCGTTATAACTATAAATCAAATGATGTTTTTTATTCACCTAATTCATTATAAAGTTTATTTAACAGCTTTAAAAAATACGAAATTGAAATGGATAGTCTAGGGAACATACTGTATTAATGTACTCTACTGCATATAATTTGTGAACATTTACATGATTTGTACACTTTCAACTCCCATTCAGGCAGAAAGTTACTGAAAAAATTCATACCGAGAGATTCTCTAAATTCCCCTCTAATATATATTCTATGGATATATATTATAAAGCTAGGGAGCCCTATCTATTTCATTTACGTTTTAAAATATATTTTAGTTAATTTAGGGTTTACCATTGTTATTTCTTATTTAGTTCTAGAAAAGCTAGATTATGACGCTGTAAAGGCTAATAGTAATGTTTGAATGGAAGTTAACAAAATAAAAAGTGTCCCGAAAATATATTTGTTGTTTGATAAATTGAAAGGAAGACGACATCTGAAAGAATTTTATTTGTGACTTTTTCCCTCTTTAATGATACAATTTGAAATTAAATGCGCATTTGTTTGTAAAATTCAATAATTTTTCATAAAACTGTTTTTATGTCAAAACTTGTGTTAAAATTTCAAAATTATAGTTTCAATGCATCTGCACAGAGTACGTTTCTCTCAAAGGTTTAGGGATCATTTTGGAAAAAAATTATCAGATTTTGACAAAGGATTAAATTTCATTTCAAAGAAAAATGCTAAATATGTCACAAGATTAGTTTCATTGAAATAAATCTTTAAATATTCTACTTTTATTATGGCAGAGTTAGAAAAATATTTAGCATTTAAAGGGACTGCGGTCGTAACTTAATTTAAAGGGACTGTGGTCGTAACTTAATTTAATGGGGCTGTGGTCGTAACTTAATTTAAAGGGACTGCGGTCGTAACTTAATTTAAAGGGACTGTGGTCGTAACTTTATTTAAAGGGACTGTGATCGTAACTTTATTTAAAGTGACTGTGGTCGTAACTTTATTTAAAGAGTGGTATTTCTGCTTCACAACCAGGGGTGCAGAAAAGTCATGTATGTGTGTCTGTACCAAAAGAGTGTGTGTAAGTAATAACGAACCGAAGACGTGTACTGTAGGTATATACAGTACGTATGAATCTCGGTATTTGTACAGTCTAGGAGAATTGTTAATTGCTTACTTAAAAATAAGTTTAATAAACATATATTATATCATTTGCATATTTAAGTTAACACTATGAGCCGAATTTTCATGCAAAGAATATAATTTGATGAAAGTTTACAATAAACTACTTGTTATTCAAGCTTAATTATTATTGACGACATTGTTCTGCAATTTCCGTGACTCTAGTCATGTTGTGTGTCTGTTGTGTGTAATAACGAACTCGTCTGCAAAACAGTGCGATTGGCGATAAGAGTTCAATCTGATGTTTCTGTCTCGAGAAATTGATATAAAACCATAGAGAATAGAATATATAGAGAGGAATTTACTGGAAAAAAGTGTAAAACGGCCATTTTGGTGTACTGTTTCCATACTGCAGGTGTACTTCACATATTTATGCTATATAACCTGTTTTTTATTTGACCAATTATCATTTCATATAGACTCTATGCCTTTCACTTTACAAACGAAGATTTTCCGTTATAACTATAAATCAAATGATGTTTTTATTCACCTAATTCATTATAAAGTTTATTTAGCAGTTTAAAAAATTCGAAATTGAAATGAATAGTCTAGGGAACATACTGTATTAATGTACTCTACTGCATATAATTTGTAAACATTTACATTATTTGTACACTTTGAACTCATTTCAGGCTTAAAGGGACTGAAAAAATTCATACCGAGAGATTCTTTTAATGCCTCTCTATATATTCTATTCTCTATGTATAAAACCGTGTCAAATTTATACTAAAATCTATCAAAAATTTTGCATAAAATAGTAGGTTTAAAAATATATTATATTCAGCAAATACGCAACCAATCTGAAAACGACGATATCATAGAGGAGCCTAAGTAACTTAGGTTTGCTCCAATGCTCTAAATTTAATTATTTATTTTTTATTTTCAATAGATATAATTGACAACATAACTATTACGTTCGTATTATGTGACCAGAACTTCCCACAATGGCAGTGCAGTATTATTGTCACGTGTCTCCGTCTGTATCACATGACCATTATACTGCACTGCCCTTGGTGTGAGTTTTGGTCACATGATACGAATGTATAAATAATGTTATCCAAGGATGTAATGCAAGGAAAGTTATTTCAGAAGTGTACACATCTTTTGTACTGCAGTGTACTGTCTCGGGGCGGAAATGTAAACACAAGACTGATGTTAAAGCCTGACATTGGATCCATCTTTCACATAAAAAAATCAATGAAATATTCTTGTCATAGGAAACTATTATGTGAATTATCAAAATTATCAAATTTAATGCTTTTAACCTCCTCGGATAATAAACGAACACTGATGCATCTATTCTTGTTTACAAATTCCGCCCAAAGAGAACTGGTTTCAATATGTACACAGAGTATACACGACCGCAATTAACTTTCCTTGCATCATAATTGATGTTATCAATTATATCCATTTAAAATAAAAATTATTAAACTAAAATAATAATTGGAGCAAACCTAAGTTACTTAGGCTCCTCTAGGATATCGTCGTTTCCAGATTGGTTGCGTATTTGCTGAATATAATCTAATTAGACCTACTACTATTATAAAACTTTATATATATAGATTTTCGTATAAAGGAATTGAGTTTTTGCCACAAACTCAAGTTAACTAAAACCTATATCTAAGTAACTTGATGGTAAAAACCTTCGATATTTCAAACTTATATTATTTTATTTAACAGAATTCATAGTTTGAAATATCAAACGTATAGGGCATTGGGTTCAAAAGATATAGGGAATAGAAAATCAGAGTTTGTGGCAAAGACTCAATTCCTTTGACACTGTTGTATATCAATTTCTTGAGACAGGAACATCAGATAGAACTCTTATGGGTCTTGATCACCTCCAAAAATCTTAGGCTTTAGGCTTTACCCCTTTCATTTTTCCTTTACAGTCCCTTTAAACGTTTAAAAAGTTATACAATATTTTAAATTATATGTTCAAAAATGTCTACAGTACAAATGTAAACGATGGGAAGAAATAAAGTGCTGAACAGAACAACAACAACGAAGGGTTTTCTCTGTCGGAGCCAAATTGTAGCATTTTGAAATATGTCAGACTTTGTAAAGTTTTGGACAATGCTGATCAGAAAGAATCCAATTATGTTTTGCACATACTACAGGGTGTCCCAATAAACTATAGGATGGTATAGGGTGTCCCAATAAACATGGGAATTCAGTGACGAATTCGATATCGTCTTTTTAAACAAGACTTTGATTCAGTATTGTGATACCTACTGAGAAAGCTGTGATCTGTAAGAGTTTCGTCTGCTTTGTTCACATTTTGTTTGTTTACGTTTTGACTGCATACGGTTGTACTTAGTAAAACAAGAAAATTACAGTATACAAACAGAGTAAACTTGTCCGTCTTCACTGTTCATCTTGCGGAGACATTAAAGACACATCCTTACAGTCTTTTACTCTATTCTATAGTCTATTCTCTATGCGTTTAATACGGCCCGGGATTAACGGATTAACGGTTAATTAAGTGGGGCCTTTCTACAAAAATACGACATTTGTCTACAATTTTGTATACAGTATACACAACTTATATAAATTTAATATGATGTAAAATAGAAAGAGGTTTGAGATTTGAGTATTCCCAACTCTATGCTTAGTGTGTCTCGCCTGAGCTGAGTCAGCAACTTTACACAAATTGTAATTCAAGTTAAAAGAGATAAAATCTGAATAAAGATTATAGGGATTCTAGGTTTATGGAACTCAACTTGTCCCTGTATATAGGGATTCTAGGTTTTTGGAACTCAACTTGTCCCTGTATATAGGGATTCAAGGTTTTTGGAACTTAACTTGTCCCTGTGTATAGGGATTAATATGTTTATGGAACTAAACTTATCCCTGTATATTGGGACTTTAGGTTTATGGAACTCAACTTGTCCCTGTATGTAGAGATTCTAGGTTTATCTAACTCTACTTATCCTTGTTTATAGGGATTCTAGGTTTATGGAACTCTACTTATCCTTGTTTATAGGGATTCTAGGTTTATGGAACTCTACTTATCCTTGTTTATAGGGATTCTAGGTTTATGGAACTCTACTTGTCCTTGTTTATAGGGATTCAAGGTTTATAGAACTCTACTAATCCTTGTTTATAGGGATTCTAGGTTTATGGAACTCTACTTGTCCTTGTTTATAGGGATTCTAGGTTTATGGAACTCTACTTATCCTTGTTTATAGGGATTCTAGATTTATGGCACACTCTACTCTCGAAAATAAATCGGGATATTAAATTCGAGATGGGTTTTTCATTGAAACCATTAGAATTTGTAAAACAACTCTAAGCTATCTAAACCATCCTGCCATATTGCTATCTTTTCTTCATGTTTGATATTATTTATGAAACAACTTTAATCTTAAAGATAACATTTTCCAGTGTTTAATGTTCTGTATAGAGTTGACCACAGTCCACATCATTCATCTCCACATAGGTCGTCTTATACTGGGTATAGTGATCAATACCAGCCCAACCATTCTCCCGTCCAATACCTACAGTATAACAAAGAAAATAAAAAGAACTTTTGGATTTGTTTAAAAGATTGTAAATACTTTGAAGGAAAAAGCAAGAAATATTCAAAATATCTTATTAAACTGTATTTTGTGGACATAGAGAAAGGTTATGTAGGTCCATTATTTATGTATCCCAATACCCTCTACTATTTTCCCTTCCCTTTAAAATCCGTTACCTGACATTTTCCAGCCTCCGAATGGAACTTCAGCAGGACTCAAGTTAAAGGTGTTTATCCAGGTAGTTCCAGCCTAATACAGGGATATTCAATGTTTCAGTCTTAATACAGGGATATTCAAAATTCCAGTCCTAATACAGGGATATTCATGATTCCAGTCTTAATGCAGGGATATTCAAGGTTCTAGTCTTAATACAGGGATATTCAAGATTCCAGTCTTAATACAGGGATATTCAAAGATTTTGAGTTGTAAATATTTTTTACGTATTCCTACAAAGACGACATTTACCTCCACCGAATCTTGGAAATAATACCAACTAATTAGAGGACATGTCGTCTTTCTTTTTTCATTTGACACATATGACGTTGTGCGCAGTTGGTCGATTTTTCTGTTGCCATCTATTGTACTTGACAACCTATTTGGGGATATTCAAAATTCCAGTCTTAATACAGGAATATTCAAAATTTTAGTCTTAATACAGGGATATACAAGTTCTAGTCTTAATACAGGGATATTCACGGTTCTAGTCTTAATACAGGGATATTCAAGGTTCTAGTCACAATGCAGGGATATTCAAGGTTCTAGTCTTAATACAGGGATATTCAAGATTCCAGTCTTAATGCAGGGATATTCAAGGTTCTAGTCTTAATACAGGGATATTCAAAGTTCTAGTCATAATACAGGGATATTCAAGGTTCTAGTCTTAATACAGGGATATTCAAGGTGCTAGTCTTAATACAGGGATATTCATGGTTTCAGTCTTAATACAGTCTTTATACACACTTCACTGGATTGTTTCCCTAACATATTGTTACCTAACCATACTTAAAATATTTTATTTTTCAAAAAAATATTTGAATTTATTATTCATTAATCCTTTCTCCTCCCACACTTATATCCACCTACGGTATCAAAGTTACATTCATTTATCTATATTTGAGTAGAAAAAATATTTAAAAATATTTATATTTGTAAATTTCACTGCATAAAATAGCCCTTCAAACCCGGGGGAGGGTGGGATTGTATTTAAATACGGCAACCTTAATTTGAGAGATAACCCTTTGAGCCCGGGTGATATTGTTAATAAATATCCACACCTGGATTTGAGAGATAACCCTATGAGCCCGGGTGATATTGTTTATAAATATCCACACCTGGATCTCAGAGATAACCCTATGAGCCCGGGTGATATTGTTAATAAATATCCACACCTGGATTTGAGAGATAACCTTATGAGCCCGTGTGATATTGTCAAAAAATATCCACACCTGGATTTGAGAGATAACCCTATGAGCCCGGGTGATATTGTTAATAAATATCCACACCTGGATTTGAGAGATAACCCATGAGCTCGGGTGATATTATTAATAAATATCCACACCTGGATTTGAGAGATAACCCTATGAGCCCGGGTGATATTGTTTTTAAATATCCACACTTGGATTTGAGAGATAACCCTATGAGCCTGGGTGATATTGTTAATAAATATCCACACCTGGATTTGAGAGATAACCCTATGAGCCCGGGTGATATTGTTAATAAATATCCACGCCTGGCTTTGAGAGATAACCCTATGAGCCCGTGTAATATTGTTTATAAATATCCACACTCGAATTTCTCTCAACCCTATGAGCATGGGTGATATTGTTAATAAATATCCACACCTGGATTTGAGAGATAACCCTATGAGCCCGGGTAAGATTGTTTGTAAATACTCCTCCTGCTAACCCGAATACTGTATCATTCGCCCTAAAAAAAATTTTTATAAAATTTATTTTTTGCGGGATTATTGATGTATTGGACAAAATTTTTAAATTTTGTTTCGTTCGAATTTTAGACATGAAAAAATAAAATGCAATAAAAATATTCAAAATATATCTTTGGAATATTAAAAAAAAAATGGCGAAACCAAAATTTTTTTGAAAAAATTAAGTTTTTGAAAAATTGCTGGACAAATGTTTATTCCATTGCTTTCCAAAAGTTCATAAAAAAAATCATAGAAAATTGAAATTTGCAAAAATTTTGACAGTTTGGAAAACAAAAGAATAAACATTTTCCAAACAATTTTCAAAAAAATTTTAATTAAAAAATTTTTTTTTTCAATGTTCCAAGAATATTTTTATTTTTCCACATTTTATTTCTTTACGCTGAAATCCGAACAAAACAAAAAAAATTGCAAAATTGTGAAAATGGAAAGGAAAAATGTAAAAGAGGGGAAATTAATACAATGTATCTATAGAATATGCATATTGTAGTGAAATTAATTGAATATTTGCATCTTGTTCACATATTTTATTGTAAATCCGTATTATTATTATATATATATGTTTTATCAGCGCAAAAGGAGATCCAAAGGCATTATTATTCTATGCATGAAGTAAATGAAAGAACACAGGTTTACCCTCTTCTTGCATTGATTAGATCTTGAGATCTTTAGCTAACATAATAAATACATTTCTATGTAGATAGTCGTCATAATAGAATTTTACAGATGTTGGGAAATTTTTGGAAAAAAAAAAATTTTAAAAGTTAAAAAATAAGTCATAATATAAATTACTGATATTCTTTTTAGAAATATTTCAGCAAATCAGGCAATTTTTTGGGGTTTTGATGTTATATGTAATAATTTTTTGACAGTTAAATGGATTGTTGGTAAATTTAAAAAAAAGGAGCCATTATTTTTTATTTTAGAAAATCTGCAAGGAGAAAAAAATGCTGAGAATCTTTTTTCGGCGGTAAAGTCTAGCAATGTTATGAGAGAACTTGATAAAAATGATAAACAGTCCCTTTCTGTTAAACTCTGGACCCACTCTGCTGATGAATGAAAATCCTATTTCCTGAATCCAAACTTCAAGATGGATATCCTGTCTGTACCCGAACCTAGAGCCAGAGGGAGGGAAAGAGGGGGGGGGGGGTGCGGGGACTCATAAATCATTTCTCTTATTCAACTGTCATAATAAAACTTTGTTAAGGAAAAAGTTAAATATACATAGAATATAATTATTTTTGCATCACCGCCGTTCTTTGGAAATTTTAAGTTATAATTTGTTTTCCAGCAAACCTATATTAACAATTTACTTTTTGCGAAAATAACTTTTTCACAAGAAACCAAAGATTAAAAACTGAAGAAAAGCAATTTTTTTCTTCATTATTTTTAGCTTAAGTTAATTCAAATATTTTATTATATTTGACTGCAATATTACAAATATTTTGGTGTTCTTAAAGAAACTGACGTAATTTCAAGTGACCCTCCATGTAAAGATGACAATGCTCGATCGATTCACATCAGCAACCTTAAACGTTTTATCCGATAAAGCATGAACAAGATATAAATGTTTAAAATTTTAAAAACTGATTGTTTTCAATTGTTGTTTTTCTACAAAAGGAAACATGCGCATTTCTAGTGCTGAAAACATATAGAAATGACCAGAATTAAACGCTTTAACCCTAGAAATGATGTGAAGTATCTTTCAAATGTTAAAATAGATCAAGTTTGTGTATCGCGCATTGCCATCATGGAGGATAACTTAAAATAACGCTTTCACATCAACACACGGTTTATTGGGAGGGAGAAAGAATTGATATTTTACACAGGAACTATATCAAAATATATGAAGAAAATGATGCTCGGACCTTTCCACCACCTCCTTCTCAGTATCAAACACTAGAACAGATGCAACCGAACCAAATATCTCCTCCTTTACAGCCTTCATATCATCTCTACAGTTGGTTAGTACTGCTGGAGACAGGAACCATCCGTCCTTGCAGTCCCCCTCCAGGAGAACACGTTCTCCTCCATACTCTAGTTTAGCTCCCTCGGATACTGCAGATCTGATATAGCTTAGAACCTTCAGAGCATGCTCCTCACTGTATCAATATGAGATCTAGTTAATTATAAAGAATATTTTTACAAAACTATAATTTTTCCATCTCTATATCTTGGGATATTTTAAACTATAAATTATGTTAAACCAAAAAGTCTAAGTCTAAGTGGTATATGGCAGAACTGAGTTTGTAATTATTATATAACAGAATTGTTAGAAAGAACTAAAAAGGATTATCTTGCTCGGCTTTTTTCGCGCTTTTTTTATAACGCGCGAATTTACAGAAATTGGCGTTTTAAAAACTAAGGAAAGGATTACTAACAACCACAAAGTCTGGTTTTTAATCTCTAAATCTTTGCCTCCAGTTGGCGAAAATCTCAAACTTTCAAACTTTGACTTTTTGATTCATTCTTTGGAAAAATCAAAGGACACCAAATTTTAAAGTTATGAAAATTAGAAATTTAGTGCTTGAGGAAAGTAATCAGCTTTTTCATTGACGTCAATAGTTCAGGATTATTATCTTTAAAGTTTTGTAAATATTATTAAGTTAATTGCAAACCTCTAGACCCATTAAGATAAAAATGTTTTCTGTGGAAAAAGAAGAAAAATTATTGAATTTTTATTGACCCTTCAAGTTTGATGATAAATGAGTCCCTGAAGAAAAGAAAGAAAAAGAAATACTTTATCCTAATATATCAAACAAAGAATATTTCTTTTGTATATTTCAGATTGCACAGAACAATATTTTATATTGCAAAGTGACACTTAAACAAATCTGAAATTATCATGTAGCATCTAGAAATAAATAACAGAAAAAAATGGAAAAAGTATTAAATACGATTAATATATACTAGCTGAAGGGCCCGGCGTTGCCCGTGGAAAATTTTTTTTTAGAAAAAAATAATTATAAAAATAAAAAAAATGGAAAAAATCGATCTTTTTTAGCTTAAAACACCCCCTGGCCACCCGGCTTATCAACATTGCAATAGTTTGCATGCTCTTTCATTTGGAGGAACTGCGAGACTTAATTTTAATGATCCTCTGCAGTTATAACAGATTCACAACGGTACCTTTAAACCTTCGTTAAATCAAGGTTAAATGATATATTCTTATTTTGATATTTCAAGATAAAGAAAGATGTAAAAACAAAAATGGACATCAAAAGAATTTTATACTTATTCAAATTGTTTTTTATTTATTCCAAAAATGCTTTTATTCTAATTTGATTTTTTTTCTTTTTAATAATGTGTTAATGTGCAAGCTTGAAATTGTGTTAAATAAATGTTATAATATATCTTCTTTTTATTCTAACAATTTAAACCATAATCTTGCAAAGTGGAACATATCAAGGGACTGTTAACTAACTTGAAAATAAGATATTTCAAGGGACTGTTCACTGACTTGAATACAAGATATTTCAAGGGACTGTTCACTAACTTGAAAACAAGATATTTCAAGGGACTGTTCACTAACTTGAAAACAAGATATTTCAAGGGACTGTTCACTAACTTGAATACAAGATATTTCAAGAGACTATTCACTAACTTTAATACAAGATAAAAATATAAATAATCCTTTCTATTTGATCATATTCCTAATAGTGGCTCCTACAGTCGTATCATCTAGTAAAGGATCTCCTATTTTCATATTCTTGGCCTAGAATACGAGTTGGAATATGAATTTTTAAAATATATTTTTCAGTGTTTTTTAAAAGTAATAGATATTAAATATTAGATTTGGTTTACATTAAGATAATTTTGTTTTCATGTAATAAATTGAAATCAATAAAACCAGGTTGGCAAAGGAATGCCGCAAATTACTTCAAAGATCGAAGACGATCTTCAATTCTTAACTGTCAAGAAACATCTGAAATTTGTAAAGTAAACATATAAACATATATAAAAAATATATATAAAAATATTTAGTAGATATATGAAATATACAATAAAAAATATATATTTAAAATATGTAGTAGATATATGAAATATACAATAAAAAATATATGTTTAAAATATGTTCTAGGTATATGAAATATACTATAAAAAATATATGTTTAAAATATGTAGTAGATATATGAAATATACAATAAAAAATATATATTTAAAATATGTTGTAGATATATGAAATATACAATAAACAATATATGTTTAAAATATGTTGTAGATATATGAAATATACAATAAAAAATATGTATTTAAAATATGTTGTAGATATATGAAATATACAATTGTTAACCATTAATTTTAAAACCTCTATAAAATGTCGTCTTATACTGGAATCTCCTGTCGGAGACAGCCAAACCAAATTTTCAGCCCGCAAATTCCATTGTCCTCCTCCGACGGAGCTTAAAATATTTTGTTGTTGTGAAATCATTAAAGTTAAGCAAAATATTTTCATAAGAAGCATAAGTGAATTTCGTTAAATATTCAACTGTAATTTTTCAGAAGTTAAAAAAACGTATTTCAATACTGATCAACAAATAAGTCACCCCTTCTATACTTAAATAATTCGTAAGATTTTTTCTACTATTAACATTNATAAAATATGTAGTAGATATATGAAATATACAATAAAAAGAAATATAAAATATGTAGTAGATATAAGAAATATACAATAAAAAGAAATATAAAATATGTAGTAGATATATGAAATATACAATAAAAAGAAATATAAAGTATGTAAAAGTATTGATGTTTACCTGGAATACAAACTCTTTGATAAATTCTTCGTAAATTCCTCTTTGTACAAACACTCTAGTTCCATTGGAACACACTTCTCCCTTTAATAATGGTAGAGTGTAGAGTGTGGAGTGTAGAGTGTAGAGTGTAGAGTGTAAAGTGTAGAGTGTAGAGTGTAGAGTGTAGAGTGTAGAGTGTAGAGTTTAGAGTTTAGAGTTTAGAGTGTAGAGTGTAGAGTGTAGAGTGTAGAGTGTAGAGTGTAGAGTGTAGAGTGTAGAGTGTAGAGTTTAGAGTTGAGTGTAGAGTGTAGAGTGTAGAGTGTAGAGTGTAGAGTGTAGAGTGTTGAGTGTAGAGTGTAGAGTGTAGAGTGTAGAGAGTGTATTAAGTTAGGATATATATACATATAAAAGCGTTCATTCATTCTACGCACACATTAATATCGTTAAATATGTTTTCCCTGCTAATGTGTCCAAGAGATATCCAAGATGTAGAAACGTATTGAAGGGAACATATCACATATATGTAACCATATTTGGATTCAATGTTTCTTATGACTTTTGGCAGCTTGCATTTAAATTTTAAATTGGCTGAACAGATCTGAGAAAGAACTCGAAATAAGGTTCAAAGAGCAAAACTTTTGAATCTTAAACTCGTAACTCAGCGCGTGTTTGACACTTCATGACCCTCATGAAGATTTAACCTTAGACACCTTAGATTTAAAAAATAAGAGATCGATTATTGCAGTCAATAATCTCGCGATGAAGAAAGAGTTTATATTATTTTGTTTTATAAAAGCACTTGTAAATATTAATAGTTGAATAACTAAATCACGGATGGACAGTTTCACTTCTTTCAAAACGATTTTGATAGTTTCGTTAAAGGGGGTGTTCACGAAAAAGGAAAGGGGGTATAGGCTTAGATCTGTTCAGTTTAGCGTGCAATACCTACGGCTCAGCTACATTTTGCCTGGTCACAATTTGCCTAATCACATTTTGCCTAGTCACAACTTGCCTAGTTCACTCTTGCCTAGGTAACATTTTGCCTAGGTAACATTTTGCCTAGGTAACACAAGAGCATGTTTTTTGCCTATAGCGTTTTTTTAAAACAAATTATGTCAAAAATTAAACATTTTTTCTAAGCTTAATCAGTTAAATTTTACTGAATTAAATGTTATAGAACAATTGAATTGTATCTTGTCCAGCCATTTTAACATTTTTTTATACTCTACAACAGATGAAATATGGTCATATATCAGATATATATATATATTTATAATTACAGTTTACATCATGGAGTATACATAGGTATCATTATTTATCTTATTTCTCAATCACAGCCTTTTCTGTGGTCTTAGCTTTAGTCCTCAGCAGGTTGTTGGTATGGGGCCATGAGTTGGGAATACATCCCTTACCAGGTTTCCAGTAGATATCCTCGTTGTTAGGGTTGCAGTGCAAGAACAGCGCCATTTCTTGGTCTCTGCCCTCTTCCCATCGAAAACATAGGAGAAGTTATTCTTTTCCCTGTAGTTGGATTTACCCCGCATTTGGTAAGCCCTGCAGTTATCATGGGAGCCATTTTCAATGTGTCTTTCGATCTGATTGGTTTATAGAAAATTAAACTATTTTTAAAAATTTGCGAAATAAGTTGCAGATTTTTGAAAAAAATTCTCGGATTGTTGAAAATTTCTTTGTGAAAAAATTATTGACTAGGCAAAAAATTAGCTCTATTGTTACTCTAGGCAAAATGTTACCCTAGGCAAAATGTTATTAGGCAAAATGTTACCTAGGAAAACTGTTACCTAGGCAAAATGTGACTAGGCAAGCTGTGACTAGGCAAGTTGTGACTAGGCAAAATGTGACTAGGCAAATTGTGATTAAGCAAAATGTAGCTGAGCCATACATAGATCTGTTCAGTTTAGCCTGGAATACATGTTCAGTTTAGTCTGGAATACATAGATCTGTTCAGTTTAGCCTGGAATATATAGATGTGTTTAGTTTACCGTGGAATATATAGATGTGTTTAGTTTACCGTGGAATATATAGACCTGTTTAGTTTACCGTGGAATACATAGATCTGTTTAGTTTAGTCTGGAATATATAGATGTGTTTAGTTTACCGTGGAATACATAGATCTGTTTAGTTTAGCGTGGAATATATAGATCTGTTTAGTTTACCGTGGAATACATAGATCTGTTTAGTTTAGCGTGGAATATATAGATGTGTTTAGTTTACCGTGGAATACATAGATCTGTTTAGTTTAGCGTGGAATATATAGATCTGTTTAGTTTAGCCTGGAATACTTAAGTCTGTTTATTTTACCGTGGAATACATAGATCTGTTTACTTTACCGTGGAATACATAGATCTGTTTAGTTTAGCCTGGAATACTTAAATCTGTTTATTTTACCGTGGAATACATAGATCTGTTTATTTTACCGTGGAATACACAGATCTGTTTAGTTTAGTCTGGAATATATAGATGTGTTTAGTTTACCGTGGAATACACAGATCTGTTTAGTTTAGCGTGGAATATATAGATCTGTTTAGTTTACCGTGGAATATTGACCTGAGTGAAAAAGTTTGCCATGAGAGCTCCTTTCACAGCATTCTTCAAGTTTGCATCCTCGAATATAATTAGAGGAGACTTCCCACCCAACTCTAGGGTTACATTCTTTATACCTGGAGTCATAGATTACACAGATTACTCAGATTACAGAGTTTACACAGATTTCACAGATTACGTAGATTAAACAGATTACCCAGATTACACAGATTACACAGATTACACAGATTACAAAGATTACAAAGATTACACAGATTACACAGATTACACAGATTACACTAATTACAGATTGTTTTAAAATTTAAAACTCTTTTTTATTTAATAATTAGTATAACCTTCTGTCCTTTCTGGATTATATGGCCTTTCAAAGTAAGATTTTTAAATTTATTTTTTGGTTTTATTTATATCCCTTTTTACTGTAGGTTAGAACAAAATTTAACAGATTTTTAACTTTTAACTCCGCCAAGGATATACTCTTTAACCTTAATGTTTGTACTTAGCTTTCTATGGTCCGTTGCACCATCCTATACTTGTGGCTTTGAGGAGAGCTTGTTGTTATGATCAAAAGTTGCTAAAATAAGTTCTATCTGTGTAATCTTTTCCTTGAGCCCCAGCAGTCATAATCTTAGATCCAGTCTCAACGCTACCTAAATACATAAATAAAGTTTGGAAACCCGAATTTTAAGTTTAAGAATTGAAAAAAAATTCTAACAAAAAAGTTAAAACCATCTGTCAAGTAAAATTCATTAAATTCTTTTAGGGCGCTTGACGCCCCATCTTCTAGAGATAGTTTAGGATTGTGTCTGTTGCTTTGCTTTTTTCATCTTGCTTCAATAAATAGATTTTCGCGGTTTTTCTAATTTAAGTGGCGAATTTTTAAAAATTATAATAAATGTCGACATTTTTCCGGGCAAAACATTTCAAATTTGACCAGCAATTAACCTTCTCTGGGCTCATTTCAGTTGACACAAAAAATTTGGGCCCGATCGGTTGAGAAGTTTTGGCGTTTTTTTTGCAGCCAAGATAAATTTAGACTTTAATACATAAAACGGATTTCGATTTTTCTAAAAATGAGTTGAGTCTTGGCAACGAACTTAATTGTTCTAATCTCTATATCTTTGCAACCTAATAGTGTATAGGATTTGCAAACACCTACTACTCAGAAAAATACAGCACACCCGGTATCATAGACTTGAACAATTTAAACTGGTTCCCCTTTTTGTCAATAACTCATGAATCTCCAAATTTCGAACCATTCAATTGTGAGCCCTTACGTCCAAAGGATGTAAAAAATATACTAAAAAGTGCAAATTTAAAATCCTCTCCTGGTCCTGATGGTATCCCGTATGAGATATTATTCAAATTCAAGTGTCTCCACCACATATTAGCTACCCTGTTTAATAAAGTGAATGTTCTGGGAACTCCTCCCCCTTCCTGGTCACACAGCGTGGTCAAATTACTACACAAGAAAGGACCGACTAGCGACCCAGGAAACTTTCGCATGATATCTCTTACATCTTCTATTGCGAAGACTTACCATCTCCTTCTTGCAAAAAGACTGACCAAGTTTTTAACTGCGAATAATTATATTG